ATCGAAGCTGCTGCTTATACTCTCATGAGACTGGCATAGGAGGATGATCAAGATCAGCATCCATCAAGCCAGCTTCTTCCGTCTCTGTGTCTTCGATTTGACCGGCCTCTTGACCGTTATCTGTGTCAGAACCACCGAGTCTTTGTTGTTCCTCAGGCGTAGGAGTGTCTGCAACAGCATCACTTTCCATCGCCTCTGCTTCCCCTCTTCCTCCTTCAGCTTCAGCTTCACTGTTAGAAACACCAATCTGGTTTCCCTCTGTTTCCTGAGATCCACCTTTGGTTTCTTCTTTCTTTGCTCGTTTCGCTTTTTCGTTTGGTTTAGCTTGATATTTTGAGCGCACCTCAGGTGGCAATAGCTCAACAGGGACAACTCCTTCAACTCCAAAATCAGTAAACTGTAGGAAAGCAAAGAAAAGAAGTTCAAAACCAAATCATATAGCACACTGAGAAACTGAATTGGAGCACACTTTACCCTCGAAAATCCTTCCAAGTCTTGCCGTGCTGCAAACCGAAGACCTTTCCAGCAGTAAACCTGTCAATACAGTAACAATTAGTGTGCTGCAAAATTGATTCAATAAGGCATCTTAGAAACAAAGTTGTATGTCAGAGGAAAGTAATATACTCTGTTGTTTTTATGATGGTACTCATCTTCTATGCCAGCTGATGGATCCATCTGAGATTTTAACAAAACACCAAGTAGACTAATAAGAAATTAACCATTTTCAGAAAATGTCGTTTGTGAAAAAAAAACACACACAATACGTTAGCTCACATCTTCTGCTAATGGTTTCCAGTAGTCTGCAATGGCAGGGGTCAGGACACGTTGTGAATCAGTCAAAGCATTCTGTCATGCCATCAGAAATACAATTATTGTAGAGACATAATATGAAGATCATTCGGAGTGTGGAATATCATGTGGCATCACATAACAGTGAACATGAATGCAAAAATATACCGGATTTTGATCTGCCCATCTCCAAAGTTGAGAGAGTTCTTTATTGCCTAATCTCCATCTTTGCCTCCTGAAAAAGTATAAGAGAACCCATATGGAGCTTAATAGTGTTAATGTAGATTTATTAGTTGCTTCTCACTTCAATGGACTAGTGGCTAGAGATCACCAGGGGAAAACGTCTATCCGTTTCTCGCACCTAACGACTAAAATTTTAATGGTTGACACCATCAAGGCATGTGATTACATGAGAAAGAAGCGGTTAGATAAAAAAAAGTAAGCTTTTCCCATACCGTTTCTTCTGCCCTGCATTAGCTGATTTCTTATCAATCAGTTGTTTTTCAAATGGTGGGCATCCATCACGTTTCCACCAGACCTGTTATTGCAGAAAATCATTAACGACCCTAGACACAAGCCAGAATAAGCATTGCAACAGTTGAGAGAGGTAGCAGCAACCATACCCAATTCTTTTCACGCTCCAATATATGCTCAACTGCACGGAGGAATTCTTTCCCTTTAGGCGGAGTGATCTCAAGCAATTTCTTTACACGATCTTCACATGACTTGAGTTCTTCCTTCTAGGCCGAAAAGATAAAAGATACATTTGAGTGATTATGCATAAAACCCAGCATACTCAGATATTAGCTAGGTCTGTCAACCTTTGAAACAAAGCAAGAGGACATTTTCAAATTTTCTCATTGAATAAGCAAAAACACTGACCATAGTTTCAGATGGCAGATCTTTGTCATTCTTCCCTGGTGCCTAACAGGAAACAGGAGTCAATTGTACCAAAATCCAGAGAAAACGTACTTAAACATGCAATTTTTTAGAGATATTTACCCTCAGATAATCAAACAGAATGAGGCACTGGAGAAGAATATGTCGTCGGAAACTTGAATCCTTTAACTGTGACCAAAGATGAAAAAAGTGTTTAAAATGGTAAGTTCAGAAGTTTGTATGTCGACATGTTACACGGAATATGGAATATATGTGTGTGTCCCTCCACATCATATTTACCTCTAACCCCATTAATTTACTACTTGTTAGATACTTTATATTAAAAGTTGCTGCCTCTTCCTCCAAACTATTAGCCTCTCCCTCTTCTTCGCTTAGTGGTTGTGCGTCAAAGGTGTTTAATACAACCTACACAGGCAGTTCAAAAACGAGGTGTAAGAAGGTGAATCATTACCGCCCGCATGAATTGTCTATGCATATACATTTGTCAGAAATCAGGTCATGAATCATGGATCACATACCGCCAAACTAGATGAAAATTTCTGCCACTTGGTAGACGCGGAAGTAAGAGAAGCCGGATTACAGAAATACTCCTGGAAAGATAAAACATTCTTAATTCAGAAAGCACTACCTCAATAAACTAACTAACAAAAGATAAATGAGAAATTGAGGTGCTATCTCCAGTAATGTGATTAGGAAATTGAGAATCTATGAGACAGCCCTAATGAGTAATGATAAAGGAGAAACAAAGTTCCCTCCAAAGTTCTTTAACTAATACGCACCTGTAAACTCCAAAATGTCTTATAGAAGTTGAAATCTACAGAAATGCCTGAGAAACAATGATCGTAGACAGAATAAGTAAAGCGTTTTAGACTGTTAGTGGGTATAAGGACCAGAAGGCATTAGAAAAGATTTTTACTTGCCATTTGGAGGATCTTTTTCATATTTGGTTTCATTGGATGTATTAAAAACTCCTTTTATGTTCACGGCTGCAAGAATAAGTAGAGAAAGTAAACGTTACATAATTTCTAAACATTCACATACCAAAGAATCATATATGCAATAAATAAAGAAAACCCATTCTTACCTGAGCGCTCAGACAATGGAAAAAAGTGAGCCAAAAACATGAGGATTCTTCCACAGAATACCACATCATTGGCCTGTGAAAGCAGAAAAAGAATTAACAAAGAGTAGATGTGTTATAGCTGCAAAAGCAATTCTATGAATGTTTGACAAAGGGTGCAGATAGTGAACCTTTGAGAGTCGCCGGAGAAGTTGGTTGCAAGTCCTCAACATTACAAGTTTTCCGCGTGCAAAAAGCTCTTGCTGCAAATAATTGCAACATCCAAGTCAAAATTCAAGGTACCCATGCAACTAACAGAAAGAGGAAAATCTTCATTTCATCAAAGACTTACCTTGCCCAATATATCTTGCTTGCTTTCAATATAACCGAAAACATCTTTACAGTTTTTCATAGTAGACATTTCAGTCAAATCCTCCAACAGCTGGAATATCATGCCACCTTCGACATGCTCGTTCTCACAAAGATAAAGCACAACATCTAACAAACCAATGAAATAAAGAACAAAAAGATGGTGAGAAGTTGGATAATAGTAATAATCAGCAGCAATCAAGCAGTAGATAGTAAGCTATAGACAGAACTGAAAAAAAGAGAAAGAAGATGATTAATGTGCACACACTTGCACCTAAATTAAACGAGCTATGCAGATCAAACTAGAGAGAAGGCTTTGAAATAAAATGCTAACCTAAAAGATGAGGAATCTGGCCATGTATATTTTCATCAACGTCATCATCAATCAACTGGCCATACTGCATTATTTGCTCTCCTGATTGCGCAGCAGAAGCCTGAATCCCCAAAACCCAAATTGAACCAGACTTAAGTGACTAAGTCAACAAGTACATCCACAAAACGAAAATAAATAGAGAAGAAACAACATACCACTAGCTCCTGCAGTAACGTCCGGAGCATGTTTTCAAGCATTTGGTTTTCATCTTGGGCCAACTTTGTTTGTTTCTGCCAGATTATATAATAATAAAGAGACAAGGTTTCAACAGTGTTTGAAATTTTGAGCACATACATGTTTGAACTAAACAAGGGTTTGAAGCCAAATGACTAATTTCATACGGACATAATAATACAACAGATACACTAAAGAATGAACACTCTGTTATAGTTGACTCAAAAAGCTACCTGAGGTTGTATAAACTGTTGAACAGTCTTAAGTGCAAAGCTTTCAATTGGAGCTCGCTGCAATATAGCATCTCTAAAAGCATCCTGAGAAGAACCACAAATTCAAATCTGATAAATATGGTGCGTCATAGGATCAGTGCTGTAGATTAAACTAGGCACAAATCAAAAGGTACCATTCTGAATAATAAACCAGCTTCTGACTTCAGTTGCAATCCTGCAAGTAGGATTTACCGATAACACCAACTCCGGAGACAAAACACGGGAACAGATTTGAACAGCAAGCGACTGAGATTATGAGACGCCGGAACAAGGCCACAGTTCGAGTATATCGATTTCAAAGAAAGCAAAAGATACTGGAGAAATAATATTTTGAAGTCGGATCCCAAAATTAAAAAAAAAAAAAAAAAAAACTTTGAGGAAAGAAGAAGAAGAGGAAGATAGTAAACAAAATAAGATCTAGGGCCTATACTATTTATTTTGTTAATGGGCCTTGTCATCGGATGGGTTTGGGTTGTTTAGTGTGTTTTAATTGAATTAATGATGTTTTTGTCCCTATTGAATGAAGGATTTTTAGTGAGAAAATCATTTTCAATTTTCATTCGTATCTTCATCATACAACTTCAACATTCACTCGACTAATAATTTACTGTTCATGCCCAATGTTATGACCAACTTAATTAATACGTCAAAACTCAGTCACGATACTCATTGACTCATTCGTAGAAATGCTGTTAAGCGTAAGCGAAAAAGCGTTCACGCAATGCATTTTACAAAAAAATATATAATTATACAGTATTTGATCTGCATAGATTGTAAAGTAACGAACGTCTAAATGATTTTATGCAGTCAAACTAGAGTATTCGCTTAACTCAATTAACTTGGTAATTAAGATGTAAAGTTGTGAAATTCGATCAGTATATTTACTCTGCCTAGTAATACTTCTGAAAACAAAAGAACACGCCTCTTAGGTTTTGTCCTGCAGAAACCTTTAAAAAAAAGTGCCCTGAAAGGCTGGAACTGCAAGAAACAACTCGAAAACCTACAAAAACAAACAGATAAAGTAAAACAATACTAAGAATGAATCAAATACTCATTGCCTAGGCAAACGTTTAAAATTGATCTTGGTCCGAGCAGAACCACCACAGTAATCCTTGGAAGAGCTACAACCACCACCACTTGCTCTCATAGTTCCTCCGATCCAGACCCTAAATGTTTCTTACGTTTCTTCACATCACACGCCCACTGTGCAAGACCGAAAGGATCTTCCTCTGCTTCTTTCTCAAACTCAAGAGGTCGCTCTCTCTTCCCCGCACCGGTGAAAGCCTTGTCTGGTTTGAACCTCTTAGTGTTCATGGGCTTCTGAAGCTGCTCGTGATACATTTCATCATCTATATCCTTCTTTGGCTTGTACAGCGTTGAGAGAGTGGGCTGCACCGTGGATAATCTTTTGTCAAATACGTTGTATTGGTCATCAGTGGCAAAACCCGAGTCTATGCCCTTGTCCTGGTTAAACAACCGTTGATCGTACATGACTTCACCACCTCTGCCTCCAGTAGATGCCATTCCAAGCGCAACCTTCTCACTGATATCACGGTCAATGTCCCTTGTGGTCTTGCTCTTCTTTCCCGCAGTTTCCAACCTTCTCTCCCTCTCTCTTTCCTTACGACGCTCTTCTCGAATCTTATCCCTCAGTTCCCTTTCCTTCTCACGGCCATCGTCACAATCGCCTCCTGGTTCAACACTCTCGCTAGAAATCCTTGCAGCCTCAGTCCTCTCGCGCCGAGCCTTTTGTGCAAGAGCCCTCAGCTCCTGCTCTTTTCTTTCCTTGTCCTTCATCGCCATCTCCCTCTTCACCTTAAACCGCATTGAAACAGCCTCCCTAGCTTTCTGCTCAGCTACATAGAGAGCCTCTGACAATTTGACAAAGTCATCATTGACCTGAGCATATTCCAGTCCCCTTCCGTCAGCGGCAAGGCGTTTGTCAAGAGGGATTGTGTAACCTTTCTGGTTTTTCCAATTGGAGATACAAGGAGGGATGTTCCAGTCTTGTTGGTCCTTGACGGTCAGAGGCCTCGGAGGTGAATGCAGGACTGGAACAGGGGGAGAACCAGAAGCTTTGGGAACTCGCTTGTGCTTGAACTTTGGTGGAGCAAGTGGATCTACAGGCATCTCCACCATCCTTACGATCCTCTCTTTAGCACCGGAATTGAACGCAGCCGATTGTTGAGATTGCTTATACTTGATGTACGTTGAATCACTCGACTGCTTGGGAACACTCTTAGGCTGTGATATTCCCAGTCTCGCATTCACAATCTTCTCAATGGCAGCTTTTGTTTCTTCAGCTGTCTGCTTCTTCAGGTCCTCACCATCAACCAAGCCTGCCTCGTTTTTCAAAACATTGGGAACAACATGGCAAGGTTGAGAGTAAACAATCTTTTTGGAATTCTCACTCTGCCTCACAACGGCGTCAAAGACCACGTTTCCCTGAGCATCCAGCGTGACATTCAGAGTATTGTTGGATCTATTCTTGGCCATGCCAAGAGGGTACTGAGGGACATGAATCTCAGGGAATGCACCACCATCTCCAAAACACTCGGGACGAAAACCTTGCCGATTCAGGTAAGCAGGTACTGGTTTTACGATGAAACCAGACGAGTTTCTCGCCTCAGATTCCATGAAACGGTACTTGAACCAGGGATCGTTTGAATGATCATAAAACGTCGTAGCGGTTGACGATTTTGCCGGAGGTAAAAGGACTTGAAGAGACGTCATAGCAACAAGGATGCTCGTACGTACTAATTCAGATTTGATACTAACTATTCTATCTATCTCTTAAAAATCTAACACAAAATCTTCTCGCGTTTACACAGACGTTCGCTAAACAACTTATCAGAAAACTTTCTTTGAACGATAGAGAGATTGGTAATGTTTTTATTTATAAAAGACCTTATTTCCTTTTCTCTCTCGATCTTTTTCTTTGTATTTCCTAATTTTCCTTCAAATAATGAGAAGACCCAAAAATTATAGTGACGGTTGAAACAAAAAGGAAATTAGTAAATAGACATATCTTCTTTATGTAAATATTCCTTAATGGAAAGTAGGAATATTCATTGTAGTTTTCCTTTTTCCTTTGTAGCTTTTTCCTTTTTTTATGTTTGTGTGGGTATGTTGATGAAATCCACAGTTTCGCGGAATTAATTTTTGTATTTGGGTCCATTAATTACAGGCCCAAATTGATAGGCCCATTAACGAAAATGTCGAAACATGTAAATGTTTTTTCTCCAATTAAAAAAGGAAACTAAAAAAAGTAAACGCCATTATTGAAAAACACTCACCTCTCTCTCTTCTCTCTTCTCTCTCTAAAGCTGTTCATCTCCCCAACCACAACAAACCAACTTGCTTAGCTTTGCTCTGTCCAGGGGCAAGAGCATCCCCTCAATAAAGCAAATCCCATTTTCTGTTTTCTTCTTTTACTTTTTGTCTTAATTTCCATTTTACTTCTTGTTATTGGTTCTGTCTGAATAATAATAATTTTATTTAACGGACCCAAACCAAACAAATACTTGCAGAAGAATGAAAGAAAAAGCAATAACCCCCCAAACCAAATTCTAAAGCCTCAAATTTGGAATATTCCCTTTCATCTTCCTTTTTTTTTTTTTTTAATTTGCCATTTCCTTATTGATCTTATTTGAGAAGACGACCTCTGTTTCTTCTGTTTTTTTCTTTCTTTCTTCATTCTCTCTTCCTCGTTACAGTAAAGCTTCATCAAAAGCTCAAAAGGGTCTTCCTTTTTTTTTTAATCTGGATTTACCAATCTTATTCTTACGTTTTTGTTTTTCTCTGATTGGTTTATCTTTACACTATTGAATCTCAAGTTCTTCACGATTTTTTTAGTTTTTAATCTCCGCTGAATCGAATTCATCATCATCTTTTTAGATCTGGTTATGTAAATACCAATTCGATTTGCTCTGTTTTTGTATTCCTTCAAAGTTACGGAATTTGAAAAAGGTTCGTTGCCGGCGGTTATGGATTTGGATGATTTCCGATCGATTATGGAAAACGCAGGTGTTGATGTTTGGACATTTATCGATACGGCGATTCTGGTTGCCTCGCTTGACTATGGTCAAGAGCTGAAGCGGCGTAGGGATAACATCGTCGAGCGTCTCTACGCGACTTCGATGGCCAATAAGTGTAGAAACTGCGACTTTGGTGGCGGCGGAACCGTTACGGAGGCGGCGGTTGGTAGGGTTAACGGGAGGGTTCATGAGGAGACGGAGGAGGAAGAAGAAGAAGTAGTAGCAGCAGCAGGAGATGAAGTAAGAGAGAAATCTGTTAATGGTGAAGACGATGATGATTTCGATCCGTTTGCTGGTTTGTTTGATGATGAGCAGAAGAGTATTCTTGAGATCAAGGAGAGACTTGAAGATCCTGATCTGGTTTGCTTAAACGTTTTTCACTTGGATCTTCATTTTCAATTTCCGGTGTTTGGTTTCAGTTTTTTAAGACTGAATGGTTTTTGTTTGTGGTTCCAGTCTGAAGAATCTTTGGTTGACTTGCTTCAGAACCTCGAAGACATGGACATAACATTCCAAGCTCTTCAGGTAGTAATCACTTTAATCAAATACCATAATACACTCTTTGATTCTTAAAGTTTTGTTAGTTTTTGAAGTTTATGGTTTTTGATCACATTAGGAAACTGATATTGGAAGGCATGTGAATCGAGTTCGGAAGCATCCATCTAACAATGTCCGGAGATTAGCTAAACAGCTTGTCAAGTTACGATCGAATTCAGAAGACAGGACCTTTACTGTTCAGTATTCAACTATCTTGATTTCTAATCCACTCTCACTTTTTTTGTCTTTGCAGAAAATGGAAGGAAACAGTAGATGAATGGGTCAAATTTAACCAGCCTGGTGATCTCGAACCTCCGAGTTTGATAGGTAAAAAGATAAACAAACTCTGAATCTCAGTACAAGCATCATTCTTACCAATCTCAGAACAATCAATCTGTTTATTGTAGCCGATGAGGACTCACCAGTGCAGAAAGCTCTCCATAACAGTAATCGCCAACAGGTAAAAAACCGAGAAGCTTTTCGATTCTTATTTAGTCACTGAGCTTCAATTGTTACCGTTTGCTTCTGTGGCAGGTGCCTGATTTCGGATATTCACCGGTTCCTCATAGTAAGTTACTGAACAATGACTGTAACATTTGGATCTTTCACCATTTGTCATCCGTAAAGCTTATTCCTTTTCCCGTTTTCGACAGATGGGTCTTCGGGTTCAAGCAGGAACAGTAACGTTACGGAGCCAGAGAGAAAACCAAGACCTGTTAGTGCTGCTCCTCCACCTAGGAGAGAATCTCCTTCTCCAGCTAAACCTTCTCGCCCTTCCCCTTCTCAACAAAACATGCAGGTACATTGCCAAAACAAGATCTTAATATCAATGTTAAAAGACTCTAATACTCTGTCAGCTGTGATAACTGATAACTTTGGTTTGGGAATTGCAGAGGGACAAAGAGCATAAAGAAGTTGATTTCGACACAGCTCGGAAAAGGCTACAACAAAACTACAGACAAGCCGAGAATGGTTTTAAAAACTCGATCTATATTCTTCTGTTTTTGTTTCAGGATTGGATCGTTTCCTGATTGCATTTTTTTTGTCTTTGAATGCAGCTAAAAAGCAAAGGACCATACAGGTGATGGACATTCATGAGATCCCAAAACCTAAGAAGGGTGGTGGATTTTTTCCAAGAAAAGGCGGCAGTTCTCAAGGTGGTGGTAGACACTGGTAGATTGAAAAAGATGAGAGAGAGCGTAAGAGAGTTAAGTGAAACGAGGAAGAAGATGCAAAAACAAGAAAGACAGAGAACAAAGCTCTGTTTTTGAGAGAGACACAAGAAGACAGTGAATTCTAAAAAAATGTTTCAAGAATTTGGAATTAAGTTGGTGGGTACACTTGTTTTCTATTTTGTTGTTACTACTATTATTTTCTTTTTCATTTTTTCTGATGAACAGAACATAATTTTTCTTGGATTTTATTAATAATAGATTCTAAAAAATCACCATTTTTGTATATTTTTTTTTTTAGACAATGATGTGCATAAAAAATCTAGCTCTTTAAAGAAAATAGATTGATGTTCTTAGCAACTGATGCTTTTTGACCATTTTAATGTTTCTTTTCATGCAGATTAATCACGGTTTGCTGGAAGATTTTTATTTAATTAGTTACAGTCCCTGTTTAAAAAATTCCCGCCTAGTTCTGGTTATTCTCCGTCTAATTGCTGGGCCACCTTATCTGTTTCGATTAACGACTAATCCCGCCTAACTTTTTTTTTTTTTGGCGGCAAATCCCGCCTAACTCTTTTTATCAATTATTAAACATTTAGATTGAGAATTTTATAAAATTTTACAATAATTTATGTTCAAAATTTTATGAAAACATAGATCTGGCTTTAAAAATATGTTTTCATTTCTTAATTACAATTTTGAATCCAATATTATAGTTTTATATGCTATATTGTGTTTTTAAATTAACAGAAAACAAACTATTCATATAATTAATATCATGTATTGTTTTTTTTTAATTTAATAAAATAATTCTAAAATTATTTTACGATTGATCTTCGTTTAATCCCTGATTTTCTAGACGCTACGCTCACCTTGACAACCAAACTAGCGTCTAACAATTTGTTAACCAAAAGTTATAGTCAAAGTAAATTTAAGTTCTAATTAACAGGCAAATCTTGTAATGTAATTTTTAAGTTTACAATGAGTACCAGAAACAAAAACATGTAGTCAATGAGTATAAATTTTATAACGTCGAGCTAATATTTCAGAATTCAGATTTAAGAAAGCAGAAAGCAGATGAAAACAAGAAAAGAACAATTTAGTATTTTTGACTTTGGTGTTAGAGCATAGAGAGAGCCCCGTAATGGCATTGGATGATGATGAAGGAGACAGTTTTTATTTATCTTTTTGACCGAATCATTGTGGATACGCATGAGCTGTATTGTTTAATCATTGTATTAGAATACGTATACATATATAGGCTTTTAATGGTAATTAATATTGGTATATTTCAAGGGAACAAGACAAGATTACTCTTAAAATACTAGATCAATCTTTGATTTCTTTATCCATTTTATAAGCACTTTTATAAATGTGCGTTTGATTTTTTTATTTGAGTAGTGTCCATTGAGAAGACTCAAGTGACAAAAGATAACCCACCAAGCAACTCCACATCACATGTACGCCACAGTTCACATTGTTTTGTTTTACCTAAAACCTTAACTACATCTTTCAGAAAATAATTCTTAAACTTTTTAGGAATTAGTAAAATTATACTATCTGGAACAAATTTGAAAGTTGAAAATTTTGGTTTCAAACAACTTTATAAACAGTCAACGATGTTTAAACACACTATTTTTATATTCTGATTTATAACTGTTTTAAGAAATAATTTAGAACCAAAAAGCATGTCATCATCGCTTCTATCGAATGGTGTTTTGAATATCTTCATGCTTTATACATTTTCTTTTCTTTTTTCATTCGATGCTTTATAGTTTTTACATGTAGTATAAAATTAAGCATGCCACTGCCATATTTAATTAAGAAAATCTACCAACAAATTTATGACATGTTAACTGCTACAAAGTAAGGATTCGAGATCAAACCTACAACATGAACACGCTACCACTAATTACAAACTGTAATTTGAGAATGTGAACCAATTTGATTTTATTTTAACTTAACCGGATTCGGTTTACCATAGACCAAAACTAAAACATGCTACCACTAATATACAAACTCATTTTTTCTAGTGATACGCTTAACTCACTGGACTTCTGAATCTTTAACAAAAGAATATGTCTTCGCAGGCTTTTGCTTTCTACTGCTGCTTCCAAGCTTTCTCTCCTCTGGGTTCTCCTTCTTATATTCCTCATCTTTTTTTGTGTAATAAGAATCCAGGATTTGCAATAACGAGCTCTCTCTACCTTCTCTATTCATCTCTTGTTTCTTCTTCTCCTGGCTACCTCTCTCTGAACCAGAGTCTTCTTCATCATCTGAGAGCGATGGTTCATACGCTGGAAGCTTTTTGGTCGTCAGGTGGTTGGTTGTTGCTTCAGAAACTGGACCGAGTTCTTCGAATGACGAGTCCGACTGATCTTCTTTTGACTTGGCATTTGGTGAAGGAGCTGAAGGAATAATGTATCCAGATGATATTCTCACTCCAGGCATTACTTGAATCAAAGACTGTAGGCTTTCGTGACCGAGCTTGTCAACAGCTAAATGGTACCCAAATTCCTCTAAGAAGTCTTTCCTGAAACGAATCATGTTATACCCTTCAGGCTTTTCCTCTGTTATTTTCTTTATCAGCTTCTGACAATCCGCAACTGCATTACTTTTGTATTTTTCCAGCTGCTTTTGGTCCATGGAACCAACAGAAACTCCAGCATGAGCAACGTTCTTGCCTCTTTTCGCACCATCTTGTTTCTGCGACTGTGATTTTGAACAATCCGAGAATATTGAACTCAAACCGTTTGAAGCATGACGGTAGCCAGGGGTAGATCCTTTGATGATTCTGAATGGTAGAGAAGAAGAAGGGTCTTCTTCGATCAATTTCTTGTGTGTTATTAATAAGGTAACTAGATGAAGCATGCTTGATTTATCAAGCTGTCTGAGACACGAAGGCCCTTCCTCCTGCAGATTTTTAGCCATCACCTCCCTGACCAGGTTAAGAAATAACACAGCATTAATGAAAGGCTAATCCAAGAGCAAACTGAAATGGTACTAAACCTAAGATAGATTTACACAGCAATCAATATCTAATTCATACTCCTTCCAAATCAGAAGGGAAGAGACTGTAAGCACCTTGTCCTTGAGTGAGATACTATAGCAAAGCCTCTTGGAGAATTAATGAAGGATTCAACATCACTCCAGAAAGACTCTTCCGCAAAAATGTCGGGAACTTGAGAATCAACATTGACAAGCTCCTGAATCCCAGTAGATTCTTTGCTAGGCACCGTGTTCTCCCCCCAAAATTTGAAACTCTTCAAAAGGCGACCTAAAAAGCCTGGACTTGCATCTTTATCTTTACTACCTACTTCATCAGTACCTACTTTAACCTCCTCCACAGCCTCAGCAACGAAGGAAGGTGAGATTTGAGACATTGGATCAGTTCCCTGACTTGATGACTTTAAGTCCTTATCCCCTTTGTCTTTGTCTCCACTTGCAGAAACACTTTTATTGTCTAGGAGATGCTCTGATTCCATCTCAGGTGAACCATACCATAGTCTTTTTAGCTTCTGAAAAAAGCCGTCTTCCATGGATGAATCACTCCCCACAATAAGAGCGACTTGATTCGTCTCCACGAGTTTGTCATTTGACTTGACATCATTCTGGCTGACCAGAATGGGTTCGTGGGAATTCTCTGGTGCTTTTTCTTTGACATGTTTATCATTCTCCGTTTCAGCAGAAAGTTCTACATCACTAATTAGTTTTGGCGATAGAGCATTAGCAGTTTCCTTGTCTTTAATCTTCTGATCAACAGCAGTGGAATCAAGTAGTGTAGGAGGAGTCTTTTTGGCAACAGCACGAATAATAAATATGCCGTCATTTGCGGCAGTAACCTTAACGATATCTGGCATAGATAGTAGCAACCTAGAAAACTTCTTATGTCCATAGAAATCTTTATCAATAGCCAAGTTGCTCTTAGTAAGCTCAGCACGTAGTTCTGTTATAGATGCCCCCTTGGGATATAAACTCACCACCATAAGAATCTTGTCAACAACCTCTTTCGGAATGGGACGAAGGTTAACAGGATTCGAATTCACTGACTCAGAACTGGAACTAGACTCGGATAACTCTTCGATTTTCACACAAGACGATTGCTGAGTGGTGGTAGGAATTGCAAATGGGTCAAGAAGAGGAACCCTGTAGTGACCATACCAAGAGTTATAAGGACCATCAGGCGGCTGATTGAAATACTTACCAGTAACAGACTCTCCTTTGATCAAAGCATCCCAATCCCACATAATCGAAGCAGCACTACACAAAACACCAGGCGCAGACGATTTGCTCGCAAGCAAAATGTTGTAGTTGCTCATCCTCAGTCTGTGTAACACACTTGCGAATTCCTTGTCGCTAGAGATTAGCAGGAGATGAGCTGGTGGTGGATTCTGGGAAACCCAACACATAAGATCCGTAATCAGAGATCTATCATTACTGTTCTTACCACCGTGAGGGACATGAGTGAGACTGATTCCAGTAGCGGAGAGAGCGTCTTGGCTTGATCTGGGGAGCTGCAAAACGTCACCGAAGGCTGTGATCGTGATAGGACCTTTGATTCCGCTGTTTCTGACAGCGGCTGTGATGAGCTGTGCTACTTTGTAGATATTGGCTCCCACCGGCAAAGAACAGTCCTGTAAGTCCCACCAGACCGGAACCCTAACGGATCGAGACTCTTCCTCGTGCTGAATACGTCTTAAAGAAGAATGGTTGGATCCGGAGCCCGAGCCGGAGCCGGAGCCGGAGCTGGAGGAGGTGGAAAATGGAGAGGAATGAAGGTTGGTGACGAGAACAGCGATCGCTCGACGGGGAGATTGGGTTGTGGAGGAAGAAGAGAGGCGAAAGAGAAGAGATTTAGATGGAAGAGATCTCAATTTCATGGTCGGAGAACTTGATTATAGCTCCGGAGATCAAAAGAGAAATGGAGAGACTTGTGAGGGTTTTAGTTTAGGAGTGAGGAAGACCAAGTACAAAGGAAAGCAGTGCTTAAACCCTAAGTTATTTTTGTTTGTCGATAACCGAATCGAATCCCAATTAAACCAAACTAGACCGAAATTTCGCTAAACCAAAACCAAACAGCGTCTGGTTTATTATTCTAATTCGATGAGTGTGTACAGTAATTAGGGATTTCAAAACATTCGCTGAGAGAGAGAGAGATGGTGAAGAAGGAGCAAGTGGAGGCTTCACTGACTTCGAAACTTAAGCCTGTTCATCTCGTGAGTTTTCTTCGACTGCTTTCTTCTTTCAACTTCATCTCTTTTAATTGCGTCTTCTGCAAAAAACAAAATTTGCTGTGCATATATAGTTTGAAGTTTCTTTCCTTTTTTTTTTTTACTTTTGGGGGAAATTTAGGAACCCTAATCGGCTGGGAGAATTATCTTTTGATGGGCAGACACATGTTTTATTTCTATTAGAATAAGATGGGTCTGCAAAATTGTCAAAATTTTGAACTGCTCAAAGCTCACTTGTGTATCAAAACCATAAACTTTAAATATTTGGACCATAAGAGGGGTAGTATGTATTGTAATCTTAACAACTTTTGAAATTAAACCATCATCATCATCATCACTAAGTGTTGTTATATTTCTGCTCCGATTCAGGAGATTAAAAAGTGTTTGTTTGCGTAGTTAGGAGTAATTTTGATACGAACTCAGGATCATATGATGTTGTCTTCCATCATGTATGAGCATCTTAAGGAGCTGAGTGATCTTTTCGAGAAATCTTACCTGTGTACTGTTTTTATTTGTAAATTAGAACTCAGAAAACCAGATCTAAGTGTGTTTCTATTTGTAAATTATCAATCTATTTCTCTTTTCAATTGTTTTAGTTTTAATAATGTATAGCGGTTTGATCTTCTTGTGGAATGTCTTCTTACTGACATTGTTTGTTTGTTTGTTTTTTTGTGTACCAGGAAGTCATTGACATATCTGGAGGGTAAGTACAGGATATTCCAATATCATACTTCTCCGACTGAGGCTGAAATCTCTTGCTTCCTAATCTTAGCTAAACTGTTTTTTGCAGATGTGGTGCGAGTTTTGAGATCGAGGTTGTCTCTGAACAGTTTGAAGGGAAGAGATTGCTGGAGAGGCACCGTATGGTGAATGCTGCACTCGAGGAAGAAATGAAGGAGATTCATGCGCTCTCTATCAAGAAAGCTCAGACTCCACAACAATGGAAGCCATCACAAGACACTGCTACTCCATCCAAAGATGCCTGAAAACTCTGTTTTAAAGGTTTTATGGACAAAAAAGAACAGAGCATGACTATGTTTGATCACTTGCAAATCTATTTGACTATACACAAAAATGATGCTTTGATGACTCATGTCTAACCTTAACAAGGGGTGTCTTTGATAATTCATGTCTTTTTCATAAATTCTTGCTAACTACGTTTTTTAGATGGTGATACAAATAGTAAAGTTAATGTTAACCACGATTTGCTTTCTGACAGACTTAACAAAACCAGTCCTTTAAATTGATGTTACGGTTAATGTACTTAACACAAGAACACACTACATAGACAAAATGCAATAATTTAATCATTTAATAGTACAAGTACCACGATTTGAAACTGTGACTACGAGAAACGAGTTTTGTCGTAAAAGTTTTATTCGATCAGATCTAGTGGCCACTTAATTAGGTTAATTTTGCCCACCAAATAAAAAACAACCTAATTAGCCAAATCTTGTCCAACAAATGAGATTATTAAAATTATAATTACATTTTGGGAAAACCTTTCTTATATAGTCAAATAGATAATACTTTGAACAAATAATTTGTTTATGTTTAAGTAAATAAAAACTATGATAGACCAATTTGATAAATTTTCTTTAATTGAAACTATGGGATTTGCATAATTTTAATATTTGAGTGATATGGCATAGTTGTATGGTGGTGGTGGTGATAGAGGATTATTAAAAAGATCGAAGATGGATAAAATAACCAAAAGAAACAAAGTCCATTCTCCTCCCCACAAAAATCAAAATCATTCTACCTCTCTCTCTTTGAGTTTTTCCGAAATAATTACCTTGTACCTTGTTCGTCGTAAAGCTCAAGAGATTCTGGTGTGACAACTGGCAATGTCGAGTAAGCTTATCCAGCCACCATCAATAGCAGCCTCACGACGAGCAATCCCAAGAAGAACACGAAACCCGAAGGTGTTCGTCTCTTTCACCAATTCTAATGGCAGAACGCTGAGTTTTAGTGACATCCCAAACCGTCTCAGACCCATCTTCATCGGAAAAGTCACAGAACAGAGCTCTTGTTCCTCCTCCACAAATGAACAACAACAACAAGTAGAAGAAGGAAGAACAGTTTCCCAGATTAAAGAAGAGCTCTACGAAGCTCTCAAAGGTGTTTTTAAATTAACTCTACAGTTTTCTTTTTAAATCAATGAAGTGGTGCAGTTGTTCAAAATTTGATTATTTTATCAACTGGGCGATTTTGTTTTTGGGATTTAAACCTTTAAAGGGATCAATAGAGGTATATTCGGAGTCAAATCGGATAAAAAGACAGAGATCGAGGGACTGGTGAAGCTTCTTGAATGTTGGAATCCGACACCGGAGCCGACCGGAGAGTTAGACAAGATCGGAGGTTGCTGGAGACTCATTTACAGTACAATCACTGTGTTGGGTTCTAAAAGAACCAAATTGGGTCTTCGAGATTTCGTCTCTCTCGGTGACCTTCTTCAGCAGATCGACATTGCTCAGGTAAATCATCATCAAAATGATATCTTTTATTAGTTGATGTCTTGATGACGTTTTTGCAGTGTAATCTGAATTTTTCTTTTTGCCGATTGAAAAGGGTAAAACGGTCCATGTGTTGAAATTCGATGTCCGGGGACTGAATCTACTCGACGGCGAGTTTAGAATCGTCGCTTCTTTCAAGATCTCATCCAAATCGGTACATTTTTCTTTTCTTTTTAAATTACTTTTTGGCGTTTCAGACTTTGGAAAAAATCGCGTTATTGATGGAAATAGCGTTTGGTTGTTTGTTTGTAGACCGTTGAGATAACTTATGAAAGCTCAACGATCAAGCCAGAGCAGGTCTGTGTGTGTTTGTGTTTGTGTTTGTTTTTCTTTTTGTCTAGACAACATAATCAAATTTCTATTTATGGGAAGTTCTTGATTTGTGGTTTGGGAATCAGTTGATGAACATTTTCAGGAAGAACATGGATCTTCTTTTGGGAATCTTCAACCCCGAGGGACTATTCGAGATCTCGTATCCTTTTATTCTTTTTAATTAAAAATTCAAAAAATCACGTTATTTGATTATTTGGATTCCTTGATTCCAGAGGGATTTTGGTAGATATTTAGATGAAGATATACAAGTAGGGAGAGATGGGAAAGGGAATGTATTTGTTTTGGAGAGAACAGAGTAAACCCTAAAAATGTTTACTTCGTTTTTTTCAAACTCGTTTCCATAAGAAGAAGTTGCTTGTTCCTCAAGAAAATTTTCAACCTTTTCTTTTGATTTTGGTTAATCTTCTCTTTGATACCATCAGTATTTCCTCTAGCATATTAGGGATACTACTTTGGCTTTCTTGTTTCTTTTTTTTTTTTGTGGGATTTTTTTTTTCTTTTTCTGAAACACAAATTTAGATTAGTTTTTTTTTGTCTTGGGAATATTTGTAACAATCTATTCATTATTGGTATTTCAATAATACTGTATAACTTTACTCTTAGCTTGTTCTCATTTGTGTCCTAATGGTCCAGTTCATATTACAATTTACATTTTTGCATCTTACAAAAGAAAAAGGAAAGAAATATAAAACAGTTGACATGTATGTTTTTTTTTTCTGAAACAATCATGGAATTATAACTTGTGTTTTTGCGTTTATATAACTTTGAAAATTTTACATTATGGGAGAAGAATTAAAAACAATGGTAGCAAATGGACTCTTTTCGATAAGTATTCAGACCTGAATGGGCCTAAACTTTGGGAATTGGTACTAACACTAGCTAGTGGCTGGTGGTGCTGGCAGTACAAATGGTCCCGGAACAATTTTCAAGCTTTGGGAAAAGGGAATTTGAATTAAGTTAGGTTGGTCAAAATTTCGTTATGCTTAGTTTGGTGTAGCCACCATCTCTTTGAATATTGAATAATCTACTAGCACTTTATCAATTATCATAGACTGGTTGTTTAGTAGACCGAAAGCTCATCCGACAAAGAAGACATTAGATTCTTTGGAAGGTTCAATAGACAATTGAGAAATGGGATGCAATAAAGCTATGGTTTTAGACAGATAAAAGTCGGTGAATATGTGCGGCAACTAACACACTTTGTGTGTGTATATTATGAGTTGTCCGATGGGATCATTTTTCAAAGGATCGATAAAAGTATTCTGGGGGATTTGGCTGGACCGACCGACCGACCATTTCACGTCTTTCCAATTGCTGTGGGGACAAAATATCTAACTAGCTAGCTAGGTAGTATAAACAGATTGTGATGTTTAGACATTTTGTGATTTGAAATAATTTTTTCCAAAGGCGTAACAAATAATAATATACATGTCCTCCGTAAAGGATATAAACGTGGGAATGGCGACTCTCCACAAATGGAGTTTACAAAATCGGTTCTCACCACTCTCCAAAATTTAACTCATTCTGTCCATTGAAAACTTACTATGACCAATGAGGTCCATTACATTTAGGTCATTTGTTTTCTATTTAGTGACTGAGAATCTTATTGGTCTATGCCATCGACTGGCCTAACCACACGATCTTTGCTGGAGCAAACATAAACCGTACCACTCATTAACATCGGACCCATTATACTCCCAAAATCGAAAACACTACTTATCTAATCCATAGGCTAAAGAGTGTATATATTATTTATAAGGCCAATGTAACAATTATCGGCAGTACATAATAAGTACATTGCAACGGTGCAACCTGATATTTAAAAAATGTTTCTCAAACAAAAAGGAGATTAGAGACATCCAAACAATATTTATAGTGAAAAAGCCCCAAAAAAAATGAATCAAGGACCAAATATAATATGATATTTTTTTTCTTAAGGACAAAAAAAAACCAGAATCATCACAAGCATCCTAAATAAAAATAGAAGAGAAAAACAGAGATAAAAAAAAAAAAAAACTAAAGTACACAGACTGACTTCTTGAGACATTCCAAAAGGTTCTAAGGAGAATGAAAAGAAGAAAAAAGACAACCACATAACAACAGATAGTTCACTTCCCCATCTCAACTAGGGAAAATAGATTTGTAACAAACTCACCACCACGAACCGAGAGAGAGAGAAGAGAGAAGAGAGAGGCGACAACTTAGAAGCACTTCCTGTGAACAATTGATGGACCCGACTCATCGTACTCTCCCTTTGAAATCCACATCTGATTCACACACAAGCAAAAACAAAATGTCAATAATTTTCACACTCAGGTTTTTTTTTTTAAAAGGGCCAGAATCGGATTTGGTTTTACCTGTTGGAAAGTGCTGAGGGATGCAAGGATTGATCCTCCGATCCAGACACTGTATTTTCTCTCGGGAGGTGCAACAACCTTGATCTTCATGCTGCTTGGTGCAAGCGCGGTGATCTCTTTGCTCATACGGTCAGCGATACCTGGGAACATGGTGGAACCACCACTGAGAACAATGTTTCCATAGAGATCCTTCCTGATATCGACATCACATTTCATGATGGAGTTGTAAGTTGTCTCATGGATTCCAGGAGCTTCCATTCCGATGAGCGATGGCTGGAATAGAACCTCAGGGCAACGGAATCTTTCAGCTCCAATGGTTATGACTTGTCCATCAGGTAGCTCGTAGTTCTTCTCCACTGAAGAGCTGCTCTTGGCTGTCTCAAGCTCTTGCTCGTAGTCAAGAGCAACATAAGCAAGTTTCTCCTTAATGTCACGGACAATTTCTCGCTCTGCGGTTGTGGTGAACATGTAACCTCTCTCAGTGAGGATCTTCATGAGAGAATCTGTGAGATCCCGGCCAGCAAGATCGAGACGGAGGATAGCATGAGGAAGAGCATACCCCTCGTAGATTGGCACAGTGTGAGACACACCATCACCAGAGTCGAGCACAATACCTATTGCAAAAAGAGAACAATTTGTTAGTACAGACAAGTAAGAACAGAAATTTACTCAAGAGGCATGTTTCAGATGAGAACTAACCGGTTGTACGACCACTGGCGTAAAGAGAAAGAACAGCCTGAATAGCAACATACATGGCAGGGACATTGAATGTCTCAAACATGATCTGGGTCATCTTCTCCCTGTTGGCTTTAGGGTTAAGAGGTGCCTCTGTGAGAAGAACTGGGTGCTCTTCAGGGGCTACACGGAGCTCGTTGTAGAAAGTGTGATGCCAGATCTTTTCCATATCATCCCAGTTGCTAACAATACCATGCTCGATTGGATACTTCAGGGTGAGAATACCTCTCTTGGACTGAGCTTCATCACCAACGTAAGCATCTTTCTGACCCATACCAACCATGACACCAGTGTGCCGGGGACGACCAACAATACTTGGGAACACTGCTCTCGGGGCATCATCTCCAGCAAAACCAGCCTGTGCGTATACAAAAAAAAAACATTATCGGAAGTCCACAAAAGTTCACAAATGTACAACAAGGACGCAGAAACTATAATGAAGCTAATTAAACAATCTTACTCACCTTCACCATTCCAGTTCCATTGTCACAGACAAGTGGCTGGATATCCTCACCATCGGCCATCTTTCACTAAGCAAAAAAAAAAAAAAAAAAGGAAAATCAATAAGATAAGCTCATCAAGTAAATCGCTTCTGATACACACCAACAATAAACCACATGCTAGATCACAACTTAGTTTAGACAAATAGCCGCCGTTATCAAATTCAATCAAGCATACTGATGACTGATCACATCAGGAAATATAGCTTAGCTAAATCAGACAAAGTTTAAAAAGCTGGGTTTAAGAAGTTCACAGATTCACAGATCTCAAAGCGAAAACACTTGAAAATTCACTTGTAAACATCAACCGATGACAGATCGAAGATTAAAACTAGATCAATCGAACACACAAACACAAGCACGAAAATCATTTCGAAGTTACAAACAAGTTTCACTTCACTGAAGAAACAAAATAAACAGAAACAGATCGACGCAAGCGAGATGAATCCTCAAACTCAATAGATCTAACACATAACCCCTAAGAAAACGCTCAGATCGATCCAAACAAGCACCGATCGAATCAGAGAACACAAGCAAAACCACAAGCAAGGATACGCACAACTATTCTCATAGAACTCAACGCATGCTTAACAGATCTAGCGAAATCGGCACAGAGAAAGAAGCGAGAGCGGATCTAGGAGGACTAACCTTGAAGAAGAGGATGATACTGGAAGAATCGAGAAGCAGCGAGAGAGAAAGAGAGAGAGAGAGATGAAGCAGAAACAACAATAGCGGCAGCAGCTAAAACACTAAGGAAAGTGAAACGAGTATACGTGCGAATATATAGCTAGGATTTTTCCCCATTTTTCACTCTTTCCACTTTTTTCTATTTTATTTTTCTCCCCATTTTTAATAATTTCGGAAATTAAAAAACAAAAAAAAAACTAGGAGAGACAATGCTATGGTGACCTGGCTTTCACACTCTTTTTAGCTCACCGACGCTTCTATGGCGCCGTTGGATTGTTTTAAGGGTTATCTTAAACCGTTGATTTGTGATTCGGTTTAAATGAATCAGCCCGCGTGTCACGGCTAAGTTTGGACTGGCTTAGTTTTTAATCGGCTCGGCTTATGTGGTTCGGACATCGTTCAAATTATATTCTCGAAATAACCAAAAACTAATAATAGAAAATAAATAAAAACTGACCCTTGTGGGTTTCTCCCGTGACCGTTTTTGAATTTTATATTTCTCTATTTATTATGTTTCTTCGTTTACTACGATTTCGTCTTTGAGGATTCAAACTTCAAACACTTAAAAATATTTAAAACATTTTGACGGGTTAAGACTGTATGCAACAAAGGAATCATTGTAGTCGTTTTTAGCACAACAAGGACAGGCGAACTGTTGAATGGTCCATTTTTCAAGAGTTATTTCATGTTCCGGTCGATCTAGGGGTGTGACCATGGTATGTCACATTTGGAAATTCCGAGAGATGATGATGTTTTGACAACCTCCCCGAATACGATTTTGTTTGATGTGAAAAGGAGAGTTCTATTCTAAGTCATGCTCTCGTTTGCAACTAAACTATACTTTCCAACATAAGAATGAAGTATAGAAGACTCATAAGTTTCCTCTTTGAGTGTGTAGTATATGATTAAGAACCAATTCATGTGAAAAAATTGAGGTGTGAACATTGTATATTTGTTATCAAGAAATATATGGTATCTCAGAAAATTAATATAACTTGGCATGGAATCTGACATTAATAGTCTCACAACATACTCTTCTGTCCATTTGATACTTAAGATTAATTTGGTGTATCTATATGTCCAAAACAAGTTACTTGCAATAATTCAAATACTAATCACCTTTAGGAATGATTAAAAGCTTTAAAAATTAATCTTTTTGAAATAAAGCTTCAAATCCCATGTTGGAAAGCATGTGCCAAGTTCTTGCACTTTGTCAAGAAAAGTTGGAAAGTGGTCTAGCTTGGTTGGCAACTTAAATAATCAAAAACTAGTTATGGGTATACTTTTATAATTTATCAATTCTCATACTTTTATTTGTTCTTAAACATTTTTCTTTTTTTTTTGTCAAATAACAAACATCACCAGAAAAAGAAAAACAGAGGTAAAAGGTAAATTCAAAGGGAAGCCAAATCAGTCATCATTTGTAAGTTGTATTCCAAGGAAAGATAAGTTGAGCCACCATTCTTTTCATTCCCACTTTACATTCATTGCCATATTTTGAATTGTCTTATCGTATACACTCACAATCACTAACATGTTTTGCCTATCATCAATTGTTACTTTTCTATTGTGAAGATCCAAATCTTCCAACTTTTAAACGGGCCAAAATATAATGGACTTAAGGAATAATATCAATAATATAGCTGGCCCTAAAGATGTAACAATTTTGACCCAGTTTGAACTTAAAGATAACTACTGTTCACATTATTGGGCCTGGGCATTTTTCTTAAGTTGTCCATAAAGTGATGAAAAATGACTCACAGAGTCACAGCTTCATTCTTTCGTCTTCTTCTTATAAATCGACTTGTGTGGACTCTTTAGAGAATATATCTGTGTAATCTGAATTTTGAAAACACACGTGTTTATGTGATCACCGTACCGTTTGTTTTGTTTATGTGTTTTATAAGGTGATTTTTAGTTTAAGTCTTTATCCGTGGAGGTTGTCAGAGTTTTTATGGTAATTCGTCAGGATATATATGTACATGCAGATCTTTTCGCATGATTAATGTTCGAATCAAATTAGTTATAGACAACCCATTTACATAAATCAGACCCTTATCGAGGACTCGAAGTGTGTATGTTATCAATCATGAGAACTAACTATACTATACTTGATATTTAAATATTTTTTTACAAGATACAGTATAACTCAGTGAGTGGGTATAAATGATATCATATTTGATCAATAAACCAAAATATATGAGTCTTTCGTGCGAATATGTTTGTCGCGTACATCTGGATACATACGGTCAACTAACAAAAGATAGATCATATTATCATAATATATATATGTGTATGGAAATAATCGAGACTCACCTTATCAATGCGGGGTACACCGCACGTGTACGTGCGCGTGGACACAAGTGCACACGTACGCATTTGGACACATCACATGCCCGCATATCCATCCTAAATCCCATATAGACACTCTAGCATTTGTCACAACGTTTTCAGCCAATTTGGCTTTATTATTATTATTTGATTTATTCAATCTCACACGCATGCATGATCATTAATACTACAAAAGCATTGCAGCGGTGTGTGACCACATTTTCAGTATCTAAAATCATTGTAACAAAGACGTCAAAAATGAATACTACTAGTATAAGTTGTTATCAAATAGCGATGTCACGACGTGCTTGGTATCTTTCGAGAGTTTAAACAGATGTGGAAGTGCTTTCAATTCGATTCATCAGTGGCTGATCAAAATATTAAGATGTTTTGTTTAGCAATTTAACCATTCAAAGACGTTGCTAAAACAGAAAAACTTTAGAAATGTAAATGTATCGCTTTCATATGTCCGTCAGTCTGTGTATATATTGGATTATACATACGGATGTACATATACGGATGTACCCGTAAGTTTGTTTAAAAGAGTGTATCCGTTATATCGTAATAAGAAGTTAGGGCATGGTCGTTGTGTAAAATACACAATACAACCCATTTAGGGAATTTTTAGGTTTTATTGACAGACGACATCTAATATCTTTTACCGTTTATGGAAATATCCTTGTTTTACCTTTTAAAACATGTAGCTTATCTCTATAGCTCACGCCTGATTAAAAATTTAAATGACGTAAACTAAAGTTGTAATCGAGACAAGAGAGTCAAGGGACCCTAATGTTCATGTAAAGTATATATCATCACATGTAATTCCTATAAAGTCATTCAAAGTTTGAATAAGAATCATCAAGAGAATATAATTGATTTTTCTTTATAAAGAAAATATTAATGACACTAGTTCACTAACCCCAAAGAAACGTTCAATGAACTTCTGAAACTCTTAGGAGATATCACATCATATCCTCCAATTATCTACAACCGTTGGTCAATCGTATTCACAACGACTACTCAGTGACATTATTGAACAAAGTTTAAACAAAAAGATACATCCAAAGTAATCCATTAATTATGCATGTAAGTCCAATCTTAATTACACGCGTTTTAGCTAAAACATATACCTTTCACTGCTTCATATTCTTTTAAGAAATGACAATTCTTTTACGCACGAACACATATTTTTATGTATTTGTCAAAATCTATTATATCATGGGATTATTTCTTTATATTTCAAGATATCATAATTTTTTTTTCTATGCATTGTCGAATAATAAAAAACATCTGCTAGTCTTGTAGTTTATATCTTAATAATTATCGCTGGTACCATTTCACCAGTCCGGATTAATCCACGATTAGAATATGATAAACATGTCGTATATGAAATTTAGATTCCACAGAACTTTACTTAATTATCGGAAAAATGAAAAGAACAAATAATATATAATTGTTTGATTACAAAAAGAGCTTTCTCTCCTCATCTCTTTTACACTTATACGTACGTGCAATATTTCAATGGATCTAACAAAGTTCCAATAATAAGAATAAAAAGGTGATCTATCCACAGCATTGCCCAGACAGAAATGAAACTGAAATCTATTTACATGATCAGTTTAATCCAGACTCAAAAGGGGCAGAAATTTAAAACCACAAAAACTTACAAAAAGTAGAAAGGATTTGATTCATTTCATCAAACCTTTGAACTTCAAGGAGAAGATTAAGTCCTAGTACTACTTAAACCGATCTCGTTGTGTTTTCTGGAAGGACCAGAAGCAGGAACAGGAAACTGACGTGGCAAGGACCCCAAGAACTCTACACTTTTGTGATCTTGTACTTGACGATGATGATGATCTTGTTGAGGTGGCGAAACGACGTCCTTTTGTTTGGGTGGCGGAGAGCTCGCGTTGAAGAGGTTCGTGGTTCTTGCTCCATTGCAGCAACTCAAAAGGACAAGAAGAAGGACAAGAATAGGGATTGTTCTGCCGAGTTGACATGTTCTTGATCTGCAGCATAGAGAAGACATTGGTAGTGAATGATCGGAGAGAAATTAAAAGAGAGAGAGAGAGGGAAATGAATATTGTTTTGAAGGAGTTTTGGGTGGAAGTATTTAATATTTAAAAGGGTAGTATTTTTGTAGTTGATGGGTGATGGAATGAAAAAGAGAAGGTTGTAAATTGCTGACAGCAAGAAATATGGGCACATCAAAGAGTGAGAGATTGTGATTGGAAAGATGTTGACTTATGGTTCTCTTCGTGTTTATTTACTTTTGGTCACATTCGTTTTTTTTTTTTTTTTTTGGGCTAAGGAAACCACTGATCGACCTAAATCCAAATTAATTAATCATGGATTTTACGCCGTTATGTTAGAAACTATACTAATTTAAGGTAGTCTATATTAGGTTTAGGGGTGTTGGACACGGAGTAATATAAATATTATACATTTTTACCACTAAAGTAAAGTATATACATTTGAATCATAGCTTATAAATAAATGTGAACAAGTTACCTAAGGGAAAAGGTAAAAACGTTGTAGAGCAAAAAAAAAAACAATAACGTCTCTTTATAGCTCTTTACATGACCCACGAGACAGAAAATATGGAAGAAGACTCCTTTATAGCTGTCTTTAATTAGGTTCACATGTAATTGCATCACATTTGTCTGATATTTTCTAATTTTGTTTTGAAATATGTATTATATGCGGATTGATGAATAATATATGCTGTAACACAATCTTAGAAATATTTAAATATCACCAAGATTACATGCACTTGATAACGTTGACAAGATTTATAATTTAATTATATGAATACATTTATCATTTTCGTCATAAGTAATTCTATCAATTCATCCCCTAGTGAAAAAGAAAGAGGAGACAAAGAGAAGAAAATGAAAGAAAAATAATTAATGGTGGGTCAAGGTAGAGCCTTTTCATTTCATGCTATGTCAAAAATTTCCATTCATATAACTTGACGACAAAATAATAATAATAATAATTTCATATCAAATTGGTAGTATCATAGTGACAAAATAATAATAATAATAATTTCATATCAAATTGGTAGTATCATAGTGTATTCTATCTTTATTTTTCTCCCATGATATATATAACTACTAAGGTATAAAACAAGTATAGATAGATAAAATATAATCATTGTACGATTCCCACGTACTACTTGTCAATATTTCTTATGGTATGTGTTGGACTGCATATTATTTATCATCCGTTATTATTAATAGCGAGGCAGAGAGATAATGACGATAAGTGAAAGTGTTGGAAGAACAAAGGAAACCAAAACATTAAAGACACAACAGTGGGTATGTCAGAACAACAGTCAATAAGATGTAAAGCTTGTCCTAGTTCCTAAAAAATCCTACGTATCACTGTATCAAGCAACGTACGTGCAATTTTACCGACCAATTTGGTTCACACGTTTTCTCCAATGCATAATTCTCATTGAAGTCCGATCCTTTTGTAAATAAATTGTAAATCCAACCCGAAAGATTAAACGCTTTCTCAAAACTTAAAGAGAATTTTGCAATACAATTATCCTTCGACAAAAAAGGTAAATGCAATTCTTCAAAAAAAAATAATAATAACATTTATTTCATTGTAATCGTATACGATCCAGGTCAAAAATAACAACTGTTGTGTTCTAACTTCTATGCTTTAAAAAAAAAAATTAGATAACGTAAATTTAATGGGCCTCTGTTGGCAAAACACTAATAGTGCATATGTATGTATTGAACGAACAAAGGATTGTAAAGAGGCCCATATAAGGTAACTACGGAAACTGTAAAATAGATATTTTCTATAACGAAAGTTCTTTAATGTTATGGCCAACATGATTTATATTTGTGCAATTGTGCACATAATGCAATACGAGAGACTGGAATGTCACATTCACATAGCCCAGTAGAGTTTACTCTTGCTGTTGGCATTGACAACTTGGCTCTAAGGTAATGGGTAAAGACTTTTAATTTATATAAAGTGGACTTTGAAAAAAAATAAGGAATACGAAGCAACAAAAGGTTGCTAAAGAAAAGTCCATCGAATCTGTCCGGTCAAATATAGTTCGTTCAATTCCCTTTTAAATGTACAAAAAAAAGAAAACATGAATACAACTAGGAATTCTTTAAGGGACAAAATACTCATATTTTATATTTCACACAGAACTGCAGAAATTAAAAAGGTTCCCCGAGTTTCCTCAGGCGGTGCAATTTTTTAAGAGGCCAAAGTGGATTCTTTTAGGTAAATCTACACCGTTTGCTTTACATAAACGGCTGAGATGTAGTACCCAAATCAAAAATCCTTTTAGTCGACGTGCGCCGAAAGATAACCTCAGACTCAACTCTTTGACCATAAAGTGTTACAAAGGAGAAAACACGGAAAAGTATTTATTTCAAAATTTGTCTATCAAGTACTATATAAGTTAAGTTCAAACAAGTGAATTTTGACGTCAGCATATATAGTTTGACTCATTCTTCATATAAAACCAAACCACACGAGTCACGACTCTTTCTCTCTCTCTCAAAACTCAAAGATTTGGCTCTCTCTCTCTCTCAAACTCTCTTTTCGTCGGAGAAAAGCCAAAAAGATATGAGGAGCGATGATCTCTACATCACCACCGTCCCTTGTTTCTTCCAATGTCCAATATCACTTGATCTTATGAAATCTCCGGTGAGTCTCTCCACCGGCGTTACCTACGACCGAGTTAGTATCCAGCGTTGGCTCGACGGTGGTAACAACACTTGTCCCGCCACTATGCAGATTCTTCCCAACAAAGACTTCGTTCCTAACCTAACTCTCCACCGTCTCATCGATCTCTGGTCCGTCTCCAACCACCGTCGTACCGATTCTCAGTCCCATGCTCCGACGAAAGACGATATTAACGCTGCGATTGAGAGATTCCTTATCGATAAAAATGATTGCCTCGTATTATCGAAGATTCTCCGATTCGCTAGTGCTTCTGATGAGAACAGAGAGTTTCTCGCCGCAAAAGAAGATTTCTTAAGGATGCTTGTGGATCTCATTAGCCAATTAGATTCCAAAAACTTCTCCGACTCCAAATTAATGCTCGTCGGAGAGGCGATGAAGATTCTGAGCACGATTCGTCGGAAAATCTTCGATCGGAGACGGTTGTCGAATCTGATCTTAACCAACGGTGGAGATTGCTTGACGTCTTTATTACTATTGATTAAAAACGGGAACACAAAACTGAAGATCGATTGCTCCGCCGTGCTTGAGTTTATCGCCGTCTACGCCGAGTCAAAGCTCTTAATCGCCGAGAGAGACGAAATCATCACCGAGATTATGAAATCGATAAGCTCAGACTCCGATTCAACCTTAATCGAAGCGAGCTTATCCTTTTTAATTGCGATCGCGTCTTCAAAACGAGTGAAACTCACATTAATCGGAGAGAAGAAGCTAATCACGAAGCTCACGAATTTGTTAACAGATCCAACGACGAGCGTTTCAGTGACGGAGAAATGCTTAAAGCTTATCGAAGCTCTTTCGTCTTGTAAAGAAGGTCGATCGGAGATTTGTGATGGTGTGTGCGTTGAGACGGTGGTGAAGAAGCTGATGAAAGTGTCGACGGCGGCCACTGAACACGCCGTTACGGTTTTGTGGAGCGTCTGTTATCTTTTCAAGGAAACGAAGGCGCAAGATGCCGTTGTCAGGACTAACGGCGTGACGAAGATACTTTTGCTTTTACAGAGCAATTGCTCACTTACCGTTAGGCATATGCTGACGGATCTTCTCAAGGTGTTAAAGATGAACTCCAGATCATGCCTTTCCGTATACGAAACCAAAACGACACACATTACGCCGTTTTGATTTATTTTTCTCCCCCTACGTATCAAGAAGTTCTTTAGGGATGATTGTTCTTAGTTTAGTTTAAAAAAATATTCGAGTAATATAAAAACAAAATTTTTGGAAGGTGAATTGTAAACAAATGAGATTCAATTTAATTAGAGTTGTTGCCACGGTCACAATTTAATAGCAAATCATTCAATAAGCTCTATCTTGTATATCTAAAACAATCTGAATCTTGATAGATTAAGCAGTCAAAACAAAGAAGATTTAAAAAGATCACAAGAAGTGGATTTGGCATTTGGAGGAACGTTTTGGAAAAGCAAGGAGGTCTTTGATGAGTTGCAGTTTCTTGCCATCATCAAATTTAGCACCAAATGCCACTTTCATTACTTGACGAAACTCACTTGCCAACAAGAACCGTTTCACTTGTTGGACTTCTCTACGATTCCCTCTGAAACCATATAACTCCAACACCTGCACCACATTTCCATCAATGCTATCCCCGCAATTACTTACACACTGAAACCTCTGGAACAGATAAAGAAGAAACACACACCGTAAGTAAAAATCCCGAGATAAAATTTATAATTGAGAGTGAGAGAGTATATTATATACAAACCTTGAGGATCAAAGTTTGTAGCAGGGGAGCGTTTTTTACGAGAGTTCAGAGAATTTTCCAACCTCTTTTCTTCTTAGACTGGAAAGATAGTTTCACAAACTGAAGACAAGTCCTATATCGTTTCGAAGTGTGGTTGATCAAAGGCATTCGAGGTACGAGACCACAAGTGGTCCAAATCATCCCGACATTTTAGTCAAAACTTCTTTAACGAGTTTTATGCGATCACCGCCTTGTTGCAGAGATAGCGTTGAATCAAGGGAAATCCTGAGCATCTTCACTGTTATTGCTACTACCTTCCTTGTAATAAAAGACATCCGAGTCGTCGAACTCGAGATGGTATTGAGACGAAATCATGATTGCGAATAGATTCCTCCATCTTTTGGAGAGAATTGAAGTGGAAGATGGATTCTAACTTTTTCTAGGCTTTTAGACGCGGGCTTTTTAATTGACCAAATCTATGTTGGGCCGGATAAATTAGCCCACCAACATATATATATTTATTTCTTTTTGCATTTAAAAGAGATCTATTGACTTTTATAAATTTGTGTTTACCTTAGAGATATATATGTACAATATCCGTTCTTATTAATTGTTCTTTATATCAATAAGTAAGATTTAGTTAAGAAATTTCCAAACAATTAAAAAGGATTCAATGGTTGTAAATTTGGTATCTTTGATTCAAAGATTTGACTAAAATACTACCAATAATGTTTTATAAATAACCTTTTAAGACAAAACAGAAGCAAGCAGGGTACCTAAGCCTTACCAGTAATTTTGAATTTGTCAAAGGTTATATAAAAAAGAGAGCCGATAAAGAAGAGTTAAAGGGAAGAAAGAATCCCAAATCACACTCCAGGTGATGCGCACATCAGTTTTCGTGCGCACACGCGGTGCACATTAGCCCCAACCAATCAAAGTCATCTTCTCCCGTTCTCCGGCGACTCTTCGTCGTGAGCATCCAGTCATGGCCACGTGGAACGCTTCCTCCCCCACGGCGTCTCCCTGCTCATCCAGGCGACGGACCAAAGCTCCAGCGAGACGCCCTTCCTCCGAATCTCCACCACCGAGGAAGATGAAATCAATGGCTGAGGTAATGGCGAAATCTGTCCGTGTGTTTGAACAAGAAGAAGAAGAAGACGAAGATAGCTACAGTGATTTGGCCTGCGAGAAATGTGGTTCTGGAGAAGGAGACGATGAGCTCCTTCTCTGCGACAAATGCAATAGAGGGTTCCACATGAAATGTCTTAGACCGATCGTTGTTCGTGTCCCCATTGGACCTTGGCTTTGTGTCGATTGTTCCGACCAACGACCTGTAAGAAGTAGGGATTTTTTTTTTCCTTTCCTTTAAATTTTTGTGTTCAAATTCCTAATTTTTTGCCTTTCTCATGTTGTTTGTTTTTTCAAAATTTTGGGATTTTTTTTTTGTCTTGTCCGGATGAAATGTTTAGGGTTATCTCAGAAGAAGATCTTGCACTTCTTTCGGATTGAGAAACAAATTGATCAAACAGACAAATCGGAATTAAGTCAAGGTACGATTTTTTTATTTTTTGGGTTTCCATGATATAATCATAAAGTTCTTGACTTGATGAATCTGACTTAGGTGTAATACTTGATTAGCAGTTTGATGAATAAGATATAGCTAAACTTTGGCCAATTATGAGTTTAACTTAAACTTAAACTTGATATGGCTAATCTTGATTAGGTATTTTCAGATATGTACTTAACTTTGTGGGGGTTAATGAGTTCAGAACTTACATATCATATACACAGATGCTTCAGGATTAACCGAATACTAGTGTTGATAAGTGAGCAAAATCAGTTTAATTGCTTCATTTCTTGTTTTAAAGAAGAGACTAGAAAGCCTCGGAGACGAACTTGCTCTTTGACAGTGAAGAAGAGAAGGAGAAAACTGTTACCGTTGGTTCCATCAGAAGATCCTGATAGGAGGATTACACAACTGGGAACACTTGCTACTGCATTAACGGCATTGGGTATCAAATACAGTGACGGCTTAAATTATGTTCCCGGAATGGCTCCTAGGTCTGCAAATCAATCCAAGTTCGAGAAAGGTGGGATGCAGGTAAAAACTATACAATCTTTCATCCCCTTTATCTATAACTTTCTTGTTTAAGTAACTTCTTTGATTGTTTTACTCGGTTTTTATTTTTCATAGGTGCTGTCAAAAGAAGATTTAGAAACATTGGAACAATGTCAAGCTATGTGTAGACGAGGAGAATGCCCTCCTCTCGTTGTGGTATTTGATCCGCTTGAAGGGTATCTCTCTCGATTCATTCGATCAATCTTCCCTTAATGACAAAATGGAGTTATAAACATGTTCCTTTTTATTCTGTCTATACAGTTACACAGTTGAAGCAGATGGTCCTATTAAGGACTTAACATTCATAGCTGAATATACAGGGGATGTTGATTACTTGAAAAACCGAGAAAAAGACGATTGTGACAGCATCATGACTCTCCTTTTATCAGAAGATCCATCGAAAACTCTTGTTATTTGTCCCGACAAGTATGGAAACATATCTCGCTTCATTAATGGCATCAACAATCACAATCCGTAAGCAACAAATTCAATTTTGTTTGTTTTTTTTCCCGCGAAAGTTTATACCATTAATATCATCAAATCCCTGATTGTTGCAGGTTTGCTAAGAAGAAGCAGAACTGCAAATGCGTGAGGTATAGCGTAAAAGGAGAATGCCGGGTTCTTCTAGTGGCTACACGCGATATATCGAAAGGGGAGAGGCTCTATTATGACTACAATGGTTATGAACATGAGTACCCTACTCATCACTTCCTTTGATCTTTCATTATTAACAGTTCTACAGCGTCTCTAGATCAGATTACTTTTTGTTGCCATTTTACATGTCAATTAGAAATGTAGAGCTGAAATGTATGGCCTTTTAAAAAGGTTATGCATTATTGATTATGAAGTTAGCGGTAGAATAATTGGATTTTGGGATTGGCATATAGAGATTAAGATGTGGCTAATGTCAATGGCTGAACTTTTTTGTTGGGTATCAAATGAAATCCTAACCTTTTTAGTATTTTCTTGGAGAAAACTTCACCACTTTAAGAGGTTGCTAAACAAGTTTATTATTTTTGTACTTGCTACTTATAATACAAAATGAACAATAGAATCAAATTGAAGTCTCTTAAATTTGTAGTTGGGTTTTGGATGATATCAACCATTTGTATTGTATTAGTAAAGAAATAACCTAAATAAGAAAATATATACATACACCAAATTCGAAAAAATATTTATTCTGGGACAAACTTTTAGTTTAAAAAAAGCCCAGTATGGTTCATTCGTTAAGACTGCAGACCATTAGTATCTCCTCCCAAGGGTCCTTATCTCCGATCACTTCTCCGCCGCGTGGAAATAACGAGGTTCTGGAAGCTCGGCCGGCCAACAGGTCACCGAGTGTCGTCCACAGTCTTAAACCTTTTATTGTTTGTTTCCATTTTAAAAAAGGCTTTGAAATGTTAATTTATAAAATAAAGAAACACATCCAAAAGAGATGATCTCACAACTGTACTTAGTTTCAGTGTATAGGGAAAAGCCTTTTTTTACTTTGACCACTTTTACTGAACCATTTTTGTGAAAAAAAATTAAAGTCTACATTTATATTTCAACGGCATTACAAGGCATAGAGAGAGAGAGAGAAATAGGAAGAAAGAAAGAGAGAGCTTTGAATCAGAAATTTTCTGAGGAGAGAGATCAGAGATGGCTTGTAACCCTGAATTCCTTAAGTGCTATGAAGAACGGAAGCAGGAAAGCTTCTTCAAAGTTGTTAACAGTGTTGCCATCTCTTCCGAAAACATGGTAATTTATCTTCTATACTCCTTTGTTTTGTTAATTCTGGAAAAGGTTGAAACTTTTCATTCTCTCAGTTGGTTTTTAGAGGTTTAAATCTTGAATTCTTGAGAAATGCATTTTAGAGGTGGAACAGGAAACTGCCTTTATGGCTCTTAAAATATAATCACTGTTTTCACGAAATTTCTTCATTTGTAGTCTTAAGAACATGAGTAGTCTGTCTGATTTTGAAGATCTTTTCTTTATTTTTCGAAATTGTACCTTATGCATGAGATCTGTTGTCTGTTCTTGTTACTCATGTTTAACTTCTTGTGAGATTTGAAACTTTGGACTTAAATTCTTGGTGGGATGTTTAGAATTCACGGATTTTTTTTCACTGTAATTGAAGAAACATTCTTGTTTTGATTTTGATCTCAGAACATGTATCTAATATCTTTCATCTTGTTTGTATGACTAAAGCGAGCAATTCCTCACGACTTTGCGAGAAAGTTCTCTGACAATGAGCTCTTGGGTAAGATGAAGATAAGAGTGCATTGGGGAAGCTCTTGGGAAGTAAAAATATCGAAAAACCCTAGATTCTACTTCATGGAGAAGTCCGGATGGGAGAAGTTTGTGACTGACAATGCCTTGGGAAGAAATGAGTTCCTCACCTTCACTCACAAAGGAAAGATGCACTTTAGTGTTAACATCATGAAGCAAATTGGCAAGGAGATGCTTCAACCTCCACAAACCAGAGCCTTCTTTGCTTCTTCGAGTAACATTTTGCTTTTCTGATTATGAAACAGTGAACCAGAGAAAGATATTGACTCTCGACTTTTGATGATCAATCAGGTCGTTTTAAAACAGAACAAGGTGTCAAGACTGAAGAGGAGGTGGTGTCTTCTGACTTGAATTCTCGTGGCCCGAGAACAGCACCTGAATCTAATGGAGAAGGCATGTGCAGAAGGAAGCTCAACTTTGAGAAGAAGAAAGCTGAGGAATCCCAAAATTCCAAGAGGACTGAGAGAGTGGTTGGTATCCAGAGAGATTTTGCAGGCACATCTTCGTCTTCTGTAGCAGGTTTCAGCATCGTTATCACGAAATCATACCTCACATCTCTTGTATGATAATGTTCTAAAACACAGTTTCTATATTGGGTTTTGTTTCTCAAAAAGTGATATGTGAATGAACACAATTGTTCTTGTTCTTTTAGGCGCTCCCGGTATCTGTTGTAAATTTTATGCCGAGAGTGAAATCAGTGGTCAAGATCCATCATCCAAATGGGAAAAAGTTATGGAAGGTGGTGTTTTTGGTAACGAGGAGGGGTCGCCTTTTCTCTGGTGGATGGAGAAGTTTGTGTATGGATTATCCTGTTGCTTTGGGGGACACTTGCAAATTCACACTCATCAACCCACACGAGCTGCTTCTAGTTGTTACAAAGCCCTAAGAGAGGAGACTCACTGATGTCTGATGATGATGGATGTGAGGGTGTCTTGTAGGACAAGCAACTGAGTAAATCTGCTTTATGTTTAATGGTGTGTTATGTAATGACTTAGTTCGGTTTTAGTCTGCTATCTAAACTTTCCCACTTTGCCTGTAGCTTCATATATTTGGGACCAATTTTAATATTTTTGTTGTTTCCGTGAGACCTTAGTTTTGTTATATTCAGGAACCAACATCTGTTAGGAATTTGATTCAGGCAGATGTAAAATACAAGATGCTGCTGTATATTGTCAGAAGAAATTTTAGTGACAAAGAAAAAGAAAAACCGTATGTGTATAATTATGGGCCTAAAGCCCAAGCCCATTAGTAAGTTACGATTCAGCCCCACATTTGTCTCCCGTCCACCTTTAGGGTTCCTCTCTCCGAACACTTCTCCGACGCAAAAAAATGACGAAGTTCAGGAAGCTCGGCCGTCCGGCGGGTCACCGTATGTCCATGCTCAGGTTTCGTATCCAGCTTAAATCTTTCGTTTTGCTACTTTACACTTTCATTTTCGATATTAGAAGTTTTGAAATGTTGGTTTCACTCTCTTGTTGATCAGGACTATGGTTTCTCAGTTAGTGAAGCACGAGCGTATAGAGACCACTGTCACTAAGGTATTTTATTGATCCTCTTTCTCCCATTTTCCAGATTCTGCGGTTTTGGTTAAGGTTTATAGGATCTGCCATCTTCCCACAGAACTCAATTTCACTGGATTGTGTTGTCTGTTTTGTGAAAAAGGATACTCTTTTATAGCAAATTTTGAATCTTAAGCTATTGTATTTACTGTGAAGCTAGTGTAGTAGTCCTTAGTGATTGCATATATATATGTTTACTCCTCGATTCTTATTTCATCAAGTTAATGCACATACTAGTTTTTGGTTGAAAGAAGCTATAAGAAAACATTGGGTTTTGCAGGCTAAAGAGGTGCGTCGTCTTGCTGATAATATGGTTCAACTCGGCAAAGAGGTATTGTTGTTTCTTTGATGTCTTTAATATTGTTGTCGAACTCAGTTTCATATTTTTCGATTATTGGTTGATTTAACAATTTTTTAGCATCTTTTGGATCACACTAGTTGTAGTATGTGAACATCATTTTCTCTCATTTCTAATCAGTAAATTGTGGTTTGATCAAGGTGTTAGTGTGCTATGTCTGATAATAAAATTTATAGGGTTCACTAGCTGCGGCAAGGCGAGCAGCTGGTTTTGTGCGAGGAGATGATGTCCTTCACAAGATTTTCACAGAATTGGCATATAGATACAAGTGAGTCTTACAATCTTTTGCTAACAGTTAATTATCATCACTTAAGCGCTTTGGGTAATCATTGGAATGAATATCATTTGTTACAGAGATAGAGCTGGTGGATACACAAGAATGCTCCGTACCCGCATACGAGTTGGTGACGCTGCTCCAATGGCCTATATCGAGTAAAACTCCTTTCTTTTCATATACTATTCCTTATAAGAAATTCATGATCCTATGATAGATCAAATTAAGCAGTGTTAATGATCAAAAGGATTGATATATTTGAAAGCTTTCTGAACTAATTTGGTCGATACTCTGGGTAGGTTTATTGACAGAGAGAATGAGCTTAGGCAATCGAAACCAGCAACACCTCAACCACCACAACGAGTACCGTTGGACCCATGGGCAAGATCTCGACTCACCAGACAGTTCGCTCCACCTAAGGAGGAGAAAACCTCAGATTCGGAGCTATAATGTGGGGAAGATTACCTCCTCCTATCTACCAATTATCTTGTTTTTGCCTGGATTGTACTATCTATATAATTCATCATTTTTGCCATATGTTTTCTCAGAGGCAAACAATAAAGTTAGCCTATCTTTAACTGGTTTTAAATGTTTTATAATGTAATCTTGAAAGCAACAAGCTAGGAGAGACTTTTCTTTGTCAGCCTACCTATGAAGTGAACTGTTAGTAAAAAGTTACTCTCTTTTTCTTGCTTCTACAAGATTAGGTTTGGGATCGGGATCAGTAACAGTAAAATTTATGTGCCTAATGCATGAATCCATACCTACTTAACTGTATTTAGGTGAACCACTTAACAGAACCCTCAACCCCAATTTGATTTTACAATTGAAACCTACTCTTTGAATTAATGGTTTTATTAACTGCTCTTTACCAGTTTCTGCAACCTCCAACATCCTCGTGACTTTTCTTCGTAGGGAATTTTGAGATGATGAAAATGATAATGATGACGATGATGTCTACTTCGTTGAAAACTTTTGGGGGATGTTGTTTTCTTACAACTACTTCTACTTTAACGTCAAGCAAAACACAACTTGTGATCCATCTCCATACTCATTTATGATTGTAGTCCAACACACTATATATGGAATCATTCCCTGCATACAATTATAAGCAACAACAACAGAAAAACTGTTTCTTTCCAAAGGTTGAAACTTTATTGTTTTACTTCATTAGTCCTAAAATTCTGAACTTTCAATTTGATATGACATAAATGCAAAGTTTGCATTAACTTTCTCAGCTAAAGTACAATGACAAAGTTTTCTTTATAAAACATCCCCCTAAACCCTTTATAATTTTACGATTCAAGGCTTCAAGCATACATCGAAGCCCACTCATCAGCCTGAATAAAGTTAGCCACCGAATACACATGCACATGCTCATCCGGTATCTCGCTGCTCCACGAAACCCTTTGTGACCTATCCGATCCCGGACCCGTGTTCTTAGCTTCGCCGTAGTAAAGTGTCTTGAGCGCGAAATCCCCGCTCCAGGGTAACCATCCATCAGGAGTGATCAAAGTCTCTAGATTACAACCTATAAAGACAGTCCTCGAGTAATCTTTCCATGGCCTCCCCAAGTAGTTCTTATGCACCTTAGGATTAGCATTAAACAGCTTCATGTACTCCTCTGTTCCGTTAATCAAACAGTTCAAAAACACGAAACCCGTGGACTGTGACGGGTCAATTCTACCTTGGGCAGTGACTGCGTTTTTCTCTCCCTTCTCGGGTTTAAGCTGACGCGGTGCGATTAAGATTTCACAGTCTTGGAAGACAGCAGCAGAATTGCCAAAGATGAAGTCAACGTTTCCTTGAATACGGCAGTTTTTGTAGAACTGTCGAAGACCATGTGCGTAGAGCGTGTCTTGGTTCCCAAGAAACTCACAATTCTGGAGCAGAGAGAAATCGCTGTCGGATCTAAACGCCACCGCTTGATGAGCGTCTGGTCCCGCCGTGTTCTGGAACGTTAAGTCACGAGCCATGAATCCATCCCCTACCACTCCTATTAAGCCAAATAAGTCAAGTCAACATAGGATAAAGAAACATTGTAAGCTATCGCAGTAAAATCGTGGATCCTTTGACTCTGTTGAAAAAAAAAAGTGTTCTTTCACGTGCAATGCAAACCACATAATATTTATCTACATCTAAACTCTACTTAACATAATAAAAGTATGAACTTTTCAACTCTTATTTTTAATATTAAATTACGTTTGCTTTAAGATCAAAAGTACGAGAAAACTCACCGACAGTTGCAGTGTTGTACGTGGTGATCCCAGGCATACCGGCGTTCAAAGAACCTGTAATGACCGTTTTGCCCATACCGTCTCCGATGAACACGACGTTCTTCTTCTCAAACGGAACAATAACGGTCTCCTCGTACACTCCTTCGCTAATCTTTATGACAAACTTACGCTTTCCGTTACCCACCGGCGCAGCGTTAACGGCGTCTTGCACCGTCTTGTAAGCGCATTTCCCGTCTTTACAAACGGTGGCGTCTTCTTTCAAACCGGAAGGAAAACCCAAATTAGGCCCTGTATCCGAGCCCAGAACCGGCCCAGTCTTATCCCAGAACCCGTCACGTTCGGTTGCAGGGGAGGTCCACGAGGCGACGTTGTCTCCGAAGTTATCGTAGGAGACCATCATGCTAAGCGCGTTGCTGCTGAGGTGGATAAGTGCGTCGAGAAACGACATCGTTTCGCCGACTTGGCTGGTGTCGTTGACGTACTTGAGCGCTGACCATGAATCGTACTGGTACACGAGAGCAGCGCTCATCCAAGCTCGAGCGTCTTTGATTTTACCACGTGTCAAAGCCTGATCCGTAGATTGGGTCCGGTGCTCGGAGTAAGAGAGGAGCTGGAGACACGTCTTGGCGGCGTTGGTACGGTTCAGATTCCCTACGGAGGAGTCTACGATGGACTTGATTTTTGATTGGGCGGTCTTGAGGTTTTGGAAAGAGATTGAGATCGCTGAGTGGATGATCTGGATCGGTTTGGAATCGGGAGGGACAAGACCCGGTTCGGATAGTGAAGAGACGCATTGGTCTGGGTAACGAGTTGCGTTACAAGCGAGACGGATCTGAGCAGAGGGAGACTGCGAGGGATAGGCCGGAGGAGTGTCGCCGGAAGGTGATCGGCGGGAATTGTGGTGACTGTGGTGGTGACGGGAGGAGGAGGAGGGAGAGGAGAAGAGGAAGAGAGAGAAGAGGAGGATGAGAATGGAAGACATGGCGAGGATTAAGAGACAGAAGCAGCGGATTGGGAGTTTTCTGCGGTGGGGATGATGGAGTTTCGAAGAAGACATTAGAGATGAATGTATATATATATATATATGTATAGGTAAGTGAGTGTGTATGGAAATTAAATTATAAATTTATGAGGGAAAAATAAAAATAAAAATAGGGGAAGGAAAGATGGATTACAAGTCACAGACCATTAGAGAGAGTCACGGGCGGTGCATTAGTGGAACACTGTGGATCATGCGCGCAGAGAGACGGAGATGAGAGAGAGAGAGAGAGAGATTGGAGTTTTGTCTGTGTCCTTTTTTTTCTTAATTACGGTTCTAATTAGGGAAGATTAGGTGATTAGATTTAGATTGTCCGGTTTGGAATCTGGTTATGTATTGGTTTAGGATTGAGTTTAAGGGAAAATATTTTAGAGTATTTAACATAATCTATCAAAATCACCCCATAATAAAAAGTTTTGGATTTGCTTCTTCACGTTTTTCTACCTTTGATTTCTATTAGGTTTCTAATCAAATCATATTGTCATTAAAACAATCATAATACTGAATTACACTATAATTTAATAGAATTCTAAACCCACTAAATTGAATAACAATAGATATTGAAATTGGATAACAGTAGAATTTCTGAATTCTTTCAAAATCAATTAAATTCATTTGTCTAATAACCCCCTCCCTTTTAATGTATTTTAAGGTTCTATAATATTGATCTTGATTTTTGACTTGCGGTTGGTACTTGTTGTTTTCTTTATGCGTTTTATTTTCCTAATATCAGATTGTTAATCACATTTTCTAACTTTTTAACCTGTAATATATTACTAGTGATCATTAATAATCTTGTTATAAATTCCAAACAGTATTCTTAGCATTTGTTTAGATATTCGAATAAATGTTGATGTGGTTAGGTATTATCATCTAGATCAGGGTTAGCAAACACTATACACCACTCACCACTCACCACTCACCACTCACCAGTCTTAATATTATATGTTTTCCTGCAATAACAGATCTATATATATATATATATATATATATATATATATATAGCTAAACATATTTAATCCAAGACAATTAACAAAAAATAGCAGCAAAAAGACCACGATTTTAGGTTTACCAAGGGTTTTCCAAATGTTTAGTAAGCATCCAAATTCATCTAGCACTATTCTAGAAACCTAATACAGTACTTGTTTGTTTTGAAAAAATTTAGACTCAGACTTTTGATGGTCTTTTCTCGGATAACAAAAATGGAAAAATAGGATTTGGAAATCAGATTTTTGTTGCGGCCCATATATCAATATAACACAAACTTCTGGTATCGGCCCACGAATATGGAAGCTCCACCTTTGGTAATTTCCTTTATTTTTTGTTTTGAGCCAATAATTTCCATATATAGCTTTATGGCTTTAGTTTCAGATCCATTTGGCTTTATATTTGAAAAAGAAAAAGCAGTTAGCAATTGGTTTTTATATAACCATTGTAATGTTGAACATTGTTTAAAATACACAACGGTAATCGCATTCTTCCAGGACAATAAGAGAATGAATTCATGCACGGTCCATTCATCGATCAAGTTTGTTTAGATATATATATGTTAGTTCTCATTCTTGTGATTTGTACATGTCAAAACTTGTGGATGCAATTATATATGTTCTATCTTTTAAAAGATGTTTTATATATATATGGCATGGTTCCAAGTCATATTTTCCACAGATCTCAAATATGTTATGTTTTTAACCTTTTTCTCGTTTAAGTTAACTCTGACCTCCGTATAATTTAAGACGAGTGGGATCACATGCCCCTAAGAGAAAAGTATAGTATAAATTGAAATGTGATCATTAACATCTATCTCGTGGAAGATTCATTTAATTAAGTTGGTTAAAATGATCTTTACTTGGAAAAACATATATATATATGTTCTTCACTTCTCAACTACACCTCATGCTCTTCATAAACATGAACGAAAGTAGTACTAGTCCTTTAATAGACAGTTTTTGAAATTTGAGAACAAAATGTTGATCAATAGATGCCGCCGGTAAAAAAGTATGATCAGTTGGTAATTTGGTATATATATATATATATATATATATATACTAATTTCAAAATAGTTATCAAAACAAATATAAACATATATATATATATATATATATATATATATATATATATATATGAAGGACTTATATACAAATCGATCGAGTCTATTAGTGATTTAATTAGTGTTGTTTTTGTTAATTGGGTCTAAAATACGTACAGCATTATGCGTATATATGTATGGATACTGTCATACTGAAAACACGTCATTTCTACTTAATAGTTAATACCATTAATCCAAGGAATTGAAAATTTGAAAACCATCCAGGCATCCACTGAGTCAATTTCGTAAGTTTACATTTAAAAAAAAAAAACAAAACAAAAGAGAGAAAGAAATAATAAAGTGAAAAAAAACTCATTAAAGAGTTATCCATATTACTAACACTTTCGGACCAAACAAGAGACTTCTTCGCTTTCTCCACAGCATCTGCCCATGCCTTGTAATCACTTTTTTAGACTTTTAATCCTCTCTCACAAGCAAAAAAAAAATAAAGGTCTGTTTTTAGGTTTTCACTGCTTCCTTTTAATAAACAATTTTTATGTTAATCATCATCAACCATTATTAATATAACGCATAACCTATTCTCGAAGTTATATAAATCAATATTATAGCGCATATCTTACATTTTCCATTCTAGCTAATTTCTTTTTTCTTAACTTCATAACCAATCTTGAAATTTTATTTTCGGATGAATCCGAGTCGGTGACTTGGTGGTTAGTTAATAACTTAATATATATATATATATATATATATATATATATATATATATATATGGTTTAATGGTTTGACAACTATTAACTAGACCAAGTGAAATTCGATAATGACAAAGCGATGATATCACTAGAGTTTAGAGACTAGAGTACAAAGTGTTCAAACTAGAATACTGAGTTTTTTTTGTTGTTGTTTGTTCCTCTCCATGGTGGAAGCAGAAAGAGGAAATCCAAAAAAGAGAGATAAAAGAGAACTTAGAAGTCGCTGTAAGAGTCCAGACTCTGATGAAATGAAATGAGCTAGATGGGTCTTTGGGACTCGTAACACACATATATGTTCTATCGCTATTAATATAAACAGAAGGAAGAAGAAGAAGCGCACAATTGCTGATGAAGAAAACAAAATTAAAGATATATATATCCGGTAATTTGGATGAAAATAATGGAGATTGTCAGATTTTATGAATCAATCTTCCTCGGAAAATGTCGCATATTTATTTCACCCACTCACGTGTAGATAGATAGATGTACTATATACACATTCACATTAGATTCATCATCTAGTTAGGGCTTACAGTTACACTTTCTATACAGACGAGAAAGGGACCGTTTGAGCTGTATTATAAAGTTAACTTAGTGGAATCAATTGCATTCAATGTTATTTACCTATTTCGATGATCTGCATGGTCATACCCATCTCAAGATTTACTCATTTACAGACAGCAATCGTCTTAACAAATTAAGATCAAATAATGTATAATCAATCTGAAACTATATAATTAAGTAAAAAAATAATAAAAAAATCTGAAACTATATATGATCAAGCCCTTAATATAAAAACAATTATGTTAGCTTCTTTAACCATATCACACGAGCTTTACAAATATAATTATAAGTTTACAACATGTGGGTAACTATATTTTATACATACTTATATCGACTCAAATTTCCAAAACTTTTGTGTGTACAAGTAGATATATCATGTATAGTTGGCTGTTAGTTGGCTTTAATAAGAACAATATACAAGGAACAATGGATTAATACCAAAGAGGGAAACCCTATCATGCATGATCACAGCCTGCATGCGCAATGTGTATGATTATAATGCAGACCAAATCATAACATATTAATGCAAATAATAGAACTTATAGAATGTATTTATACATTGCTTTTGCGATGAGATATATGACATAAGAAACTTGTCACATTAAATCAGAACCGCTGGTTTATTTTATAAACCGATACAACGTATATAAAAGCTCCCTCTTTTGAAGTCTCATGAAAGTTTCGTGTATTTTACGGACTTATGTTTCTTATATACACTTACATACAAGAACGTAGTTACGTAGATGTGAACTTTGAAAAAATAAAAAAATTCTTCATGGAAAGTGATATATTCACCCCCGTCTTATATAAAAACGAGTCACGACGATGGTACACGTCTTTCTTATTAACGACAATCATGGATAACAGCCAAATCTTGATGAAGGTGTCCCCATGCGAGTGATTTGATGTGATCCGTTTAAAACCTTTAATCACGTCGCAAATTATATATAGAATAAACTTTGTGGAAACAAAAAGCAAGTTGCTCGTTTGTTTTATAATAATATATAACCTTGCGAGTTTCACACACAATTTACATTCAATATTGGACTCCATCGAAGAGGGAGAGGGACAAAATCACGACCGTTGATTGGGATACGAGTATATAGGATCAACAAGTGTGCTATTTAGTGAAGAGACAAGAGAACAAGAGAAAATTTATCAATATTTCCTATTTAGGTGTGGATGGGTTTTAGTGAAGAGAGAAGGAGATAAAGAGATGGCAAATTGAGAAGTCAGAATAAGAGCACACAAGTGGTGACATCTTTTGTGAATCAAAGAGAAACTCATGTTCATATAAAGTAATTCACATCTTTATATATAGTAGTTATATTACTTTGGTGAAAGCCACTTTCTCCATCTACCCTAAATTTAAGTCTCAGTGTGCTGTAATAGAGGAAAACCCTAGCCAAGTCTATATTTATCTCATTAGTTATTAGAGCTGCTCATTAAAAACTAAAAATATAACTCTTCTGTGCAATTACGCAAAAGTAATTTTTTTTTACGTAACGGATGATATATATTTTCGAGCAGATGGAGAACTTCTTATTCTCTAAAAACAATATGTAGTTATTTTTGGTAACGACTAGTGACGTGCACTTATTGAAAAGAAACATATAAATACAATTCTTATAATTTTTTTTCCCCAGTACCAAAATCCTTATTGCATCACCAACCTAACCCCTCATCATATGATCACCTTTCTTTTTCCTTTAAAATATATATATGTGCTCTCACACACTCATATATATACATAGCACACACATATATGCCTCGCCTCGGGCATTAAAATTTTCACAAATCAAAGAAACATAAAGTATGAATAATAATAATAATAATAATATGAACCCATCTCTCTTCCAAAGTTACACTTGGAACAACATCATCAACAGCAGCAACAACAACAACAAGAATGATCACCATCATCATAATGATCCAATCGGTATGGTCATGGACCAACACACCCACCTCCATATCTTCAACAACCCTTTCTCTTCTTCTCATTTCACTCCCCTCTCATCTTCCCTCGCAACCACCACTCTTTTCTCCGGAGATCAAGCAGATGAAGAAGACGAAGAAGAGCCTTTAGAAGAACTAGGTGCTATGAAGGAGATGATGTACAAGATCGCAGCCATGCAGCCGGTCGACATAGATCCCGCAAGCGTCAAGAAACCCAAACGCCGTAACGTCAGGATCTCCGACGACCCTCAGAGCGTAGCGGCTAGACACCGCCGTGAGAGAATCAGTGAGAGGATCAGAATTCTCCAGAGACTAGTGCCAGGTGGCACCAAGATGGATACAGCCTCAATGCTCGACGAAGCTATACGCTATGTCAAGTTCTTGAAACGGCAGATCCGGCTACTCAATAATAATCCCGGAAATCATCCTCCCCCGCCGCAAGATCAAGCTTCTCAGGCGGTTACGACGTCATGGGTTTCGCCGCCAAATTTCGGCGGTGGGGAAGGAGGAGGAGGAGGAGGAGGAGAAGAACTGATCTAATCAAGGTGACATTTCCAATAATAGTAACTAGATTATGATATAAAGTGTGAGTAATGGTGCAATTATGGAAAGTGTTTATATATATTAAAATGGATACGAAATAAGGGTTTGTTAGGATATATAATATATTGTTGTTGACTCGAGAAAAGGTTGTGGAATAATCATAACGGTTAGCTTGAGTTGTGTACCACTATATATTTAAAATTGTTATGAATTTGGTATATATATAAAATGAATAATAAGTTTTTGATTTGTAGTTTGGTTGTATACAAGTTTTGGCCGGGCATTTTTCGGGAATAAGAGCCATGACGCCATGAAAGAACCCTATTTAAATAGTGTTATCATTACTGAGGACTTTTGTTTTTTGTATTTTACACACAACGCATATATATATTTGTATTCTACTATATGTTTTAGAACTTCGAGCATATATATGAATATACTCCATTGCTTTATTTTCATCTTACGTACATATATATTTCACATTTGAGCGTTAATAATAATGAAAACATACCAACAGAAAGAGATTAAGTACAAAAAATTATAAATTGTTATGAAGAAAATATTCATATATATAACTCTAAGACCAAAAAAAAAAAAACCTAATTCTAATTATAGCCTATTATCTTTAGACGTAGCCAGTTAGACTTTTGTGAAATTGCTAACGACATATGTTTAGTATTGGTAAAAAATTACTAATGAGTTATGCATGTCTAGATTAACTGATATGGTGTATCGATATACACACATAGTGACATAGAGAATAATCATATAACCCAAAGAAAGAGCATATGGATACACGCAGAGAAAATGTACTTGCATGCTCTCGTTTGCCTTCGAAGTTCGAAGTAATGAATTATCATCGAAGTCCAATTAAAACAGTTTGCAATCTCTTTTGTTACCTTGCCAATACCAAAAAAAACAAAATCTTTGACAACGGTACAAAGCATTAAAGAAACCAGAGCTTTGCTCCACACTTGTTGGTCAGAAAAAAAACTCAGAAAGTATGCGCAGAGAGACACTTTAAACCTATGCTCTTTACATCACTTCGATATTTCCGCTGACTTTTGTGTCTCCTCGCATTCATAGGTAGTTTAGACACAACGAACTGTCAGTGAGACGATAATGAGATTCAATGGAAACTTATATCCATCTTGCTAACGAATTATTTACTATCTTTTGGCGACATTAATACAAGAACTTATGTGTCTAAATTAAGCACAAATTAATAATCCATTATGCATCAATAGCCATCTTTATGATTCCTATTTTTTTCCAAAGGAAGATAGGAGATTAGGAGATGTTCTTAAAATCAAGCCCTTTGGCTGCTTTAGCTATGATTGATGAAGGAGAGCTAGACTGGAAGATTGTTGCCATTTCTTTGGATGACCCAAAAGCTCATCTTGTGAATGATTTTGAAGATGTTGAGAAACATTTCCCGGTACGAGCTAATCTAGTAGTAGAAACAATACATGAATTTTGTTTCTGACCCTATATCTGGTGAGCACTGAGCAGGGTACACTAACAGCCATTAGAGACTGGTTTAGAGATTACAAGATCCCAGATGGGAAGCCTGCTAACAGATTTGGTCTTGGAGACAAGCCAGCAAACAAAGTAAGTTCTTCGTTTTATCATTTCTCTAGCGGTGGTACTTTACGTTTGGTACTATAACTGAGAGGAGCTATCTTTAAAGGAATATGCTTTGAAGATCATCCATGAAACAAATGAATCATGGGCTAAACTTGTGAAGAGATCAGTTGATGCTGGAGACCTTTCACTTTTCTGAACATATCTTGCAATGTCCACTTCTGAGTTCAAATAATGAACAGACTCAAGAGTCTTTATATCATTCTTGTTTTTCTTTCGATTGAGTTCTAAACACTGGGATTTTATTTTCACCATTGATGACTGAGAAGTAATAAAATGACATTCTGCTGTGGAAATATTTAAAATGGAACATGAAACAGGGTCTGTGACTTGCCATGGAACAGAGCTTCTCTGTTCAGAGTGCAACACTGCAGCAACTCAAAAGTTCAAAAGATTTAGGCTTCATAGGGTTGACTGAAGATTAACGGAAACAATACAAGGCTAAAAGCAATATAACTGTTATGAGTAACCATTTCGATTACATAACAACATGTGGCAAAATTGCAATTTACATGATATTATCCAACAAAAAGCAAAGAGAGAAAGAGAGAAGAGTGAGTGAGAATGTTCAGATAGGTTCTCCATCAATCCATCTTCTGAACATAAGTGAGCATTGATCTGGATTATACTCAGCTGTGTGTCCTCCTCCCTACAAACCACAGTAAAAACACTCTGTATGACTTTTTGTATTTCCTGCAGAAACTTTGGCCAATACAAGAAAGAAAGGGTTTACCTTGACGGTTGCAAATGTCATATTATTCGCGTAAGTTCTTGTATATCTACAAACACAGATGAAAACAGTGTGTCTTAAAGATAATTTGAAAATGGTGAGATTGGAGTTTGACACAATGGTTTTTTGTTTACCCAGCAACTTGATCGCTATGCATCATCCAAGGTCTCCAGTCCTCAACAATAGAATAGTTGAGAGCTCTGATCCAAGCTTGAGTTGAAGAGAAAGGTACCATAGAATCATGATCACCACTGTTCCAAAACTTCCAAATACATGAGGTTGTCAAATTCTAAAGATAGAAAAAAATTAAAACTAGTTTGGCAATATTAATGATACTTGCCTGTAGATGAGAGAGCGAAAGCCTTTACGACTATTGTTCACGTGATACGGAAATGCATTGTGTATATCATATGTATATGGTATGTTTTGGATGTTGCATCGATTCCATTTTCCTAGTTCCTGCATCACATTAACATTGAATTGGTGAGTTTGTGTGCATTGTGTTATGTTTTGCCTAGGACCAGCCAACCGAAAAAAGAGAGTTCAAATAGGTACCTTCTTCACGCCTAGAGCTTTACGTACATTTTCATCGTTTGCCCAAAAGGCAGACAGAAAATACTTATAAGTCTGAGAGAATGATAAAATGTAAGACATATCAGAACTTTCCAAACCCATGGATATTAAAAAGAAATGAAGGAAGTAAGGAGAGAATTGTTACAAAGCAGGTAGGAGGTGGTAATGATGATGAATCATTTCCTGAAAACTCCTTCAGTTCTCTTCTTCTGTCAGCTCTGATGTTTGGTAAGGTTTGTAGTGTGTCTCCCAGGACGTAATCTACTTCGCAGTTTCGTAACAAAATATGCTCTGTGTATATCTCTGACATACACTAGATATAAACTCAAAAAAACAATGAGACAATTAGTGTTTGGAAACAGAAGCAGATAAGATAAATAATACACAAGTGATGTGTGCGGTATATAAATAAAAGTCTTTACATGGTCATAAGTTTGAAGATTATTTGAGCATCTTGCATTACTTGGGTCTACGTTGAAGAATTTTCCTTCACAACTTCTTTCAAGTGACTGCAAAACGTATTGAAAAAAAAAGAAAGATTGTAACCAAATATCTTAACAAATCATATATGATGAATTGTTGAAAGATAAGGAATACCTCAAAGAGCTCATCTGAAATAAGTCCCATCCCATGAGCAAATGAAATTCTATAGTTACATTCCAAGTTTGTATCTGTCAAAGGGTTTCCAAGAACATAACCCTGCTCAAAATTTTAGGAATGTGTAAGTAGAAAACATATGAATTCTTCTCTCAACCGAATTATCGGTATCCATATGATAGTCTGAATAGACTATTTGACACCTGAATATTTATGAGTGGTGTGAGGCCTTTCTCATTTCCTGTTTTCACAATTGTAGAATGTGATTGTAAGCTCTGAACTCAAAGATAGAAAAACAATGGAATGTGGCGATTAAAAAAGGCTACCAAATGAAATTTGCTGCACAACTCCTGGAACAACTTTCCCAGAATATGAATCTCCACCAACGTAAAATGGATTCGATATAAACTCCGGGTGATCCACAAACCACTGCAAGTAATCAGGATCAAAAGCACTTCACTTGAGAGAACAAGAATACACACAAGAGATTTCATCAACAAAGAAAACTGCAACAAAGCAAAAACAACAACACTTAACACTCCTAAGAAACTGATCAATTTGGTAAATCTGTTTGGTGTCGCTTGATTCTAAAGCACGCCGATTTCTTGCATAAGAATATCCAGAGCCAGCAGGAGATTCCAAATATAAAATGTTAGCCACCTGAAAAATATTTTAGTACATTGATATAAATTCAAAATGTAGTTCTAAAAAAGATAAACTGTCGTAATATATATATCTTAACCTTTGCCCATGAAAAAGATGTTAACTCTAAAGGAGGCACAGTTCCATTATACTCATCCCCTTTAAAGGCTAGAGGACCTAATTAAGACAAAACAATACAAATTATAACTTGATAAGACTTGTCTTTAATCCTCCAACAATCAATAAACATTGCATATAGTATTAGACTTGTCATTAAAACCACATGCATCAGTTAAACTATTTATTAAGACTCATTAGTGATTAAACTATATTTGTTACCGTTTGCAAAAAGCAATCCGCAGATGGAGCTGCAGCCAGGGCCACCAGTGAGCCAGATCATGAAAGGGTCATTTTCTGGATTTCTCTCTGATTTTACAAAGTAGTAAAAGAGCTCAACATCTTTAGATTCACCAATACTCACATATCTTTGTAAAAAAACCCCCACATGCAAAAGAAGAAAGAGACATGTTAGAACCTAACTAAGGATTCTTAACTGTTATGTGTGGTTTTTTCTTCTGATCTTGACATATTAAAAGAAAGAGATGGAGTTTGTTAATTTTTACCCGGTCTCGAGCTCAAAAGGAAGAGGTCCTTCAAAACCAGGAAGATACTTCACAAGCAAAGACGCATCAACAATGGAGAAGATGGTCAATAGAACTAAGACGAGGAAGCTAAGGTCGTTTCTCATTTTCTCCGCTTCCTTAGTGTGACTGAACACTAAAACACATATTCAAAGAAAGAAGTCGAGAGTAAAACCAAAAATCAAAAGAATTGTAAGTGAAGACAATATAGCAAACGCAGTGGTCAGAACGTGGCTAACGTTTAGCTAATAAGCGTGTTGGGGCTTTCACAGCGGTTTTATTATTAACCGGATTAGACCAACCGGTTGAATAGAGTGAAACTTCAAAGCTCCATCGTTGAACCAAGTATCAGATATTTTTTTTTGGTTCACTCAAACCAAGTATCAGATGATACACAAGTGTGAGTGAACGTAACTAATAAAAAACCCACGCACCACGGCTTTTTAACTGCGTATTGAAGGCCAAGATAAGAAATTTACTCTCTCATTTAGGATAACAAGCGAATCGAAGAAAACAAATTTGAAGTTGAGAAATTTCATGAAGTTAAACATACTGCAGAGGAGTATAACATAGAAAAAGAACACTGGGAAAAATTTATTACACGATTTAACCCCTTCAAAATGGCCTGAGAACAAAGTAAAGCAAACAAACATAGCCTTAAAATGCCTAATATCCAAAAACAGGTGTGAAATCTTTGCCTTCTTAAGACAGAGTTTGACAAATGTTTCTTGTCTCTTTATTAATCTTGTTCATATCAAAGACACTCTTACTGGAGACTTTGGCGGCTTGATCGTAAGAGCTTTGGGGAAGGCTTTTTCAATGGGTCAGGAGTGAGTGGGTACTCTTGATAGTATGGTAAATCGCGGCTAATGCAGTAACCGAGGTGATGATTGGAAGTTGCTGTTGTGTATGGTAAAGGACTTGGTAGAAACTAGGGTAGGTGAGGCAAATCATACCCATTTTCAGGTAGAGAAGGTAGCCAGCGAAAGTGACTCCGGTCAAGTAAACCCCTGAGATTCTGTTGAAAATCGATAACATTGAGTTCATCTGAGGCTGATAAACGGGAAGGTGAGGAGATAAAGGGCGAAAGCTTTTGGTTTTCGGTTCCTCGTGTGTTGTCTTTATATCCCCTGAGATTGTAGAGAACAAGCGTCTCGATGTTCCGACATCAAGAGCTCGGAAAGATCGAGTCAATTGAGCTCCAACAGTTACAGTTTCAGTAGCTTTTGACTGCTGGAAAAATCGAGACAATGATCACCAGGCAAAAAGTATATAAGTTAAGCTGCTCTTAAACATCACAAAAGTAAAGCAACCAACAAAACATGGACAAAGTCCTCCTACCTCTCTCTCCTCTCTGATGGCATTGCTTGTGTTGTTAGTGCCCAAACCAGTACCAAGAATGTCATTCACAACAGGTTTCGACCTATGATAGAAAACAGAACATAGTAAAAAAGACATCTGACACAGTGATTCTAATAGGTAGGTATTAGCATCATCAAGAAACAAAAGAGACATACCCGAAAGCTCTATACAAACTTGCATAGTTTTGACCGGGGCAGGAACTACCCCATGAAGGCTGAGCATTACCAGCAAGCTGCAAAACAAGAACGTTTCAGGAGCAGTTAAGACAAACACTTAAATCAACGCAAATACATTTAAATACGGAGCTAGCCCTCTTCTCTTCTTCATCCCATATTCAATTCAATTACAAGCTTTTCGATTAACCAGAAGCACAACTCTCAGATATTGCTAACAGCCTCGCGATTAGTAATTCATTTGTGTTCTTCCTAACAGTCTCAAGATTTGCGTCTACTTACACACACACACACACGTACACACAACAAATCTCATGTTCTCAATTTTTGTGTATATGAGATGATTAAACACAGGATACATGAAATTCTGCAAATGGATGTATATACAATGTATATACAATTCGTTTCGTTCCCTGAAACGAAAACTAAGCAGAGCTCAGATGGGTAAATCATGAAGAAGCAAAGACGAAACTAAACGAATCCCATAATTGTTTCGATCTATCAAGAATTTAACCGGAAAGAAGCAATCAACGAGTGAATAACATACAGATTTGTAAACAGAAAGAGGCGCAGAGACGACGTCGCGTCGGCGAATGGACCGGAAAAGAGCCGTGGCAGCCATGGGACTCAAATCAGATCAGTACTTGTGCTAATAATCTTCCTGCGAGAGAATTCGAGACAGGTAAACCCAACAATTGAAATGGGATCTCGATTTTAATCAACCCTAAAAAGTTTCATCTAATTAAAATAAATTAGAGGGCAATCTCGTAAATTATATATTCCCTGAAAGTTATCCGCACGTTTTACAATGAGAGTTTTAGAGCATTGAATCAAAGCATATATAGAAATCAGTCACAAAAGGAGGTTTCTTTCATCTAAGATAAGAACAGACACAGATCAAACAACACATACTCAATACCTCTTATGTTTGTGTCTACGTGTCTATATCTAAAATGTTCATGTTGATTTTAGATCAAAAAAATAGGATGAAATGAATTGCATCAACAAGAAAAAAAGCCACACACAATTCATCTACTTAACTAACAAACGAGAAACAAGGGCCAGCTTTCTTAAGACAAAACAAAAACTTCAGCTCAATCTAGAGATAACTTAAGCAGAGTCAAGCTTCAACTACACCAAGCTCCCACTATATCCAAGAACACAACCTTTCTACTCTACCATCTTCTTCAATCCATATATATCATATCTCATCAGCTCATTAACCGCTCAAGTTCCTAAACATATCCACTCTACTAACTCTTTTACCCAAATTTCGATATTTTCTTATGCACTAAGCCTTATGATGGCAAAAAAAAAAATATATCTTTACACTCCAAACAGAAGCTGAAACACAGAATAAAACTTGATAAACGAAATGCTCAAAAGATGGGATTTTTATCAAAATCAAATTCATGGAGATTGCTCAAAACGGAAAATTTTCAAAAACCCAATTATCTTAGATGAGATTTATACCTGGGAGATGAAGCTTTAGCCTTGGCGATTGATTGTGAGTTCGTGAGTTCGTGGTCGTGTCTGTGTTAGATGAAACCAACAAATGACAGAACAGATTTAAGAGAGACAAGAAGAAGATAGATCGGAAGAGAAGAGACAAGAAGATGAGTTGTTGTTTTTCTTTGATAAGGAAACCCTCAAAATCGAGATCGAGTTTGGAAAACCTATCCCAAAACGAGGACGCTTTCAAAATTTAAGTTAATAAAAATAGTTTAGGCCAGCTCGTTAATATTGTTCAGTAAGTACCCGTTCTTTGGTTAATAAAGTGACAAACTCTTAAAAACTTGTCCTTCACCATCACATTACATAACAAAGATCTTTTCTTTTTAGCAGAGAAACATGAAGTTTCGTTCCCTGACAAAAAGCTTATTCCAGAAAGAGATCTATTGCTCGCTGTTCTAAAGGCAAAAGTTTCTTGGACATAGAACTCACCATCATCTAACCTAATCACTTCAAATCCAAGAGGCAAGAATTTACGAAATCTAGTTAAAAAAACGCCTTGAATAAAACCATGACAACAAAATCCATCTGTTTATGATAAGAAACACAGAGTCCCTTTGATGAAAAACTTCAACAACTATTTGATTGGAAACAACAATGACTGATGCGAAAAGCAAAATTAAGCCTCCGACATGGAATCGGATTTCTTCTTGCACGAAGACAACATGTTCTTGTAGAGCTGACACTTACTGATGTCTGTTTCAAAGTCGTGGAGGCACTACACACAAACCAAAACAAAGCTTTGTATCATGCATGATTCGAGAATGAAAGAGAAAAAAACCTCTTGTACTCAACGTAAGTATATGTTAATTGTGAAACATATCATCATTATGCATGGTTAACTCACATATATTTTTAGTTTTTACCAATATTATATTAGATTTGAAAATGTTTATATGTACAGACAAACATAATTTCACGTTTAAATTTTCTTTAAGATATTTGATAGAAATACATAGCATATAACTAAGATCTTATATACAATTTATTCATCATTTGGTTATTCAAAGAAAGTATATAGCCGAAATAAATGTGCAATGATCCCTAAAAGATATGGAAGCTAATTAAAGGTGTTAACTTGCATGAAGAACAAATAATGATCCCCTGTATATATGTGTGTGTGAAGATAAAAGAGATTAAACTAGTAGATGTGAAAAATGGGAAGAGTTAAGTAAGTGATTGTAATTAAGCGTTCATCACAGTCAACAAGAGTATCTCCCAAAAGTATGAGTCAATTTGAAGATTCCTGATAGTGGTACCAGCAGTTTCTCTCGAACAAAGTATCTTAAGAACCAGGGTTATTCCTTTTTGTGGTATAAAGGCAACGTTGCTTTTGGTTGCAGTATTGCGGAGCTTTTCGATAACATGTTGAATAGCTCCTTCCACATATGCTAAATTTCCTGAAATCTATTGTACAATGAAAAGACAGTTCAAAACAAACAGTGTACTAATGCTTAAAACTCTTAAAAGGCTTCAAATACTAAGTGTGTACGTCCACAACATGATCGTTTTCTGAGATACATTTTGGGTTCTTCTCAACATCGTCCAATATTTTTATAGTAGCGCCAGTTTGTTTTTGCATTTCAGAAATTGTACAACCACGTTTTCCCAGCAAACATCCAATCTGATATGGGCCAACCACGAATCGTGCAATGGTATATGTTTTATATCCACTGTCTAAATTTTTTTCAGTGGAAAACTCATGTAGTTTTTTGAAGGCAAGGAATATAGCTCTCTGGGATGGGGAGTCTTTGTCTTTAAGGTTCTGCGTGATGAACACAAGCAGCAAACATTAAACCAAGAGTAATATTTAAAAGATAGAACAAATTAAATAAACAGAGAGATATGAGAATTAAGAGTTAAGCATGCAAAAAAACCATACCTCTGTTGCAGTAATTGTGATTAAGCGTTCATGAAGTGTGTCTCCCACACTTATGGAGGCATCTGTCACACGTTGAAGAGTCCTGATAACAGCACTATCACTCTGTTTCGGAAAGAGTATCTTCATAACCACTTTTCGGATACATCGTCTGGTTCTTGGAGAGGCTGCTTAATAGTGACTCCAAAGTGATTCTCTGAAGCAGATTCGATGAGTCTGTTATAGAGAAATTATTTGGATCATTGGATATAACAAAATATTGAATATGTAGAATGTAGTTACATTTGTTCCAACATTGCAATTACATTAAGAATTTTGTAATTTTGGGAATGTAAATCAAGGACAAGACTAAATATCATAATATAGACTAATTAGAAAGGTAAGTAGTTCTCAAAACAAATTACAAAAGAAAGCAAGCAAAATCAACACATATTTTAAGCAAGATGAACAAAAACGTAAACTTGTGTTACTTTGAACTGTAATGTATTCAATAGAAAATATGAAAAATAAACAATCACTTGCAATTTAAAGAACACTCATAGAAGTAAGACATATTGAAAATTATCAGTTCTCTGCAGCAGCACTTGCAGCACTCAAGTCCACAGATAAATCAAGAGTCTGCCAAAAAAGAAGAAGACAATAATTACTTAAACTCAGTATTCAAAATGTTGCGTTTACTTGTGAACCAAGAAACATAGTACTAAGAAGGTTCTATACCTTTCCAGTGATCTTGGTGTACATCTCAAGCACATCCATAACGGTACTCTCGAAATGTGTTGTTGCATCATAAGTCTGATATGACAACAAACGCAAAGAAACATCAGTAAAAAGAAAACAAGACATGTAAGCAAAAAACAACACATTGCTTATCGATTCTGATATTCTCTCTTACAGCAGAGATGAAACAGTTATCTTCTTCTTGATTATTGGTTGGAACGTATGTGTCATAAGAATGATAGAAGATCTCATCAACAGGTCCAAGCAATTCGATTCCAGGTTTAAGCTCCTCTTCTGGGTTATCAGTTTCAGCTGCTGCAGACACAAAAGCTATGTATTTGCCCTTTGGTGCCACATTGTGAGCGTATGAGCAACAGAACAAGTACCTGCAAAATCCAACAAAAAGAAAACTCAAGATTTTTATCTATAACTGTATTTCAAAGTAGAAACAAGTGACATCCATGTTTTTATAACTTGAAACGTGTTCTTGATTACGATCTCCTTACATGTCTGATTTGCGACCGAGTTGCTTCTGAGGAAGAATGATTTGGACCGAGTGAGCATCATTGGTGTCTGGAATAGGATGACTCATTATACATACCGCTCGAGTCACTTTCCCAACTTTCTTAACCTGAAAGACAAGGAAACAGTCTTAAGAAGGTAGCTAAGCTGTACAAGAACTTACCAGTTTCTACTGGTGACATTGGTTTATTGTTACCTTGTCAGATAAGTACGAAGGATCACAGACAACTTTCTTGCATTTAGCAGTTTCGCCCGCAGAAGTGACACCAATAGCTTTTCCAGAACTATCAAACTCTACCTGTTAGAGATAATCACAAAAGATTCATGAGTTTTATCTGTAAAAGGGCTAATAAATATCATATTTATATACTAGATTAGACCTATCCTATCCAATAGACAAAACAGATAAATAAGAGACAACAGATAGTTTATAACCTTGCATTCAGGTTTGTTGAGCATGTAAGTCCCACCATACACAGCGCTTAAGCGCGCAAAAGCCTGAGATAGAAACAGAGGAAAATTTGCCAGTAAATTAAGGGGAAACCTGATATGTATTATGACTTATGAGAATAGAGTGAACGAGAACCTGTGGCAACTCTCCTAGTCCGTATAGTGGATAGATGTAAGGAGATCCTCCTTGGAATCGAGCCAAAGATTCCGCGTAGAGCTTCACCAGTTAATAAAACCAAAAATGACATTACAATTCAGAACTTTTGGCTGTTGAAGAAGAAAATAAAATAGTTTACCTTGATTCTCTTAACAAAATCAATGGCTGGTTGATCCAAGTAGTCATCATCATTGTGCAACGCTAAGGCATGGCCTATGAAGTCGATTGTATCATCTTCAAGTCCATACTTCCTGTTGGGGAAATGAAACAGAGAGAAAGCCTGTAACGCAAGAAACTGTAATGAAGTGACTTAAGAGATGGAGGAAAACTTGTTGTACGTACGAGATGATCTCTCTAGCAGTGACTTTGCTGAGGTCAAGACCTTCGTGAGACTTAGGATCCTTCTCATCGTAGTCTTGCACATAAATAAAGAATTTTCTGGCACGTCGCTTCTCGAAAAGACCCATCAATGGAGATTTCAGGGCTTCCACATCAGTGGCTGGGACTTTATAAATCTGACACACGTATACCACATGATCAGAATCTCAGAGTAATCTAACGTTACCAACAACAAAAAAACAGGATGAACTACTATACTAAAATGACTACCTTGCCTTTCTTGTAGACGAAGCTACCATCGACGGCCTTAAAGTTAAGATACTTGGTAACATCGGTGTGGATCAGGGTTTGGACAAGGAGTCCATTAGCCATTATAAACTGCAGATCAAGAAACCGTAGTCACCATTAATAACCAATTCAAATTACATATATATATATATATGTATATATGTATAAACATGCATTATATAGTTAATGTACCTTTGGGATCATATCGACATTGTATTCTCTGCTAGCTCCGAGATTTTCCTGAGGAGTATCACTTCCCCTGAAACGCTTCCATAACTGAGTGAGGTTGAGAGAGGTTGATTCTCCTCCATAGTAGTCATTTCTATCCATATGTAGTACCTATTAATAAGTTTCCAATGCATTCAGTAAATATCATATTCTTAACAAATGGGAGAACCAAACGTAAAATTAACTTATTGGATGCGATGCACAAAAACAAGCTCAGCATTTGAATTTGTAATAGTGAAAGTGATCAGTGAAGGAGATACCTTGAGGCCATCGACAGAGAGGAGGCCACTAAGGATACACTCCTTGAGACCAGTCCCAAGAACAATCACATCATACTCTTCATCCATTATTAATTTACAAACTCTCTGTTATCGATCCTCTCTAATCCGTCATCGATCTCTAATAGACTTTTTGTCTGTCCTTTGATCATATAAGTGTGAGGGAGGAAAAAGAAATAGAGGAAGATGTGTGGCTATTAACACAGTCTTTCACCGCTTCCGAACTTACCGTTTAACCCCATGAAATCATGAATAAATTCACTTTAATTAATGATCCAAACCGTATTGTTAGGCGAAAATTATTTGAATGTCATGGTTACTAGTTCTTATGTACAAAAATGGTTACGAACACTTGCTATATTTAGGCCTAATTACAATGACCTGAAAAAAAAAAAAAAAAAAGTAAAGATGAGTTTCAGACCATATTTGTTCCATTAGTACTGAAAGACAGAATTATCCTTAGTGAATTCATTTATTTATTAAGAGTAACAATGTAATTATTATGGATATACAAAGTCCTTTTGGTCAACTTGCAAATTAGCTCTTTATATTTAAACCGAAAGAAAAAGAAAAAAAGAAACAAAAAGAGTAACGGAGATATGGTAAGTGGCGGCGGCGATAGTAACAGAGCGGAGGTGGATCAGTGGCTAGATACATCGGAGAAGCTTTTGGCTTCAAGTGACTTTCATGGAGCAAAGACCTTTGCGATCCGCGCATGCAAAGCTGATCCGTCTCGAACTGACATAGCGGACTATATCCTCGCAATCACCGACACTCTCATCGCCGGAGAAACTACCGTCGGAGATTCCAAATTACCAGACTGGTACGCCGTTCTCCGACTCAGCCGCTTAACTCGAAACCCCGAACACGTCGCGACTCAGTACCGTAGACTTGCGCTTCTCCTCAATCTCAGTGTCAATCGTCTCCCTTTCGCCGATGAAGCTCTTAAGCTGGTCACTGATGCTTGGTCCGTCCTCTCTGATCCTCCAGTGAAGTCAATGTACGATCGAGAGTTGCAGATGAGTCAAATGGGTCAATTCAGTCAACCCTCTAGTCAATCGCAGCACATGCAAGATTCGCAATTGCAGAGCCAAGCTGAGACCTTGGAGAATCCTGTGGCCACGAGCTTTTGGACGGTTTGTCCATACTGCTTTTCACTTTTTGAGTACCCTAAGGTTTACGAGGAATGCACACTGAGGTGCCAGCAATGTAAGAGAGCGTTTGCAGCGGTTGAAACGCAAACGCCACCAGTGGAGAGTCATGGCGAAGGCGTTTACTTTTGTTCATTGGCTGTGTTTCCATTACGGATCCCAGACCATGCTAAAACCTTGACTTGGTCGCCAGTTTCACCTCTCTTCTTCTGCCCTGCGCAAGGAGGATCATCTAATATTAATCATCAACCAAGCATGAAAGCTCCTCTAAGAAAAGATGATGATGAAGTATATGTCACAATTTCTGATGATGATGATGAGATATATGTGACAATTTCTGATGATGCAAAGAAAAACAAAAAGGCAAATGTTGCACATGTTAAACTCAAGCCTACTTAGTCAAAGTAAAATCTTGTTCTGTTTCTGTCTTTGTTTTTAGTTTGTTTTGTGGATCCCTTTAGGTCCTATTAGGTTTATGTATCGCTTTGTTGATGTAATGATGTTTATACCATAGTTAGATGATGTTGAATCAATGCTAGATTTTGGGGAGAAAATGCGTGTTCCGTATGTAATCCTCTGTATCATAACAACAAAGATTACGGTTCTATGCATGTACTTACTAGTATAACTTTAGAAATTAGGCATTGAATCTGCTCAGGCCTTGATTTGGCTGCAGAAGATTTTTTTTTTTAGAAAAGAGGATCAAGTAAACTTTGTTGAAGGAATCTTTGTCACCGACTTGAGTTTTACCCAAACCTCTTTAAGTTTTTGAAGATCAGTAAGTATTAAATAATACGCTGTACATATATGACTTTGATGACAAAGAGCAAACATACACACAACCAAAAAAATCGATCCAAGTCGTTGTGTAGATTACCAGCCAAACCTAAACATCATAATTTTTGTATGGTGTTTTCATACTTTCAAATCACCATAATTTATGTATTGGAACTAGTTTCGATTCATTGTGAGATTTTTTATATATTTCAAAATCAATTCCAAATAACTCGAGTCTTTACGACTTGTATAGTGTTATTAACTTTTTTTTTTTTTGTACGATTGTATCTCATATTTATTTTTTAAAATTGGGATCTTCTAGTATTACGTGTAGCTAAAACATGAACACGTAAACACTAAAACCTAAAATTCAACTAGATTGAAAATGACATAAATAGAGATACACAGATGGAGAGGTTAAACAAACTTTATTATATTCAAATCTATCTACATAAATTTCCCACCAAACTCTATCTTTCTTCTTCCTCAAAACACTTATAAATACCCATTCGAATCAAAGACCATAATCATCTCATCACAAACACAAACCAACAACAAACACTAGAAAAGCAAAAGAAGCAACACAAGAAGAAAAAAGAAGGGCAAGAGTTCTCAAGCAAACGCATACATGGCCGTTATGAAGCAGAGTCTCTCTGCTGCTCTTCTCTCATCACCACTTCTGATCGTATGTCTTATTGCATTGCTCGCTGACCCGGTTTCAGTCGGAGCTCGAAGGTTATTGGAGGATCCTAAACTGGAGACACCAAAATTGCCTGAGCTACCCAAATTTGAAGTTCCCAAGTTTCCTGAGCTACCTAAACCAGAGATGCCTAAGTTACCAGAATTTCCAAAGCCTGAGCTACCAAAGATTCCGGAGATTCCAAAGCCTGAGTTGCCCAAGTTTCCGGAAATTCCCAAACATGAGCTCCCAAAGGTGCCGGAGATTCAGAAGCCTGAGTTGCCCAAGTTTCCAGAGATTCCAAAGCCTGAACTGCCCAAGTTCCCAGAGATTCATATACCCGAGTTACCAAAGTTTCCAGAGACTTCTAAGCCTGAAGTGCCTAAGTTGATGGAGACTGAAAAGCCTGAAGCTCCCAAGGTGCTGGAGGTTCCAAAGCCCGAGTTGCCAAAGATTCCGGAAGTTCCGAAGCTTGAGGCTCCTAAGTTGCCGGAGATTTCAAAGCCCGAGTTACCAAAGATACCAGAGATTCCAAAGCCTGAGTTTCCTAAGATGCCAGAGATTCAGAAACCGGAGCTGCCAAAGATGCCGGAGATTAAGAAACCGGAGTTGCCTAAGGTACCAGAGGTTCCAAAGCCTGAGTTACCCAAGATGCCAGAGATTCAAAAGCCTGAGGCTCCTAAGGTGCCAGAGATTCAGAAGCCAGAGTTGCCAAAGCTCCCAGAGATTCCAAAGCCTGAGCTACCAAAGGTTCCAGAGATCCCAAAGCCTGAGCTACCAAAGGTTCCAGAGATTCCGAAGCCTGAACTACCGAAGATGCCAGAACTTCCCAAGATGCCGGAATTCCCAAAAGTTCCCGGAACTTCTTAAATTCTTATTGAACCTGGAGAAGGCCCTGTCCAGCTACTACTACGTATCCCCATCCCACGATCTTTAAAGTACCGTTTCACCCTTCTATATTGTCTGTTTGCAGAGATGCACACTTCTGTCGGTCTATCGTTAATGGTTTGGTCTCATAGTCATAGTTGTTCTTGCTTTTTTGGGTGAAGGTTTACACACACTTATACTTGTATTCTGTTGTTATATTTGTATTGTATGTTTCCATACATATTTTGTTGTATTTGATATACTTATTAATGGATTATCCTATTTATTTTGAAGACATGTTTCTATTCAAATACACAGCGAGGTCTCATTACTCCATTATCTCAGTTATGTGAGAAAATCAATAAAATCTAAGCGAACTAAGAATTCCTGGAATGATTGTAAACGAAGGGAATCTTCTTGGTCGAAGAAGAATGAACATCTTCTTCCATCAGGCTCGTCTCTAGCCTTGTTTTGAAAAAGAGCAACGACATCACAACAAATCAAACGTCCAACAAGTTGAGCCAAAAGATTACGGCAACATCCAACAACTCATGAAATTTCGAAGAAATCAGAAATTGGGGAATCAGAGAGAACTGAAGCATGAAATTGCATATTTCTTACTTCTTATAACTCATGTTCTCTACTGGACTTATGAAACTACTATTTCTAAACCAATGTTTGGGACTCAAGTCTCCTATTTTTTTTTCTACACTTGTATGTTGTTTCCTCTTTGTAGACTTGTATGTTGTTAACTTATTTCCATTTGGGTATAAAGTTTGCAATTGTAGTGACGTTTTTGGGGTTTTATACATCGCATGATTGTTCCTCTTTAAAATTACATATCTCATGACTCCAAAAGACCAAAACATAGGAAAACAAAGAATACTTTTACAAAATTGGAGATAGGACAAATTCTTTCCTCTGCTGATGTGCAACGTATCATAGGAAAGCTAATTGGGTGCTCCTCGGTTGGTCTTTTTCTGTTAATGCTCTGTTACTCTCCTCTAATGCTCTGTTATGCCCAAAAACTTAGTATCTCTAATTAGCTTAATTTTTGGTAACATGCTTTCATATGAGTGTTCTATATTCTATAATACGCAAAACCAAACACATGAACACGTAAACACTTGAACCTAAACTTCAACTAGATTGAAAGTGACAATATAGGTATGTACTATACAGATAGAGAGGTTAAACGAACTTTTTATATATGATTCAAAGCTCTGTTCTCTGTACATGTTTTTCTTTTTTCTCACCAAACTTCATCTATCTTCAATCCTAAAGACACCTTTTAAATAGCAATGACAATCAAAGATCAAAGCTCATCAAAGAAAACACAAAGAACAATTACCACAAAACAAAAGAAGAAAGATAAACGAAAAGAGCTTGTCAAGGACACAATTATGGCATTGAAGAAGAGTCTCTCAGCTTCTCTTCTTTCATCATTTCTGATCATATGTCTTACTGCATTGCTCTCTGTTCCGGTTTCTGTCGGAGCTCGCCGGTTATTAGAGGATCCTAAGCTGGAGATACCAAAGTTACCCGAATTCCTGAAGCCTGAGTTGCCTAAGTTACCAGAGATTCCCAAGCCTGAGATGCCTAAGCTACCGGAGACTGAAAAGCTTGAGGCTCCCAAGTTGCCAGAGATTCCAAAGCTCGAGGTGCCTAAGATGCCGGAGATTCCAAAGCCTGAATTGCCTAAATTTCCAGAGATTACAAAACCCGAAATGCCAAAGATGCCGGAGATTTATATGCCTGAGTTACCGAAGATGCCTGAATTTCCCAAGTTTGATGCTCCGAAGTTGCCGGAACTGCCAAAAGCTGAAGAAGCCAAAGAGCCGGCGTTTCCTGGATCTCATTAAGCCCATTAATTATTTATATCAGAAGAAGGCCCATCTACTTTGGAGCTCAGTCCAGTTTCTAAAACTGTTTTTATCACATACCATTCACATCGTATTGTTTTGTCTACAAATTACGGAGATTGCTCCTGGTTACCTTTAGACCACTCGCACTTGTATTCTATTCTCTAGTTGTAATGCTTGATACCATCTCATTTTATATGTTATCATCTTGATATACATTTTCTTTGTGTGGATTGTGTTAATAACCTCCCCTCGTAAAGAATCTGAAGTACCCCAAAGGATTTTGCAAAACAGAAGACTGGTGCAACTCATAGAGACAACCGATGAATACGGATACTATAAAACAGTTTGACAAATGTAAAATTGACCAAAATCTTCACAAATGTAAAATTGACCAAAATAGCTTTGGCAATGAAATCTTCACATTAAAACCAAAAAAATGTAAAATTGACCAAACTTATAATTATATGATTTGTACTACTGCAATCGCGGTATAATAAGAATTCACTTGAAAAGAATAAAAGTTTAGTGTACATTTTAGTTGGCATGAAAAATAAGCACCCAATTAATTCTTGTTTTTGTTAGCTTTAAAACAACCTAATTTAACTGTTGTGTATAAAATAAATCTAATTTCACATAAAATTGATAATGAAATTATATCTTTTGAAATCATTAAAATAAAAAGAACAAATAATAATATCCAAAGTCAACTAAAATTCAGTAAAGCAATTGACTTTTAATTACTGTATAAATGTATCTGTCAATTGCTAGGGTTGAGCCGAGATCCACGTATATATTTGGATCCGCCGATTTAGGCAACCTTCTTTTTGCTCTTACATTTTGGAAAACGCAAGCAGACCCACAGATTCAGGGTTTATCCACCTTTTATCTTTCGCCGAGATTCAACAATGGTAAGCTCCTCTATCTTCAACATCTCTCTGAATCTCCTATCACATTTCCCAAGACCGTGGTTCGTAATTCTCTCCATGGGACTGTGTAGGCTGATGTCGAACCAGAGGTTGCCGCGGCGGGAGTGCCGAAGAAGAGAACGTTCAAGAAGTTCGCCTTCAGAGGAGTTGACCTCGATGCTCTTCTAGACATGTCTACTGATGATCTTGTCAAGCTCTTCCCTGCCCGTATTCGCAGAAGGTTTGGCTCTTTTTTTTGTGAAACCAGATATAAAGTCTTGTCTCGAATTTGCAGAATCGTCTCTTGTGTTTTTATTAATCGAGTTCGTTTTACGATTCTCTTGCGATAGGTTCTCGAGAGGATTGACGAGAAAGCCTATGGCTTTAATTAAGAAACTCCGTAAGGCGGTAAATTCTCTCATTTCCTCTTGTTTCTGATTAGATCTGTGTTGAATCGATACTGTTCGTAGAATCTGATTCTGTGTTGTGAGCTATGTGCATTCCAGAGGCAGTAAACTTAGAAGTGCTTGAGAAGTGCTTTGTTTGTTCTGTGCAACCTAATTGGTTCCTACGGCTAAAGATTACTGCTTTGTTTTTGCTTGATCAGAAAAGAGAAGCACCGGCTGGTGAGAAGCCAGAACCAGTGAGAACCCACTTGAGGAACATGATCATTGTGCCTGAAATGATTGGTAGCATCATCGGTGTGTACAATGGAAAGACTTTCAACCAAGTTGAGATCAAGCCTGAGATGATTGGACACTACCTTGCTGAGTTCTCTATCTCATACAAGCCAGTCAAGCATGGTAGGCCTGGTGTTGGTGCTACCCACTCCTCCAGGTTCATCCCTCTCAAGTGAAGACCTTACAGAATCTGTGTCCTTCTCTTTTTTCCCTAGCTATGCATTTATAGGGTCCTCTATATTTCTGTTTTTGGACCACTTTTGTCTGCACCTCTTCTGTTTGGCTACTCTGCTGCATCTCACTCTCCTTTATATGTGCCTCAACTCTTGTTTCAATTAAAGAAGACTCGAAATTTTTTTGGAAAATCTACTATCGTCAATGATTAGTTCATATATAGATTTACCCCTTCATGCTTTGAGAATTGAGAGAAGTGGAGTCATTTAACTTACTGCTGGGCAAAAGTTTGATTAGTTAGGGAACATAACTGATATATTTCCAAGTTGACCTTGTTGGCTACAAATTCATGTGAGCAAAGAGCCATCTAGTCCTCTGGAAACCTGTTGTCCTCGGTGGATATCAGAGCCAGGAGCAAGATGGTATCACACCAACCACTAGCTTGGTCAAACAGAGGGACCAAGTATTCATATACTATGTTATAATATGATGCAAACACCTTTAGAACAATTGGACTCACTTTGAGAATTAAAGGAAAAGAGAATGATTGGTTGTTAGATATTGATATGAAAACTAAGTCAAATTGCAGAAATTATAGGTGTGTTTGTATCTGAATTCGGAGGTTTCTCTTTCTATACTAACGAAGTACATTATTTAGTAGATTCAACCAACGGCAACTCCGAGCTTCACTCACCAAGTCCGAGATTACAGATTTTTCAGATTTTATTTTCCAAACAAGTGGTGAAATTTTTTAAAGAATACATGGACCTAACAATAAATAAATGTTTCTAGGGTTTGCCCAGGTATATATTTGATGCTCAAGTTAAGTTGTTTGTCGTTTGCGCAGACATTGTTTGAGCTGATCAGGTTCTGTGATCTTAGGTGTTCAACAATTCCATACTAACAATGGTTAGTCTCACTGGATCTCTTTCTCTCTTATCATATTCTCGTGATTACATTTTCTGACATCTTGTTTATAATTTCTCGTAATGGTAATATATCTAGGCGGATCCGGAGGTTGCTGCGGCTGGAATCGTGAAAAAGAGGACGTTCAAAAAGTTTTCGTTCCGAGGAGTCGATCTTGATGCTCTTCTAGACATGTCTACCGATGATCTTGTCAAGCTCTTCCCTGCCCGTATTCGTAGAAGGTTATAAAGAGTCTTAAAGCTATGTCTTGATTTCGTAGATCTGTCTCTTGGTTTCTCAGACTGATCAGTAAATTCTATTTGAATAGGTTCTCAAGAGGATTGACGAGGAAACCTATGGCTTTGATCAAGAAACTGCGCAAAGCGGTATAAAAACTCTTTCTATAATTACATCTTTCTTGAACAGTAGTAAGAGTCCAAATCTTTGATTCTACCATGCCCTGGAACGTGTCTTCTCATATCCATTGCCCCTCTATACAATTTTCGTGCAACCAAATGGCTTTATTAAAACACTAACAGAGTTGTAACTTTCTCTGTTTGAGTAGAAAATTGAAGCACCAGCTGGTGAGAAGCCAGAAGCAGTGAGAACCCACCTAAGGAACATGGTCATTGTCCCTGAAATGATTGGAAGCATCATCGGTGTGTACAACGGGAAGACTTTTAACCAAGTCGAGATCAAACCGGAGATGATTGGACATTACTTGGCTGAGTTCTCAATCTCATATAAGCCGGTCAAGCACGGTAGGCCTGGTGTTGGTGCTACCAATTCCTCCAGGTTTATCCCTCTCAAGTGAAAGACCAAAGCTCTTATCACAGAGTCGTCAGTCTTATGCTCCAAGTTATTAGTGTTTTTCGTTTCTTATCCTTTCCAAGTTTTGTCTCTGCTTTTATGTTCTCTCCTTAAGATTTTGTTCAAACTCTTGTTCAGGCGTTTTAATAATACAGAGCACTTTTTATTTTGACATTTCATACACTTCGCTCTGTTTATTGATTATTTAGTTGTATATCTACTTCGTAAATTTAGAAAATAATCCAGACTTGCACCAATTCTTATTGATACCTACGAATATTTATATATATCTTTGAATTTAATTTTGAGTAATCAAAATAAAAAATAACACAATGAACCTATTTACAAATAGAAGAAAACTCCATAAAAAAATGGGGAATTCACCAACTCTAGAAAGACACATATAATTTCTTGGGATTTTAAGATGATACAGCACAGGGTTTTGATATATATAACCAATTTTATCCTAAATTAATAAATTTACATTAGATTTAAATAATTAAGCTTTTATTTTTTATGGGAAAACTTATTTATCCATAGTATTTAATTGTATATATTAATGGTTTATATATCACATGTTGCCTTTTGTTACTAGAAAAAAGTAGAAGTTTGTGTATTACAAGGGAAGAAAAAAATCCATTCATATTATATTTTAGAAACTCAATAGTCTAATATATTGTAATATTTATTGAAGTTTCCTTAAACAGAAACTATGTAGATCTATAATGCATCTCTGTATAAATAAAGGTGCCAAGTATATGTTTCTTGTCTATCTCCTCCATAGCAAAACCTAGCAACAATCACTTCCAAAGCTTCTCAAACAATGGTTAGTTTCTCGATCTCCATCTCTATAAACCATATTTATTAGATTTTTAGGTTTTTACATCATCATGATCTTAAAGTTTCTGTCGGAATCTGTAGGCTGATCAAGTCGAATCAGATGTTCCCGCAGCTGCTCTTGCGAAAAAGAGAACGTTCAAGAAGTTTTCCTTCAAAGGAGTTGATCTTGATGCTCTTCTCGACATGCCCACTAATGATCTTGTCGAGCTCTTCCCGTCCCGTATTCGAAGAAGGTTTCAATATTCTCACCCAAAATATTTGTCTCAGTTTTAGTAGATGATATGTATATGGTTCTGAATGATTATTGGTTTTGCTTGTGTTGATCATTTTGTAGGTTGAATAGAGGAATGACAAGGAAGCCAATGGCTCTCATCAAGAAATTGCGCAAAGCGGTAAAACTCTTAGTTTTCAAATTTGATATATATTGTTTGCGTGTCGCATTTGTTATTAATCTGTGATCTCCCAGACATTATTATTAGTAATTAGTTAGGGTCTGCGTTTTGGTTGAGTTCAATTATTATAACAATACTCTATTTTACTCCAAACTAGAAACTAGAAGCACCAGCCGGGGAGAAGCCAGAAGTAGTGAGAACACACCTAAGGAACATGGTGATTATGCCTGAAATGATTGGAAGCATCATCGGAGTGTACAATGGAAAAACTTTTAACCAAATCGAGATCAAACCGGAGATGATCGGACATTACCTTGCGGAATTCTCAATCTCTTACAAACCAGTTAAGCACGGTAGGCCTGGTCAGGGTGCTACACACTCCTCTAGGTTTATCCCCCTCAAGTGAAACCATTACAAGACTTCAATTCATGTTGTTTCTACCATTTTCTTTTATTTTGATCATAAAATATTTCTTATAATATTGTTCCTTTTGTCTTTAGACTTTTTTTCTTATCTGTATTACTTTTCTTGGTGACTTTCTTTATAATAAGTTAATATACCATCATGGAGTTTAGACTTGAGTTACAGTTTTGAAATCTGATCCTCATATATATTACTGACTTACATAATGGGGAATTAGTATTATATCCTAAGTTACAAGCTAAGTAATTTTTTCACTTGAAACGGCCTACATGATTAGATAAAATAATATGATCATATGTTTTTTTTTGGTGAACATAATATGATCATATGTAAATCTATAGATAAGTGCCCGATAATTGAATATAATGACGACGAATCGACGATCTAGCCGTGGATAAGTTAGGTAATCTGCTTTTCACAACTAGATGGACTATTTTGTATAGCTTTTCTAAATCTTTAACAAAAATTTACACTGGTTAATTAAGAAGGGGTGGTCTAGCTAGGTGTTTGCTAATTGTAAGATTTCTTGTAATGTTTAATTTTTAAAAACAGTATCTTTAAAACACGTATAAATTAAAGTTCGGCTAACTAAAGGGCTTGTACATATATATAAGACGTAAATTGAAATATAGGTGAGTTTGTTGAAGACTATCATTCACGTTCACAATCGTGCATTGAGATCTTCTCACCAATATTTGGACTCTTTTTATGAAATTAAATCTGTATTGCAAGAGCTCTCTCATCTCAATATTATTTAAGAAACCATTCTCTACACAATTATACCACAACATAATCTCTCTATAATCACAACATTACTTAAGTCTTCTTTCTAAGCTTGTCTTCATTAAAGAATATTACTATGATTAATGTTCGCCTTCCTATTATCATCTCTTCGGTCTTTGTCCTTTTCTTTATTTCGTCGTCCCTTTTGTTTGGCGCTACACCTAGTTATGCAGCTAGAGTAGGTCACTCTCTGGTGCAAGAAGAGGTAACAAAGATACCAGAATATAAAGAGCCTGAGGAGCTGGAGATTCCAGAAGAGCAGGAGTTACCGTTGCCAGACGAGCCTGAGATTCCAGAAGAACCAGAGATTCCGGAAGAGCCTGAGGAGCCTGAAGAGCCGGAGGAACCAGAGGAGCCAGAAGGGCCAACATTTCAATTTCCGTCATGGATTCCGAGCTTCCCTTTTCCTGGTAATAGTGGCGGTTTTCCAAAGACTGAAAAGACAAAACCTACATCAACTGTTGAAGAGGTGAGCGGTTCGAACAAGAAGCCATAGATCAATGGCTGAAGAATGTAAAAAGGGTTGCATCTCTCTAGTGAATACTCTTCCTCTTGATTTGAACTTATAGTTACATATGTAAGTATATATGCAATAACACTATAACAGTTTCGTTTGTGTTCAATAATTAATCAAAGATGAGAGAGTACTTATGTATTAGGCTTTCATGTCATGCATGTTGGAATCTCTAACGCTTCTTTATATAATCTTGGACTCTGGTAACGACATGTATGTCTCTTTGTGGTACAAAAGTTACATTGAACTAGCTATAATGTAATGTAAGATAATTAAATGATTAAGGCTATTAATTAATGTGTCAATTACTCGTCATATCGTTTTTCTACAACTTAAAATGTATAGGAGCCGTTCGTACTAACTATAAAATTATTATTATGAGTAGATGTTAGATATGGTATTGGTTTATTCCCGTAGCTTCAATAATTATCGTCTACAATGACAATGTGTGCATGGAGACAAAACAGAGCAACCCTTCTGCAAAAGCTGGAAACCCGTAATTCAGGACTAGTACACAAACACAACTCGTATTTTCTTCCCATGTCTTTTTTGTCTTCTTCCATTTGCAACTTGTCCAACTTCATTTTCTCCTCTCCAAATATTTTCATACAAAAGATCTATATTCTCCTAAAGCTCTTCTTTGATTTCATTTCTCATTATTAACCAAAACAATCTCTTTATAATCAAATATTCCTCCGGTAACATATCAATGGGTTTCAAACCATTTCTTGAAGGTGGCATCGCCGCAATCATCGCCGGAGCTCTGACTCACCCATTAGACCTCATCAAAGTCCGTATGCAGCTCCAAGGCGAACACTCTTTCCCTCTCGACCAAAACCCTAACCCTAGTCTTAATCTTGATCATAACCTTCCCGTCAAACCTTACCAACCTGTCTTCGCTCTTGACTCTCTCATCGGAAGCATTTCCTTATTACCCTCATCCATACACGCGCCGTCTTCTTTCACGCGCTCCGTCACGACCCCTTACGCCGTTGGAGCCCGCATTGTCAAAACGGAAGGACCCGCCGCTCTCTTCTCCGGTGTCTCAGCCACCGTCCTCCGTCAGATGCTTTACTCCGCCACGCGTATGGGTATTTACGACTTTCTTAAACGAAGGTGGACTGATCGACTCACCGGTAATGATAAATAAACTACAAATTTGGTTTTCATTCGGTTTGGTTTGGTTCGATCGCTATAAAATCGGTTAGTGCTGTTATTGGGTGTAAAATCATAAAATCCAATGGATTTATAACCAAATTATCTTGGTTCGGTTTCGATCCTAAACAGTCCGGTTTGATTTGGTCCGAATTTTTCCATATAGCTACGTACTATTTAACGTAAACGAATTAACCAAACAGGTAACTTCCCGTTGGTCACCAAGATCACAGCCGGGCTCATCGCCGGAGCCATTGGATCGGCCGTCGGGAATCCTGCTGATGTGGCGATGGTGAGAATGCAAGCCGACGGAAGTTTGCCGTTAAACCGCCGCAGAAACTACAAGAGCGTTGTGGACGCGCTGGAGCGGATCGTAAGGCAGGAAGGTGTCTCAAGCTTATGGCGTGGCTCGTGGCTGACCGTGAACCGTGCGATGATCGTGACGGCTTCTCAGCTCGCCACGTATGATCACGTCAAGGAAATCTTGGTCGCCGGAGGGCGTGGGACGCCGGGAGGGATAGGAACGCACGTTGCGGCAAGTTTTGCGGCGGGGATTGTCGCAGCGGTGGCGTCGAATCCGATAGACGTTGTGAAAACGAGGATGATGAATGCGGACAAGGAGTATTACGGTGGACCGTTGGATTGTGCGGTGAAGACGGTGGCGGAGGAAGGACCGATGGCTTTGTACAAAGGGTTAGTTCCGACGGTGACAAGGCAAGGACCGTTCACGATGATCTTGTTCGTTACCTTAGAACAAGTTCGTCGCGTGTTAAAAGACGTTAAATTTTGATTAATACAGTAAACGTGTTTATATAAGAGTAAGTACATAGACGATTAATAAATTTTGACCATATTCGAATATGTTGTATATATTTCATATGTATAAAGATTTTCCTATAGAATTATTTATGATTATGCTAAAAGATTTTTTCATATTTGTTTACAAAAAAATCATGGAATTGGTTAGGTTTGTAGTAATATGCGAAAACTGATGGTGATTGAAGCAAAGAGAAGAGACTTTGTCGGTCGGTCCAAGTCTCTTGGGCTTTGGGGTTGGGGGATATGCTTTTGCTGGGGACCTTTGTTTGGTATATTCCTTCTAATTTTGTTTTGTTTTTGGGTACTATGTTCTATTTCTGTGGCTGACATAAATTATCAAAATATCGCCTCTTATTTTACTTAGAAGTGATGTGAAAAGTTACCAAAAAAAAAAAACATGGTCAATAGTTTAACTAATTAGATTTATAATTTTGTTGATTAGATCAATTATCTCTCTATATGGGAGAGAAAACTAAAAATATTATTTCTTAATAACCAATCTAATAAATTGCTTGCATATGGTTTGGTGTTTTTTTTTTTTAATATGCTTATGTCAAAAAAAGAAAAAGAAAAAAAGAAAGAGTTATTTATGCTTATGGTATAAGTGAGAAGATGGCCCAAAACAAGACCAAGCCTCAAAGGCAATGAATATGCCCAATCTTGTATGTGGTCAGTGGGTCACTCATCCAACCAAAGCCCACGTAATTTCCATGGGATTCAAGTCGTGTGTCTTTCTTTTGTTTTGTTTTTTTAACATGTTTTAATCATTACTTCTGTTCAGAATAGAACACATAAATAATTGTTTCCTATAATTTTGAAGATTTTTGGTTTGAAGTAGTACTGAAAAATCATATGTAGTACATTTGGTAAGCAGTTAGGTCCACTGGTTTCACACGGTAACTACTACTATTTTCATATCACATCAATACAAAAGAGAAAAACAAAAAGATTCAACGAGCAAATTTTTTAGTCTTTAGAAAACAAAATATTATTCAAAAAAGCAAAAAAGAAAAAAGAAAAAAGAGAAGTCGTCAAGGCAATTAAGCACTTAATTCCCCCGTGCATTTCTTTAATCATTCTCTTGGCTTCTCTTTTCCTTTTTTTTTTTTTTTTTTTTTCTAACTTTCTTTATTTTATTTTATTTACTTCTTCTTTCACCAAATTTGTCTCTTTATTCTTTTCTTTTTTTTTCTTTTTCTCCTATGATCATGGAATTTGGTGAATTCTCCTACTTTTTTTATTCACACCCAATCTCACTTTTAATATATAGCTATCGTGTTACCAAACTAAGTAATGGTGTTTGTTAAGAAATTAGATGTACATATAGCTCATAAAACTAGTCAGTCAAAGAAAACTTAGCAAAAATGTACGTAGTTCAATTTTTCTGGCGTACATGGAATATGTTCCAAATTAATCATCCCTAATAAAACCCACGCACCTAAAATGAAAAAGAAAGGTTAATAATTGAGAAGAATAATGAAAGAAGACCACCCACAAAAAGAAAAAAGGGTTAAAAACTCAATTCCACTGTTTGGCTCATGATTATAAAAGAAGAAGTGTAAAAAGAAGAGGAACGAACCAACATATACGGGATTTCAGCTTTACTTCAACGAACCAACCAAAAGAAATGATCACGTTTGGTTGTTACTACTCTGATTATTACATAAGAGTTTGGCTTTGAAATTATGGATTTCGTGAGAGGGTTTTTGCCATTATTAATACCCATACCAGCAACCATTATTACATCTTAGAACACGTTCAGCTCCCTCCCTCTCGTCTCAAATTAATATATATTATTAATAAAACTTTGATAAAGGACATAGTGGACTGGTTGTACTAGTACAAACCCCATTACTCAATTTCAATTCGATTCTTAATAATATCAACTTCTCTATAGTATTAAATTTTAATTGTATAGTTTTTATGCATATTTAATTGAAAAAAATGAACTCAACCTCATATGGTAAGAGCGAGTGTTATCTAAATATTTGAATTATAAAAAAAAGAAAGATCCAAAGGCTTATTGATTGGGTCATTGACAAAAATCACAAAATCCGAATCAGACAGACATGAGATAGATACATGCATGCTTGTTGATGTGAACTTGTGTTTTTTCTTTTTCTTTGTATCCCCCCATTCCCATTATTGAGACGGTAAAATTAGAAAAGCGTTAGGAAAGGGTAAAAACGTCACATGGAATAAGAAGATGTATAAAGCAAAAACATAATATCACAGTCACAGACTTCTTCTTCAGTCTTCACGCCCACTTTTTTTCTTTTCATTTTTTCGTAAACAAATCAATCAGTTTTATAGCTTTTCTCTTCTCTTATCCGTTCACGTTTTGCTTCGATTCGTCTTCTTTAGTCTCTCTCTGGATCTTCAGTTTTTTTACGCATAGATCTTCTCATCTTCACTCTCTGGTAAGCTAATATTCTTTAACCTTTTCTTTGTCTCTGTGCTTTCTCGGTATAATTTGTTGTCAAAATTAGGAAAACTACTGGCAAAATTTTATGCGAATTAAGTTTAAATCGTTACTTGTGCCGATAATTTTGTCTATTTTCTTATTTTCGGTTCGAATTTTTAGCTCTTAATTTAGCTAAATTTTTTTGATTCAACTGACACCTACAAGTTCCAGAATATGTAATTGTTGTTCAATGCTGTTGTTTAATTGTTGTGATATCTGGTTTGTTTAGTTTTGAATTTGATTAGAAAATTTTGCTCTTTTTTAATTTATTTTTCTTGTCTCAGATTTTGCCCTCTGGTGGATTAGATTACAACAAAGCAGTGAATGTGAAATTGCTAAAAAGTGCATAGGAGGAGTAAACAAAACAGCATGAGTTGGTTCACAAGTTCTGTTGATTTGTACCGTAAAGTTGTGCCCTTGAATCTGTATTGCCGTGTTATTCTGTAAAATCTCTTCTCTACCTCATCTTCTTCAATTCCTCTTCTTTAAATCTTTTCTGTTGATCTTAGTTTCATTAATAATGGGATCCCAACGTTTCTACGTCTTTCATTGTGATCAATATAGGATCATCTAAACCATTCTCCTAAAACCCTCTAAAGCTTTTCTTTTTCAAGTCTTCCTTCTTTCTCTTTATTTCTTCTCAAAGATCATTTGTCTTTCTCTTTCTTCTTCAAGTCATCTGTCTCTTTTGATTAGCTTTGCTCTGTTCTGTGGAGCAATTGCAGTCGTTTTTACATTCACGAGTTTTGGCAAAGTGATGGTAAGTCAATCAGCTGGTCAGACAAGATTTCGAACATTGAAGTACGAGAACAACGGAGATTCCAACAAACCAACAATTGTAGTGAGAGTTATTGCTTGTTTTCAACCGATGGATAATTGTCAGGTTTGTTGCACAAATCATTATGTTATTTATGCTCTTTTGTCACTCTTCACCACTCTAACACTATTGTGTCTGTGTTCCACTTTCAGGCTGAATACTTTAGACATATACTCAAACCAGTGACGTAGTTGGTTTCTGAGTTCGTGTTTGTATTTTGGAGCTGGCCTTTTTTTTCTTCGTTTTGTCTCTATTTTTCTTTTACGATTGTTTCAAGAAAGAATCAAGAAGCAGTGCGTTCAACACACATTAGAGCAATACCTTCCACAATCGGTATGCTTATTGAATCTTTCCTTTTTTATACTTTTACATAATGTTGATTCTGTTTGTGGCTATAGCTTTTCTTTTGTTGGATTTTAAATAGTAATTATCCCGTTTATAGTCATAGCCATGTTAAATGATTGATCCCTTTACCTTTTTCGTGCAGTACTTGTATTCCTGTAAAGTTTCCTTTGCTAAAACTGTAAGAGCATGCCTCTTGATACCAGGCAGCAGAAGAAATGGTTGCCATTAGGCCTAAATCCTCAAGCTTGCGTCCAGGACACAACTACTGAGTCTTCCTGTCCTGAAATCCCTTTTCCGGAACTTGGTAAAGTGTATGCAGCTGAGCGTCAGTTTTGTTATTTGCAGCCACCGTTCCAAGCCTTGCTGCCAAGTTATGATCAGCAGTCTTGTGGAAAACAAGTTTCATGTTTGAACGGGCTATCTAGCTGCGCAGCTGCTCCAGAGGGGGCGACACTCAAGTCTTCTCAGAAAAGATTCCTAGTATTTGATCAGTCAGGAAATCAGACTCGTTTGTTACAATGTGGATTTCCTCTGCGGTTTCCTTCTTCTATGGATGCAGAGCGAGGGAACATTCTCGATTCCCTACACCCTGAGAAAGGGTTCAGTAAAGATCATGCCACTCCAGAAAATATATTGCTCCATCAAGATCATGTTAATGGCGAACAAGAGTCAGAAATGCACGAAGACACTGAGGAAATCAACGCGCTGCTGTATTCTGATGAAGAAGACAATGATGATTGGGAGAGTGATGATGAAGTCATGAGCACTGGTCATTCTCCATTCCCAGTTGAACAACAAGCGTGCAATAAAACAACAGAAGAACTGGATGAAACTGAAAGCAGTGTTGATGGTCCACTTTGTAAAAGGCAGAAACTACTGGACCATTCATCCAGAGACTTATCACCGTCCCTTGTGGTCACCAAGAGTTTCACTAAAGCCAAAGGCCTATCAGATGAAAAACTTCCTGAATCCAACATGTCAAGCAAACAAGAAACGGGTTCTGGTCTAAGTGACGAGCAGTCAAGAAAAGACAAGATTCACACTGCTCTGAGAATCCTGGAGAGCGTAGTCCCAGGGGCAAAGGGAAAAGAAGCTCTATTACTACTGGACGAAGCCATTGACTACCTCAAGTTGCTGAAGCGAAACATAAACTCATCAAAGGGTTTAAACAACCATTGGTGAAAAACCTAAGACCCCTTTTGCTCTAGTGATAAGCATGTTTGGTTGGTTAAAGAGAAGACAAGGGACAAAAGATAATCAATGGGGTAAAGGACTGATGTATGTAGAGAGAGATTCTCTCAAATTCATTAACGTGGGTTTGAAACAATTAGAACACGCCTGGTGACCCTAGTGGGACCGTATCCACTGTTCATCTAGCTGGATCAATAGTGGTTTTACTTTTGGATATGGCATGCTCTCTAAAAAGAAAGAAGAAGAAAACAATGGTCACTTTCTTCTGTGCTTGGAGTGGAAGAAAAGTGAAAGAAGGGAAAAAAGCAAAGTCTTGGTGCTCATTGATCGTTAATAATTATCTTTTTGTTTTTCCTCCTGGGTAATAATATCTCTGTGAAGGTGGTGGTGGTGGTGGTGGTGGGGTAGGCTGTGGATGAAGAAAATTCAAAAAGGCAAAAATTGAAAGTTTTATTTTTGGAGTGGTTGTGACTTGTGTAAATTGAAATCTTCCCACTTTCGTTTGGTAAAAAATCTATGTCCCCACTCTCTTTTGTCTCATTATTGCTCTTCTGTTGCTATCAATCCCATATCTTGTCATTTTTTTTTGTTGTTGTTCTTTTTAAAATCTCTGGCTCTTAAGCTCTTCAAGGGACTTGTACTACTACTGTATTGTTATCTGCTTCTGTTGTTTCTCCCGTGGGTCTAGTCATGCTTTTGTATCATATAAATAAACTTGTAAGGGTGTTAATAATGATACTAGTTCTTTTGCTTGTTTTTAACCTTTCAAAACATCATTGTTTCTATACCAAAAACACATGCTGTAAACTTGAAGTCCAATACAAGAGGCAGTTTGTTACGAATATGCTACATTAATCATAATTTAAACAAACATACAAAAAAATGCCTTGCACATCATGTCTTCTTGTAAAACTTTGGAAATTTTTGAAATTTGACATACTATATGAAAGATCATGGACCTGGCCTAACGCCAATGTATATAGGCCATTAACAAAATCGTAGGCAAAAATCTTTTGGTGAGAAAATCTATGAGTCTCATGACCTCCGGCGTGAAGAACAATAGATAAGTAAAAATCATAGTGTAGAGAAGAAACCTCTATTTTATTCACCCACCCTAAATGATGAGCTTGATCTGATTCTTGCCAAGAGCATAAATTTTTACTCCTTTCTCAGAGACCCAATCTTATGATACCTCAGTTTCCAAGCTACATTTCTTTTGCACCAAGAGCAAGTGAAAGTCGCTGGCTTTTTCCTCTAACCCGACATCTCGAAAAGCATTCACAATCCTCGAGCAAGCTGAAGAATCAAAATCTGTCTTCTTAGAATCCTTCCATTGATCGATAACTTCCCCTGCTTCTCTTAATTGACCAAGCATTAGATAAGATGAAAGAACACAAATGTAGCTTCTGCTGCTCAATTTCTGATTAGTGTTTCTCAGAGACTTCCAAATCTGATCTATCATATCCTTGTTTCCTAATCCAGTGTGCAGAATCACAAGGAAGTCATATGTGACCCATTCCCTTTGCGAAATAGATTTCTCAGCTTCGACGGGTGAGGTAGACTCAGCATTAGTTAGTCTACTACTGTTTATGTAGATGCTAGTAAGATCGATATATCGAACCCAACCCTCACTGGAATTAGCATCATGCCTCATCTCTTCAAGAATCATTTTCAGCTCATCAATGTTAAAGGTTGCAGCACATGAACTTAGCCACAGGTTGTAAGTAAAAATATCTGGAGAAACCTTTTTGTGCTTAAGCACTTGGATAACCGCAGGTACTTTCTCAACTTGACCGACTGACATGTATAAAGTCATCATCTCGTTATATGTGATAGCACCGAAATTGAGACTATCAGTCTCTATGATTCTCCTAAACAAGGCCTCAGCTCGTTCGGTTTGTTTGGAGCCAGCATAAGCATGAAGGAGAGATGTATAGGTTTCAGTTGTCTTTGAATCTATATGCAGACCTTCAAAGTAGCGTTCAGCTGCATCGATTCCGAAAACTTTCGAAATCAGATCAATGCGCGAGGCGTAATCAGCATCAGAGATCTTAGATTCTTCATTCTGAACCATCCACTCTGTAACCTGTTCATAAGACTTGAATAAGCTCCCAGAAGGATGGCATAGCAATGCGATTTTGTGCATAAACAGACATAAAGATCATAAATTTGAATTATGCCTGAAATTTAAGTTTTGCGAGCTTGTTTTGTCAAACCAAGAATGAATCGTAAACAAGCTTTCTCGTTTACTACTCATCTTGTCAATGCAACTTCACAGAAAATTTCATGCCAAGGAAACAAAGCAATCAATCTCGAAACTAGAAACCACAGTAGCACACATTCCAATGGATTTTGAAACCCATGAAAAAAGGAAATGTTATCGATGTAAGTACCTCAAGAGCGTGTTTGTAACGCCGAGTTCTCCTAAGCTCTTTGGAAATGTCTCGAAGTTCATTGACAGTAATCTGATTCCCTTCACCAACCCATTTCTCGAGAACAGTAGTCGCGCTTCGTTTCGGAAGCCTCAATCTGAAAATCCGGCTCCTCAGATCGTCTTTCTCCTCCGATTCCAAAGATTCATCGACTAGTGAGCCTCCGATTGCTGCGTCAGCACTGTACGGTTTCGAGAATCGCGACGATTCGGCGTTCCGAATGAAATTGCTTCCGACAGCACCATTATTATTCGTCAATCGACTAAAATTTTCAAATAGTAAGAGAACTGTGAATCAAATTTATCAGGAAAGAAAAAAGAGAACAGTTGGAGTAAACTCACCATCTAAGAGTATGGAAGAGCGAGCGAGTCGCCATGGATTCTTAGTTCTGTCTGACGACGACCAAAAAAGGATCTAGAACTGAAGTTTCAATTTCACTGACATGGAGAAGAGTTTCAATTTCGTGTCAAATGGTAAAAAGATGAATATTTAATGGGCCAATGAAAGTCGGCCCATTAGCTCCAATATAAAAAAGGGGTCATATACATACACGGCGATTAAAACAACCGCATGTAGAATGCCACCGTCGCTACAAGCGATGTGGGCAATTCGAAGAGATGAGCCGTGTTCTTTTATTAGTTCTCTTGTCGGAAATTTTAAAATTATCCCTCGAATTAATTTTTGGATATGGAATTGAAAAAATTCATAAAAATGATGATATATTGATCAAAGTTTACAATACATATCGATGGAAACTCGAAACAAAAATAAAATAATAATAATGATGCTGCTGATAATGATATAATCAAAAAGTAAGAAAAAAATGAATAAAGAAACAATAATGGTGCTTGGGATCGAGCGAGAGAGCCTAGAAGGCCAAAACGGCAGCGCATAGCACAACGGCGACGGATCCACCAAAAAATGTGTATCTGTTGGAATCGAAAGCGGCGTTGGTCAATGCTGGAGCAGGAGCTTCTGACGGCGAATCAGAGATGGAGGAGGGAGTGTCGAGTGAAGGAGAATCAGCTTGAGGCGGTAGTAATGAGGATTTCGGAGTCGGTGTTTTGGAAGAAGATGGAGAGATGATCCGTCTTCCTCCGCCGCTGGAGGGAGCTGGAGCAGGAGACTGAGCCGCCACCGCTGAAGAGATCAAGAGAGTGGCCACAACAACCAATAAACCTAAGGTTCTGCTGGAGATCCACATTGCCATGATTTGATTGTAAAAAGAATAAAAGAAAGTAAGCAATTTGAAAATATGTGTTGGCGATTGAGTTTAATGATTTGCTCTGTTGTTGTGGATTGTGATGGTGGAGATGACTACGGCTTTGAGCTCTTTATATAGAGAGAGTTGAAAGTGTGATATTTACGCTGTTTAGGAACGCGTTAGATCTGTATCGTTGATTTAAGAAAAAGGGGAGACGAGTAAGATCGGACGGTTGTGGATTTATGAGACGCAAAAGTGTGAAGTGGGGACACGTTAATGACAAAGAGAACGCGGTTGGATTCGTCCCTCTAACTACGGCGACAACGGCTCGTTAATGCATGACCGTACACGTGGCAGACAATTGAGGATTATGGCCGTTATGAAAAATCACTTTATTTTTCTTTTATTTGAACCTAAAGAAAAACTTTATTTTCATTTTCTTCTATAACGGTCGATTTACTTGGAGAATCTTATATTGTTATTCATTTATTTCAGGTTTATTTTTTTTTTTTTGAGGTTTAATTATAATCCCAAATCATTTTTTTTTATACATAATTTTATTGCAGCAAATTGTTTCACTCTTTTAATAGAGTGCTAGAATTAAAAAAAATGTTGTGTATAGTATTTTTCCAATTCTTTTAGAAAAAAAAAAAACAATTGGAACTCTTCATGTAGACCACATTAACTCATAAACTCATAATTAATGAAATCAAGTCTTTAAAAAAAAAAACCAATTGGAACTATAAAAGAGCTGGGCTTTGGTTAAGGCGTCGAATGGCCTCGAGTGGGCTTACAGAGTAGAATGCTACATATCATAAATCATGTTTTTTTTTTATAATGTTTCCTATTACTCGGTTTCGTTTGCTGCTTTTTTCTTTTGTAGACTCCCAAAGTCACAATTTGTAGAGAAGAATCGAGATGACTAAACCAACTATCGTACTACTACTTTTTAGTAGATGAGCTTTTCTGCTGATGATCCAGGAGTTGAAGAGGGGAAGTTTCAGTCTCTGCAGAGCTGATATCGCACAAAAACTTCTCACAGCTAAACTCGTGCAACGTCCCTTACTATTTTCCACCTCAACCTATGCAATGAACAAACACATTCAGATTTGAGTTAGCTAGACACCCATTTCTATCATTGTCTTTGGTCTGAAATCTGATATGAAATGCTTTTTTTCGTCAACGCTGGTCAACAATATCGAACGGTAATGTATGGAGGAGCTATGTAAAAAAAAAACACATCAGAGAGTTTTCAAAAATAAAAATTCTGCTTATAATAATTCTGGAATTGTAAAATACAGCAAAGAAACACTTGGCATGTTCCTACTTAGATTGCCAAACACTCAAAAACCAAAAGGTAACTCTGTTTGGGGGTTTATTTGACCGACATGAGAAACCAAGAATCTAATAAATAGTTTGTAGGTGTAAGTAAATCTCCAATAAAACACTTTTTTTTAATCAAAAATCTCAACTTTTATTGGAGCGACTTCATTGATAGCTAGCTTACTGCTTTCACTCTCATCACTTCAGTCTAGTAGATTCGACAAAGCCTGTTCCAAGCACTGAACACCAACCAAACCCACTAGTCATTATTTAAGCATTTATGGGATAATTTAATTCAAGTTACTTGAAAAGGTGAGATTGGTAGGAAACTGGATAATAAAAATTAAATCATTTTTTCCCTCTCCCACAATATTAAACACCATTGTTTAGTACGCAATACGCCAAAGCCTCTAAATATATAAGCTACAACTTTTATTAAAAGTGACAAACACTAATCTATATATGTTCTCTTTCTCCTATCCCCCAAGTCCCAACATCAACCTTTATTCTTCTTCATCATCCTCATTTTACATTATTCTTCTTTCTTTTGTTTACTACCGTATAATGCAAAAAATACAGCATAATTAATTTCTTAATACGCTTTCCCGCTTCTCTATGAAAATTTGATTCTTTTGATTATAAAAAGATAACAATAAAAAGTAGTACAAGGTTATATTTTTTCTTAGGGGAAACTAATTTTTTTTATTAAGGACATTAAAATAGATTATGAATCTTCACATACTTCAAAGATGGAATTTACAGGGCATAATAAAACCAAACGACAAAACCAAACACATAAACCCTTTCCCCAAACTCCTCCGAACCAGACTTTCGATAGATATCTACAACTTTTGTCTTTTTTTTTTTTTTTTTAATGTTTTTCTTTAACTCGCCATCACCATTGATTCTTGCCACGTGTCTACTCCACGACCATCTGCTATCAAACCAAAGTCTTACACGTCGATGTCTGCGGGTCCCACATCGCCGGCAAAAGATATTTCCTTCCGGCGAGACCCAAAGCGTTGTAACTCGCTCCACTCGACTTGTCTACGAGAACCCGACCCGTGTAACCCGGGTAAGCACCCGAACCGAATACTCCGGTACAAGCCGAGACAGCTTCCTGAGGCGGGTTTGTCACGGTGTTGACAAGGAGAGTCGCGAGGTTTATGATCATCCCGTCAACTCCGACGTCACCGTTAGGCGCGACTAACGGCGGAGACTGAGGACCGTAGATAGGCTGATGAAACGGCCACGCGCAGTAACCAGGGCACATCGATTCAGAGTTCCCGACCCACACGTAAGCTCCACTTGCCTTTGACCCGTGAGTCCCGCATCGATTCATACAGAACCCTTCCACGGTGACGTCTTTCGCCGTCAAGACGACGGTTATCGAACGAGCACCACCGGCGTTGATTTTGCTCGACAGAGCACGGAGGTAAGGGCTCTTTAAGGATTTTCCGATAGGGTAGTTCTCGAGGAGGAGCTGTTTGCCGACTACGAAAGTTGAGACGCCTTTTTTGTACTTCTCCGTTGTCTTCCACCACGACGCGACGGAGGGACCTTTTGCGACGGCAGGGGAACTGATAGAGCGGATGAAATCGACGATGACTGACCGTTGGATCGGTGTGAATTTACCGTACCAAACGAGATTGAGAGTGATGCTTCCTTTCAACGGAGTGCCGCTGTGGCTGTGGCGAGGCTTCTGCTCGACCAACGCGGCGGTGGAGAGGCTGAAAGTGGTGGAGAGGAGCACGAAAAGAATGGCAAAACGGTAATTAAAGGCCATCTTGGCAGAGACTAGAGAGGTTTTGCTCTGTTTAATTATTTGAATATGATGAATGAAATGAGTTTGTGAAGAACGCTACTGAAGAGAGCTTTATTTATATACCCGGGAATTTTAAGAACAGCTGTAAAATGCGAAGAGCGTACATGTCAACGTATTCCACGTGGAGATATTTAATTGGTTAGGCGAGGGCTTTGGACAGCCTGTAGTGAGGTTCTTCTAGGGGTGACGTGGTAGTTTCCATAAACGTGTATTAAATTATTTTTGTTTTTTTTTAATATATAAAAAAAATATAGATATTATATGCGAACAGGGATAAACACTTCCGTGCATGTCCGGATAAAAGTTTATGCTATTTACATTGAACAGTACAAGACTACAAGTCTCGAGTTATTGAAAGGTGCTATCGTATTCAATTTATTAAATCAAATTAAAAGAAGAAGAAATAAAAAATGAAAATGTGGCTGTGAATGTTTAAGGACATTTGCATTCTAAACGTTTTCGAAGCTAGATGTACACAAAAACTGACTAAAACATGGGGGGTTTTTGGATGACCAAACTCGACCAATCCCCATAAAAAAACTGTCGAAGTTTCTTCAGATACATCAAAAATATAAACCATGACGACTCAGATAGTTTTATATGTATACAAAAAAAAAAAATGTTTTGCTGCTAAACTAATTTTAAATATCTTGATATCGGAGTGATCTAATATGATTCTCTTTAATTTATTTTCGTAAATAATATGCACAATTTGCGGATTTTAATTTGGATAATGAAATAGCAACATGCACTAACATAAACTACAACACTATTGGATTCTTGGGATATATAGTTATATACAACCAGTAAACTATTGATTATTGAGTATTAATTCAAGATGAGTCGCATCGAAACCGACATCACATATATACTAAAGTGCGCTAAAATAGTAATAACCATGCTATTAAATAAAACTGCTGCATCCAGCTAGTGGAAATCTATTGTGTTTTGAGGAAACCCATAATGGTGAGTGAGGTGATAAGCATCAAGCACTTGGGGACCAAACCAAATCTTTACGTATGTCAACAATGATCTAAGATATGTATGTAAATGTAGAAATTTACAATAATGTGTTTCAGCAGTGGTCGTCAGTAATTAGGGTAAGGCGTACGAACCAAGCCCTTCTCTACGTCAATTATTGCCTTACACCTGCGTGGTCCAGTACTCTAGCTATTCTTCTTTTAGTTTCTTTAGCTTTTCTCTTTTTCATTTGAATACTCTTTATATATCTTTTATTCGCCTTTTTCTTCTTTTTTATAAAAAAAAATATCTTTCACTATATATATATATACCTTTTCCTTTATTTATCTAAATTCTAGAACGTTTGGGAATTTTTTTATCATGCATGGACATCGAATGATACGGGGTCGATTTTAAAAACGTTTAATAACTGTGTATACTCCCAAAAATGTTATTTGATGAGACCACTACGTCTTGATAATCGTAGTAAAAGTTTTAAACTCGAGTAAAAAAAAAAAGTAAAGACATTGGATTTACATTACGTCAAGGCACGACATACGAGGAAGATGAGTCTCACAGCGCAGGTCCCCCACATATATTGTAAAGAAAGAAAGATACGTTTATCAAAACTTGGGAAATACGCTATTTTACGTCACCTTGTCAGTAGTAAACTAGTATACTGCTATCTTCTCTTCTGTGTTATCTTTTTTTACCTTAGCTCTGCATTTGCCGTTGTTATTCATTTAACACGTGAAATCTTAGTCCTAGAAACAAAAACAAATCTACTAAATATCTGCCACCAATAGTTTGCAAGACTACAATTTTGCCGTACAGTGATTGAAAACAAAATCATAATAATATTTAGACAATAATAATTTGCGGTTACCATTGTAGCAAATAATATGATTTACATCTTTGTAAATACAGAATTTTGTCAGTATACTGAGTAATTTGAATCACTATATATACTAAACTTTAAAGTACTTTCCTATTGCCGGACTAATTCAAGGTAACATCATCCTTTCATAAAACCAATTCCCATTATTTTATTTAATATAATGATATGTTTAATTACGTCAATTTTTTATTTAAATATAGTTATAATTATTTTGCTGTCAATAATATACCAAGTTTTAATTTGAAAGACAGCACAACGGCAAAACCAAAACTATAAAAAAATATAATGTTAATAATAATAATAAAACTATATGTTTGGGTCATTGTAGTTAATTTATACTATTAATTAGTATAATTATAATACCAATAGCGTGTAAGAAAAAAGAAGACTGATACTATTGTATAAAATAAAACCCCACAACATTTATGATCAGGCTTAATTATTCGAAAGCTAAATAGTAGTTTCGTCAAGTTATAACCACAATTAATGTGTTTTGGTGTAAGCATGCATGGTGCATGCGTGTGGATAGGTATATGTAGTTGCCAAGGTTTATTCGTAGGGCTAAAAACTGAAATGAAAGGCCGCAAACATATGTGTTAATATACGAATGCCAAGCAATGCTTCGTTGGCATGATATGTGACACACTCTTATGTTTTTGATATTTCTCGTGAAAGTGACAATTTATACGTTAAACGAGCAATTATACATATAATGCACGAGCACGACCAGATATGTGTACATGTACATGCATATAATATATATGGCCTAACTAAAAAAAAAGAAAAAATAAATCGCCCGCTACATATGACCTAACCTACTAGGCTACTACCCATTAATAGTAGTTGCTATCCAAATTGGAAACGTATAGAAATAAAATTCAAGAAGAACATAACTTCATATTATTTACATACTTATAAAACAATAAAAAAGGAAAACGTTATTCAAATTTCTAAAACTGATTAATCGGGTAAACAAAATAACCGAACGATGTCTAGTAATTTATGTAATTTGATTTAAACCGGAAACTCATACAAACACTTACCTTTTTTTCTTATCCTTACAATACAAGTTGGTGGAGCTAGGAGTGTGACTTGTGAGAGCTTAGGTCAAAAGAAACTCGATCGGAATGGAACAATGCAATTGCAAAAGTTAATGGAATGGGTATTGCAATCCGAACTTAAATTTTTAAGCTAGCTATTGTTAATGAAACATCCGTTTTAAGTTCATGTGATAGAACGAGAGATTTTTTAGAACTAAAATCGTCTTTCAAATTCAAGTATTTATTTATCACACAAACATATAAATACAATGAATGAACATCTGTTTTTCGAATGGTTTTATAGAAATGTAGCTGTTATATATATGCGTAACATTAATACTCGATTGGATATATTTCTACTTGATGAAAAAGATTTGAAACTTTGAAAGGGACCATAGAATAGGATGTATATATGTATATGCATATAAATACATATGTCGGCGAAGTCAAATAAAGTTAGCTAGGGAAGTCGTATGTATGTATGGATGTAACGTTAAAAACACCCATTCCCCTCCATATCCTAACTTTTTGACTTTAAGGGTTAAACGTAACAGTCTTATGGGCAAAATCTAATTTGCATGCAATTGCTTTGCATGCCCACTTCTATCATTGTCTTTAATTTCTCCGTTTTATTTCCTTTTTTTTTTTGGTCAAAGGATGTAAAAGTTTGAACATATATACAAAACAAAACCATAAAAGCAAAATTTATTCAAACTGCGTTGAAAGGGGTTTTATAAAAAAATGTCCTCATTATCACAATAAAGCTAGCACATACTTTTATTTTCAGAAAATATTTTTAAATATTTATACAAAATCTCAACGTAAATAAAGTGTTTTTGTTTTCTTTTTCGTTTGCAAAGAAACATTATAATTTTTGTCTGTGGTTAAAATCCTATATATTGTCATTTCAAGATTGTAATACACTATTACAAAACATGCAAACGTTAAAACAAACACAAACACAAAAAGAAAAAAAAAGAAAAATCATTGATAACTATAGAGCAATGACCAATACGACAACTACCACCACAATTAGAAAAATAATAAAACCGTAACGACGTAGCCTTTAACAACTACAATAATTACACTTTTCTATTGACTGGAAATGCTGAAAAAGACTAGCGAAAGCAATGTAAGTCCAACTAAATTATTAGTTCTAAATTATATATTAAATAGTCATTTTGTTAGATGATTATATTATATGAGAGCATAATTTGCTAAAAGAAAAAAAATAAACGCGAGAATAAAGTTGTATAATATAAGTCATATTTCTTGTGCGTGATTTAAACAAGCAACGTAACGTAGTATTATGTAAAATATCGAGTCATCTGAAGAAATAGTATGCTATCACATTACATGCGTAATCGATATTATCAAACATACACACACATACACGAGATTAAAGAACGTAAATAATTTGCTTACAAGTTCATGATTTGTACTTGTTATGATTTTGCAGCTAAATAAATGAGTGAATGAAACTGCATATATACACTGAAACAAAATATATAGGTAAGGCTGTAAGGGGTCAGTGTCTTCAATTAAAATCTTCTTGTCCTCAGATCATAAATGTAAAACGTCACGACGTATTTGTCTGCATCCGATGTTTGCCGGCAAATTTTATCAAACCCACAAAGAGCTTCAACAATTATTAGTCCGCAGAAGCAGCCAAATACCACATTAAAACTAAACCAAATTTTCTTTAATAACATAAAGTTCCATGAGCCGAAAAAGAAAAAAAAATGTTTATAGAAGGCATAATCCACCAGCCCATATGTAAGTGCGACTAAGTAGGTGAGGTAAGTCACAACATTGGTGAAAGATAATAAAACAAAGTTACTAGTAAAACAATTAAACTAAAATACATTTCTTCTTCTAAAGAAAAAAAAAAGACATGAGTATTCAATCATTATAGGTTTTTAGGATAAGGTGGCTAAGTTAATCAATTAAAAAAAATATTGTAAGGTGTATATGTTGGTCTTACATTGCCGCCGACCGACCGACCAGCTTTCTCATGTTGACAAACCAATCTACTCTAATACACCAGTTTGGTCCCAGTTCTCTTGTCATGTAATAGGTACCAAGTTCCATATTATTATTATTGGAATCTTCCCCAATTTTAACTTGAGAGAGCTATTCACACATATCCTTGTTATGTACAACAAAATTGGACGACACTCCGACTCCGTCCGTACTCCACGGCCACAGGGAGGGTAGCCACATAAAGAAGGATTAAGATAAAACTTTAAAAACTTGTTAAACCGTTTTTTTTTTCAGTATCCTAAATTCTTTCTTCAAAGCCCAACAATAAAAAAACAAAGGCCACTTAAAAATGATTTGAAGCCTTTTTTTTGGTAATCGGATAAATATCTCTTCTATGTTTCACTATAATGTAAGCTGATTTTAAGCCCTTTATTAGGCTCGACGTTGGGATTAGATTGGCCTTATTTCAGTTGATCAAGTTAAGAATTGAGTTCATTAATCGCGGGTGGATCATCAAAGACGATCTGTTGTCGTTGATGATCGTGTTTGTGATAATTATAACACAAGTCCTAATAGACATCAATGGTTTAAACAACAAAGAATAACCACTCTTTCAAGTGCAATGACGAGAAATAGTGTGTAAGAAAATAAATTGGTGAATATAGTAGGTAGTAAGTAATTCACAAAGAGCCGATGAGAAAAGATTTCAAATGCTTGACAAATTCCTTGGACTTCTCTAAATTCACAGCATGTCCTGCGTTCTTGATCACCACTATCTCTGCACTTTCTCCTATATGTCTGCACTTTCCACCATTTTTATAGAATATATATATAAACTATTGTTTCACATAAAAGAAGAAGAAAAGAGTAGTAATATATATTTAAATTTACCTTTTCAATCTGTAACCTAGTTCCAATGGAAATATTTGATCTTCTTCTCCCCATATGATCAATGATTTCTAATTCAAACCACACCAAAACACACACGATGAACAAGTAGGATATTTTACAAGAGTCCAAATAAAAGTATCGAGTAAAAGAGTCACAGATAGATTTGCACCTGTTTGATCCTAGGAAGATCAGAAAGTCTCCGATCTTTGAGTATTGATTTGATCAAATCTTTCTTCTCCTCCACAAACTCCGTACACATTACCTTCATCAACAATTTCAACACACAAAAACACATTCTCAAAACTCCAAAAAAAATCCAAAATATATTTATCAAAAAGATAAAAAAAAAACAACTTACATCGATAAAATCCCAGAGAAAAAACGAAGGAACACCTTTGATTGGCTTAACGAAAGAGAATCTAATAAGCTCCTTGAGCTTCTCCGGCGTCTGTGGTATCAAAATCCCTGTAGCTTCTTCCAGATTCGGTACCTTGAACAAACCGTTCTCCATGTCTTTCTCTTCCAAGCATACCCCGGCGCAGCATAGCACTAGCTTCTCTACTTTCTCCGGATACTGCGCCGCTAAACTGTACCCGACGAATCCTCCGTAGCTTATCCCTACGATGTCCATCCTCTGGACTCCGTGCGCTTCCATCAACCTCATCAGACACCGAGCCTGGAATGTCTCCGATCTGTTTGGTTCCGACGTCGATGATAACCCGAAGAAGAGCAGATCGGGGACGTAGACGTTGAATCTCCCCGTGAAAGCTCGGAGATGTTCGCCGTACTGCCACATTGCGTTGGCTCCGAACCCGTGGAGGAGGAGGAGATTGGGTTTAGATCGGTTTGGGTATTTAGGGATCCAACAATGCATAGCTGTTGATGCGATCGAATTGCCGTGGGAGAGATCGGTTGTGACGGAGCGTAGACCGGCGTTTGCGAATGATTGCCGGAATAACCAATCTCTCGACGCCGTGAAGCTGAAGCATCGCAACAGTTTCAAATGTTCAAACATTTTTTTTTTCCTCTTTTTGCGAAAAAAGGAAACAGAGGAGGAGAAGGAGATAAACGTGACGACGAAGAAGAGGAAATAAAAACAGATTTCAGTTATTTGTCGACATATTTGATTGTAAACGTGTGACTTATTAATTATTATGGTCGACGTCCCTCTAATTTTACGAAATTATAGTATTGGACTTTTGTGGGGGGAACAAAGAAGCTAAAAAGACCCATAAGGATCAGATCAAAGTAATTAAGAGGTCAAAAGGTTACATCCCAGTCTGTACAAAGATGTAGCAAAACAACCACAAAATATCATAATCTGCTGTGGATTCAATCATGAACCGAACTTTTTTTTTTTTTTTTTTTTTAAGGGTTTAGATAGGTAAAAGGTAGCTTGGTGAAAAATAATAAATAAGCCCTTCCTCTTCTAGGGTTTTTTAACTCATGAGTTTGCGGAGACGCTTCTCAGCAAGCTTTGCCGTCTTGTTCTGTGGTTCAAGGACCAATGCGTGCCTGAAATCTGCGGAAGATGATCAACCATATTATATGTTACGCTGAATCTATTCAATCTAACCAAGTAACAACCTGTAACTATATATTTGGTTATGGAACCAGAGCATGTCTTCCAAAGGTAAAAAATGATAATAATTGAGAGATTGTAATAAACTAAGAATCTGAGAGCATTTAATCACACCTGCAGCAGCTTCCTTGTATCGTACAAGTGATTCTCTAGCAGTCCCTCGTCTCAGATATGCCTTCACATTCTGTATAAAACAATTACAGCTATAAGAATTTAAGCGATTCCAAGTTCTTTCAAGTCTCAATACTAAGTGCTTGTGTCTAATAATAGTGATTGAGTACAATAATGAAATCGAATCCAAGAGCTAACTAGTATTACTCATTCAGTTATTAACACTGCTCTAGCTTTCACAATTATGTCCTCAGATACGAAAATACAGACTGAATTTTTTGATTCAGCTAAACAGTACTTGCACACTGAACCATGTAATAAAACTCGATGTAACTAAACTAAACTATGCAGGATGGAGGAATAATGAAAGGTTAGGTAATTAAGTTCGCACCTTCTTATCGATCGATACAGCCTCGGTACAATCTTCTTCAGCTTGTTGGAAGCTATAAGCAAACTCTTAGATCAGACGAGTATAATAGATTATCTTCAGATCAGAATGAAAGATGTGACAAGATTAATTACCTGCCAAGTTCTAAGAAAGCTGCAGCTCTATTGCAAAAATAAGTGGCATTTGCTCCGTTCAATTTTATAGCTTCAGTATAAAAGTTTACTGCCTTATTCCATTGTCTCCCCTTGTATGCAGCATTCCCCTGGAATTACATTTATCCACTGTTAACTTTCTTTTAAAATAGGTCATTCCAACACCAATAGCATATGGATCGCAGCCAAATAAACTATTTGTCCAAGTCAAGGAGATAGTTTTACCTTTTCCTTCATAAGTTCAGAAGCCTCCATATTACCATTGGTATCAGAGACTGGAGCCAAGTGGGATGCAATTTCAGCATGGTCTTGAAGGGATGCATATACATCGAGAATTGTATCGAGAAGAAACTTATCACCTCCATAGTACGTAAGAAACGACACGGATATTGGACGATCACCGTGGTTCCCTAAAGGAATTGTAACCTGTAGAATATTTCTATTGTGTTATGACTTAAGACTGACGAGTAACAAAAATGGAACAACACTGTCATCCAACCATTAAAAGAGAGAAGGAGGAAACGGGAATATACCTGACAACATCCAGACATGCTAGCAATGCTGGAGAGTGCATAAGTTCTCTCAAGAAACTCCTTCAAAAAGTTCTTGTTCTTAGTGTTAAGCTTTGGAGGGGGATCAGCAACTGTGGGTATAACCAGAATTCCATCTTCCTAGTAATAAGATACGATATATGGTTAATCACAATACTACCGAAATACAAATGCGGAGCAGAATCCCCAGAAACAAAAATTTGATACGACAACCACTTCAAAATTCTGTCTCTCTGTGGCAAATTGTCCTCAAGACACAGATGGCTTCAAAAATTTTACATTTACAAATATCGAAGTTTACCTTGAGAAGGCTCTGAATGCAGGCCCGCATCTCAGTTTTCACTCTGTAAAGTGATTTAATACTATCGGTTTTGCTCTTTAGAGCTGTAACAACATCATTGGAAAATCTTGGCCCTAGAAACGATTTGCATGTTTGCGACCATTCTTCATGATTAGTTTTGAATTCATGCCTGGTTAAAAGCAAACCTTGATTTTTCAATAAATGCATATAACAATCCTTTCTTGCACCAGTCGAACAGGAAACAAAATAGTATTGATGCGTTGAAAATTTCAAGAAGTATGAGCTTCTTAAATACCTTTGTATTGCCAACATCACATATGAAAGAGCCCTCAAAGTTGATGCTGAATTTTGGGATTTTCCAAATTGTTCACAGAATGCCGCAAGACTTGGTGCATTTGAAGTGATATATTGTCCAATGTTTACATGTTTTGGAGTCTGGTCTGCATGAGCCAGTGGTCAAGAGACGTAAGATATGAATATGGAGAAGGAAAAAGAGAAGGAAGCAATACAAATGAAAACTTACAGTCAGATAGATTTTCGATTGCCTTTCTGACAACATGCACCGACCTTTGCTTGGGAATGTCAGAGAGCTCAAATAAATCATCAGCAAAGATGAACGATCTTTGCCTTCTATGTGCTACAGCACTCAGAGTTAGTAAGGCATGGCCAACTTGACACAAAACCGATGGGTCACGAGCAAACCATCCTGCAGAACAGATCAACAGAAAAATGATCAGCAACTCAAACACCAAAAGTAACACTCAAATTACAAAAAAGGAAAGGGATTTGACAAGTAGAAGGATTCTTTGTATGATTCAATACAACTACACTAAAAAATTCCATTCAATGAATGTAATAGTTTGGTAAACATTGTTTTAAAAAAGGGGGAAAAAGAATGTAATGTACCAACAGTCTCTAGGCTCTGAGAATTGGGCAAAACTCCAACTGAAGATACAGTCCCCTGAGATGGTCGAAAACCGAGAATGCCACAGAAAGATGCTGGGATTCTAACACCGCCAGTGGTATCAACCCCTGCAAACCAAGCATTTTGTGATAAGCACAAAATCTAAGTAGACAAACAAGTACACTGCCAAGAGAGAACAAAGAGATTAATAATACCAAGTGAAAAGTCAACGAGTTCAGCCCCAACAGAAACTGCTGAGCCACTGGAACATCCTCCAGGAACATTAGATGGCATCAACGGATTAATAGGAGTGCCATAGTGCTTGTTTTCTCCAATAATCCTGTAAGAAATCACATTCAAAACCCAAACTTTTTTTCAAACCAATTACCGGAAATTCATCCCTTAATGATGGGAATGGAGAAATACCCAAAACCCAGCTCATCCATGATAGTCTTGCCAACACAAGTAGCTCCATTTTGCAAGAGCGTTGTGACAACCACAGCAGTTTTCTCAGCAGCCTCGTGAGTCTTCTTCCATTGTGGACTACCAAAACCTGTGATATAATCCTTAACATCGAACCTGTAAAAAAAAACCATAAACCCCAAAATAAATTTCTTCATTCATTACACATGACTTCGTCTAAGCAAGTCAAAATTTCAATTAAACCACAAAAGTTTTAAACTTTCTAAGGGAGATCATTAAATAAAGAAGAAGTCTATGACATGATTCGATCTCAGGAAACAGAAATAAAGTTTAATTTTTGAGAGAGAGATGCATACGCGTCAGAAATGGAGAAGGTAAGACCAGAGAGGGATTGTTTAGCTGCAGGAGGAGGCGGCGGAGGGAAAGGAAGAAGCTCGAAACGATCTAAGAAAGCAGCAAAGTCTTCTTCTCTAAGGGCTTTGATGCGCCGCTTCCGAGTCTCCGCCAGGATCACGATCCCGGCTACCGTGACGCCGATCACGACCCAAACCTTGGGATTGGAGGCATTGCTTTGAATCAAAGTAAGCGTACTCGACATAACGCGATTTCACGAGAAGGAGCGAGAAAGAGGAGAGAGACAAGGGTTTTAGGAGGGTTTAAGAGAGAAAAAGGGGGAAGACAGAGAGAGCAGAGATGCTATCGTGCGCTGGGTTGTGTTTGTTTAACCTTATAATTACGAGTTATGCTGTATGACTTGGTGAGCCGTGAGCTCGAGTCGGTGTCCTTGCGCAAGGCGAATCTTCTTCTTTTTTTTGGAGTCATTTCTCTTATTAATATCAGAAATTATTAAAGAAGACACCAAGAAAATAATTTTTTAATTTTTAATGATGGTCAGAAAAACAAAAGAATATTAAATTTTCCTATTTTTTTTAGTTGTATTTATTTTTATTATATCAAGTGTACAAATTATTTAAAATTTTATGAATTTTTATCCCTTTTAGTTGGCCATTTCTCTTAATGAATTTTTCCACAAGTGGAAAATTATAATTTTAAGCAAAGTCAAAACATCCAAAACCCTTATATAATGGAAAAACAGAAGAAAATTGATATCGTGCTAGATAATATGAAAACAAAATATTGCTGTAGTTTATTTGTTTAGTTTCCATTTTCTGTAGCCTTGCCCGTCAATCCAATTCAGTTAATAGGAAATCCAAATTAAATTTTTATCTATTTAATGGATTTACTAATTCAAATTTGGTTATAGATAAAATGGCATGTTGCTCCGGATTTATAACAAACTTATAAATTAAATTTGGCTCAATAACATGCCATACTAATAATACGATGAATGAATTGTAGGAAAAAAATGAGAGGAGAATCTTCGAGACTAGCCATTATGATATTATCATATATCCAAAGAAATAAATTAAACGGTAATATGAAGAAGTATGGTATTTACAGAGAAGAAATAAAAGTTAGAGAAAAGTTAAAAAGAAGGAAAAAATGAATACGAGTGAGTCAAGAAATGTGAAGTAGAAAATTAAGAAATATTTATGGAGAAAAAGACATCATCAATGTGTCATCGTTCAAAAGAGAGTCGATGTCAATTAAATCGTCTTCGTCACAGTTGACTGGTTCCTCTTCATTGTTTACAGATGCACTTGATGAAGCCTGCACAACAACCAATGTTCAACCAAATTATGTTAAAAACTAACTGATCCTGCTATCCACATCTTTTTGTATTTATGCTATGGGTCTTGGTTGAGTACCTCGTTTTCACGGAAGCCCTCGACCACGGTTAGGAGTCTACGGTATTGATCCCGTGCCTCTGGGTACTGAACCATCGACTTTACCCGAGTGAGAGCCTTTTGAAGCCTTTCCTCCGTTTGTTTTCTTCCCTCTTTTAGAAAATCATATTCATCTTCCTGTGGTTTCGTAGGGCATATAGCTGATTCAGGCTGTTCTGGTTCCACGGTTTTGGGGATTGCATTGCCTTTGAACCCTCTTAAGCCTTTACCTTTGCGTCTCCAACGCAAAATGATTTTCTCAAGTAATCCCACTGACCAAATGACTGTTCGGTATTGTTTCCGCACCTGATGTCCTCTCACATGAGCCTAAAGGTCAAGATGATGATTCCAGCAATGAGAAAACAGACAGAAATTAATGAAAAAGCAATAAGAGGAAGCAAAAAAAAAGCCAACGAAAGGCAAACCTGAATTTTAACGATTCTTTGTCGGATTAAAAGAAACTCTTTTCTCTTTTTCCAACCACGATATTTCTTCTGGATATGGGTAGCGGCAGAACTAAGAGAGACATCACTGTGTCCTGGATTCTTACTTTTACAAGCTGCAAAAGAAACAGCCAACTCCTCGGATATATCAATCTTGTCATCATCGCCAAATTCAGACAGCTGTTTCCGCTGGAATGATTGCATCCTGAAAACTTGACGAAGACGATCAGCCGCTTGTGTAGCATTACGGACAGCGGTAAGTGAATCCTTCAAGGAAAGTTTTTCTGGTATATCACCATAGCTCATAGGAGCAGCAGTTCGCTCAGAGACTGTTTGGACAGCTTTTGCTCCGGAAGAGTTGGCAGAGCTATTTTCCTTTGAGTCCACTGTTAGCTTTTCAAGATAACTAGTTAAGGAAGACTCTGCAAGAAAACCCGAAATCCCCCTGTGTCCATTTGCATAAGCCAAGTCAGCTGCTGTTTTACCCAAAGGAAGCTCTGGAGATGGATCCGTCAATGCCCCAGCATCAGCACCTAGAGAGACAAGCACAGCGACAGTTTCCTCCCTATAATTAACAGGAAACAAAGTTAGTTTGATATGGAAATGCTGACAATAATTGAGTTGAAGACACATCATGAGAATCTTCAAAGAAATTCAAAATCTCAAATCCTAATTTTATGATCAAAGAACAGGAATGTGAGATAGAGGTCTTTACCTGCCACTAAACGCAGCCCAATGAAGGGCGGACCACCCATTGGCATCACGGAAGTTTATGTTAACTCCTGCTGCTAAAATCGGCTTGATGGCCCAATCATACCCAAGTGCTGCAACAAAGTGTAAAATACCCTGTCCATTTTCATCCAGCATGTTTGGACCTTTACCCTCTTCAGTCACTTTATGAATGAGCCATATATATAGTTCTTCTTCAAACTGTTCCCTGAAAAGCTGTCCTTTTGGTTCTTGTTTGGCTGAATATCTCTGATATGTCCCTGGAAGGAGATACTCTTTCTCCTCCTTTAGTAACATAATTTTACTGATTTTTCTTCGTTTCTCCCCAACATCTTCAAATATATGGTGTTCATGAACAAGAGCTCTGTGAGTAAGCAGCTTCTCAAACCGCAAATGAAGTGATGATGCAGTTGTATAGGGACCATAGACATCAGCAGCATCAATTTTTTGGGTAGAACCAGCAAGGAAATCAAACTCTCGTAATTCACTGCAAGCAAATCTGTTGGAACATGTAACATAAAAGGGGACATGACCAGCTGTATGCGGTGGAGCATGACAGCAAAGAACGCCGTCTACCAATATTTCAGCAGGAACCTCCACTTCACCAAACATGCATGACCAGTTATATTTTATTACTTCTTGGGGACTAAGCAGAAATGTCCCAATAACCATGACCTGCAGATAAGAGTGATACATGAAAGAGAATTTAGCCACCACAATGAAACAACCTAAACAGCTGAAAATAAAGAGCTAAAGAGATCAGCAAAATGGAAAAAGCAATTCTAATAAAAACAATGAGAAAGCAGGATCATCAGAAAGAAACTGCAGCATGAAAATCAACAAGGGACTTCAAACTCTACCACCCAGCTGAAAATAAGGCATAAAATATTTTGCAACCGCTTCAAAGTCTTAACCACAAAAATCCCTTTGGAAAATGGATTAACAAAAGTTAACCATGTTAACAGAATGCTATAGCTTCAAGCCATTTTTCCAAATAAGTATAGTGAAGTTACCTCAACTTCTGCGTCTGTCTCTGCGAATTTTGGCCAAAAATCAACTATGGTGAAATGTTGATCCTCAGAGAGAGAAGGGCTTAAGGTGATCCCAGCTGTCGCAGTTTCACATTCAACAGTGGTCCATGCAATATCTCCAAGTGAAGACTGCATCTGCAAATCCTCCATCTCGCCAAGTTCCTTACTAGCCCACCGAGAAAAACTATCGACTTTTTTCAAACTATCTTCGCTTCTTAATAATGATTTCATTACAGGTATATATTCGGATTCCATATTTGAAGGGGGAACTTGATAACTATTTCCGAAAGGTTCCTGATTTTCACTGCCAAGGAGACTGGAAAATGTCTCAAAATTATCCTGTGCACGATGCTCAAATAATGCCAGATCAGTGTCATCAGTCATTCCAGAATGTGAAAACAGATCGACATGCCCTTTTGGCAAAGGTAGGTCATCCTGAATTGGAATCTACAGAAATGAGTATTTCGAAATCAGAGCACTTCAAAACAAATCGTCATGATAGTAATAATGCGAGCTTGAATAAATGACTTTACAATATACAGAGGGGAAGGAGCCATTTAATAAAAATAGATCTGAAATGTCTTTCATCTTCCTATCTGAAGGTAATTTAATAAAACTGATTCAGGCATAGAATGTGCGTTTTCAGAGTAGGTACCAACAGATAAATTTAACTTCAACTAACTAGCTTTACAATGCGTCAATGATAGAAATATCAAACCTTAGAAAACCGCTAATAAAGACATGTAAAACATAAATAAACCTAACATAGCTCTAAGTTTTATATGCTACGAAATCATTATATATTTCTATGCTTTTTTCCTCACAGTACATCTCCCTTTTTTGTATAATTCATAACATTTGTGGAAACTTTTTTCTATACTTTCACTAATAATATCTAGGCATGGCTCTTTAATAGATATTTATAAAAAGCATGCGTACACTACCTGCCAATTTGATTGAGTTTGAAGAGGATTTCTGAAATGCTCTGCCTTTAACTGCCCACCTTTGTCTATATTTTCTTCCACCAGCATTGAGTCAGTAACAGAAGGCTGTATCTGAGTCAACAAATTATTACAATAAGGTTGATCATGGTATCTTGTCACTGAATTCCCAACGGCATCCCAAGGTCGGACATCAACTAATCTCTGGGAATCACTTTCTCTGACTATGTTGCGTTGAATATGTGATATATTACGCATGCCAGAAGCCGGTGTCCAACCATAGCGATTTCCTAGACAGTAAATCAGAAAGAGAAGTGAGTACCTAAAACAGAGATCTGATAGTAAGAACCTAATATGCTAGCATCCTGCTTATTATCCATTATTTGACGAGTACCAGTTTGAGGTTCTAGAGATGCTCTTAGGACAGAACTTGCTTGATGACTATCCCCTGCACCAAAACTGATATAAGGTGGTGCTAAAAATTACACGCACAGGCAAGAGCATGTGAGGATATTTACATCATCACACCTCAAAAAGTAGGATGAACATCAATATTCTTCCATTGAAAGAACTATATCTTTGAACAAATGCTACTAACGTACCAAACATACAAAATAATAGAAAAAGAAATACCGGAATCAGCATCTTCACATAATGATGACAGTGTGCTGGTTGGGCTTGCTGTTGAATCAATATTCACTGAAGATGTGCCATTTACAGAATTTGAATTGTTTTCTTTCATTCCTATACTGGTCCGGTTACCCTGTACAATTTACAATATAAAATAAACTTTATAACACTTATCAGTAGAAAACCACACTACAAAAGAAAATATAATGTTAAATGATGGAAATAGTAACAGCACAGACCGGAAGAGCTATACCTTAACCTCCAAGTAGTGTACAAATACGATATGCATCAAATCTCTGTAACAATACAGCATAAAACAGAGTATATAAGAATAAAACTGAGGTTCACAAAAAAGAAAAAAAAAAAAAGAACAAAACTGAAAAAGTACTATGAAGAATCTAAATTAAGAAGCAAAGTCAAACTCATACAAGCGAATACTAAAGATTGTATGAAAATAGTGAGTAAGTTAGTATTTTGATGTTCCAATCTTAACCCACGAAGACCTCAGATATCCAAAGGAAAACAAAGACAAAGTAGCGATATGCATTATTATTCACATCTAAAACCCAATGAGATGAGGTTTCTCTATAACAGCACCTTAAGCATTCCCTTTTTACTCCAAGCTAGAAGGTCATTAACTCATTATACCCACAGAACAAGAAAAACTGAAATATGTATATGCACGAACTCAGACTCACTGTTCAAGCATCCAGTAGCAACGTCTCTGAAAATTCTCGTTGCCTTCCCCATGTGCATAGTAGCAATGTAGCACATCTATGCTTCCTACCTATATAGTGATACTCTCAAAAAAATTAGATACATTGCAAAATCAAGTAATTTATTCCAAAGCCGGAAGTAGAAGCAAGGTTCCATGATTGGATAACACTAAACTATTTAAGAGACATTCAAGAAAAATTATAACCTTGAGCTTCTCATGAGCTTCTTTTATAGTTTTACCATCTTTCTTCTTCCTCCAGTTATGTCCATCTTTTCTAAAATATCTCAGCACCTTCCTATCAAAAAGAAAGAGTGAACCACCTAAACGGGTGGGAAAAATGATGTCAGTTTACTGGAAAAAATGTATACTTCAAAATTGCAGATTGTTGTCACTAACAAGCGATGTAACAAAAATTAACTTCTTCCTCTTTGAAACAAATAAAAGGATGAACAGAGCCGTGCAAGTATAATTTGAAGCTAGCATATGTGGAACATTATATATGCAAAAAAAGTGTGACAGCTATGCATAACATATATTGCTAATTGCAAACAAAAAGGAGGGAACTCGGCTCGGACGCAAACAACATACTGGCGGGTCTGGTGGGAGACTCCGATGCTATGTGAAACTTGTGATGGTTCTGAAGAATTTCACAAATCTCGGCAGGCCTAAGCCACCTGTGTTGGGCTTCCGACAGCAACTGTTCCATATCTGCGAATTCATAAAAGGTAAAACATACATTACTCCAAACACTTTAATCGACTCTGATTATACTTGTCAGATTACACAGCCGGTATCACTAACAAAATATGAGAAAATCCCCATTGCAACAGAGCAATTCAGCAATAACACAGAAAATTCAATTCTCTACTGAAGAAAGGAGCAAATTAGTATATTTCGTGGCAATTTCAGATCAAGCAGACAAACAAAAATGTCGACAAAACACGCCGAGCAACACCAGTAAGAAGGTGGAGTGAGCTAAGTTAGTTCTTATATAATGGAAAGACAGGGGAGGATAGATTCCTTCGCCTACCAAATGTTCGCAGCCAGAATTATAAAAGAAACAAAAAAAAAAAAGAATCGAGCTATCAAAGGAAGAGAAGGAAATAGGAAAAGAGAGAAAGAGACCTAATCGAGGAGGACTAGTAAAGACAAAAGATTTTCGATCCACCATAGAAGATAAACCCCGCGAAATCCACCAAAAACCAAAAGAGATCTCCACACAAAGAGAGAATCAACGAACCCTAACCGATCTGAGTAATATGCATGAACTGAGACAGAAGCTTTTGTATAAAATATGTTTCCTTCTCTTCGGGCTATATCCAGGTGTGTGAATGCGAAAGCGATTTTTTTCCCTTACTCGGATTTTCCCTTTTTTTTTTTTTAATAATATTTATCTTCTCTTCTGGAGTATTATTTATTGGAGAGAAAGAGACCGATGAAAACCAAGCTTTGTTTTTCAGACAGTGAAATTGTAACAATATAACATCCAATAGACTTCGGACATGTGTTGTACACATCAGATTTGTCTGGCCCATCATCCTTGAATTCTCTGATTTTTCTTTTTCTTTTTCTTTATTCAAAATTGTTTTGTCAAATGTCATTTTCCCTCTTTTCTTTTTGCTCGCGGCGGCGGATCTGACGGTGGAGATTCAAAGTCCAGATCTAAGTCAATGGGAAATTTATCATAGATGAAAAGGTGAATGAACCCATAGAAGTTGGGACATCACCATATCATTATCGTCATCTTCAGTTTAACATTTGAACATTAGACTTTTACATGAGATACGCTGTGGGTAGACAGTAGACTCGTAACATTTCTCTTCTCCTGGATTTCGAGTCTAGGCTTTATAGAGGTTAACTTTTTGGACATTACTATTATCACAGATTCCTGAATCACAAGCACAAAAAAAGCCATCCTTGAAATTTCCTGATATCAATCAAGATAGGCTCATCTTTTTCCTCTACATAGACTTAAACGCTCTATAGATTGGAGTTGTCAGATGATACTCAGATTCTTCACAACAATGCAAAAACATCCACCGCAACTTACAAATTTAAATCTATGGACACAAATATAAACTACGCTTGAAAAAATCAAAAACAGAAGAACGAACAAGCTCAGACCATGTATGTCATACCGACCTGCATCAGATGCGACTGAGGCACACTCAGATTTGCGATCCCTCTCCTACAATTTTTCCTCAGGAATGCGTAGAAGTAATTTATGACTAACTTCTTGATGAACCATGAATCTTTTCTTGCTCTTATATCGCCATGCCCCAGTAGATACACCACCCCTGATTCTTTCGCTTTGTGTATGAACGATAACTCTCTCTCCAGGCTTTGCTCGGCTTCAGATACAGATGAGTCAGATGATGCGTCAAAGGGATGGTGGTTTGTGTGATCTGACGAACTATTCATTTCCATGATCGGTCTGTTTAAGTCCCTGTACTCAGAGAGAAGAGGAACGCCCATCGAATACATGCTTCCATTGGGACCAATAACGACTCTGGAACCTGCAAAATCATCCTCTGAGTCTGAATCATCGTTCCCATCACTTTCCAAGGAACGTTCTTGAGCTTCTCTACGGATGAACTTCTCGAGGCTCTCGATTAATAGCTGCTCAAAAGCTTGGTGGTTCTCTTTCCTTGCATCCTTGTAACCATACCTTCACCACATATAACACAAACAGTGTTTATATTCGCTTTCTCAGAAACGAAAAGGAAATATATTCATGAGGGTCAAATTGGAACCAAGGGTGGCTCTTTCTCTTACGATGCAATTCTCCATGATACACAAAAAGCGTGAAGGAAATTTCATATCTACAAATTTGAGTAAGATTCTCTACACAAAGTCTTATCTACTGCTATAAACTACAAAAATCTGAGAAGCAAAAGGGATAGAAAAAGACCGACCTAGCAATGCACCGGAATAAGTGATAGCTTTTAGTGCAAACGCGTCTGAAGAGGAATCGTTCATTCTGGGGTACAACTGGAACCGGGACATATTTTATGCAGACAAAAATGACCATGGAATGAATTGCAGGAAGTGTAGTCAGAAAATGGCCAAATATTGCCGGTACTCCCTTCACTAACTCATTGTACAGCAAACCAATACCAGGAGCTCTAATTGTTCCCAGGTTGCACCCAAGTTCTCTCATTAAATCCATTGATAGCTTTTGCTCGACTTCTGTTTCATACCTGAGCTTACTTCCATAGTTCCAAATATACATTATACCAAACATGATTACAGCAAATACCAATATTATCCAGCTTCCATCGCCAACACTTGCTATAACTGAAGAGAAAAAGACCAATTCCACTCCAAGAAAAACTACCAGAAAGACAATCACAATTACGATGTTTATCTGCCATATAAGAAGCATGATTAACGTCACTAGAATTGTCGTCGTCATCATCACTCCAAGCTCAGCCATCCCTGGGAAATTAAAACAAAACTCAAAAAGGGGGAACATATCGGATCACCTAACCTAGAGAAGTGAGACAGAGAAATCAACAATTACCATATGCATTTCCAATCTCATCGATACTTGAGATTGAGCAGACGACGACCAGGCAAACGGCAAGCAGAAACCAGTTTAGGACAGGTATATAAATCTGACCCATAAATTTCCGGGAAGTATGAATAATTTTGAGACGAGGGAAACAACCAAGAGCTGTTGACTGTTTAATACATGAGAATGTTGCCGTCGTCATTGTGCGACTAGCAATCAGAGCTGCAACGTTGGCTATGAAAAGGACTGGCCAGAATGCAGCACCTGCAGAACAGTATGACGAATTAATAGCTTATCTACTAGTTTTTATATATAAGGTTCTAACCTGCACCACGAGAACAGCCTTTGCAGTTTGCAGTGGTATCAAAGTGGTTTTTTTTAGCCAAAGAAGCATGGATATTACAGACGGAAAGAACGAACTGAACTTTACCTGGAACAGATGAAAAGAAAGCTTGACTAGCATCCGCATGATTTTCCATCAGGTATGCAGCTTGTCCCATATAACCCAACATGAGGCACGGCAGGACAAGACACACAAATGTAAGCTGCAGAAACCACGAAATATATTAAACTTGTAGAAAAACTAGAGCAAAAAAAGCATACAAAAAGAAAAGGCAAACATCAGCCACCAAAGGCCATTATTCTCTTCATTTACCTGGACTGACCGAACAGAAAAGTAACAAAGGTCTGCAAATAATGCCTCTGAGCCTGAAAAACAAAAATTATATAAAATGAACAGTTAATAAAGGAGCATCACAATATTAAGCGTATTATGGAGCATAAAAAGGCTTCCTTACTTCTGTTAGCCTATGCTACAAGAGTCATCTAGTTCATTTTCTAATGAAATTTTTATCAATCCAGAAAAACTGAGAAAATTACCTGTAGCACAGAGAATGCAACCTCCAAGTGCATACCAAGCATTTACAGAGTTCCTCTTAAAGAAGTAATAGATGTGGACAGGGTTGAATGCTCTATAAACACTGCTATCATACTTGATCAGGTTGTAAATGCCAATACCAGCAAGACAACAGAACCATATAAGTAAGGCGGGACCTACTACTAGTCCCATCTTACTCGTACCATATTTTTGTAGACTAAAGAGGATCACCAGAAATGCAACCGAAATCATCACCACTTGATCTGCAAAGAAAATACAAAAGTTGCGATGACAAAGATAAACAACCAGCACTAAACAGCTTCAAAGTTAATTGCACTATTATCTGCATTTGTTTTAAATGAACAATATCATCTGTGTTACCTTGCTCCACCACATCAACTCCGACTTTAAGTCCACCAACAGCTGACATAACTGCATTATGCAACTCAAGTAATTTAGATATGCCATATGGTAGCAGAAAAAACCTATTCCATACAACAGAATCATGCCTATGAACATACTTAGAAGAGGTTATATAAAAACCTGACATTGCAGGAGTTACAACCCCATCAGCAATCACCATGGAAGTTCCAGCAAGAACGAGAACGAGGAGAAGCTTCTTTAAAATTAATGAATTCTCGAGTTTTTCTTTTAGTTTCAATGATCTCTCAAGCTCAGGGCAAGGCACCTTCAGTCTAAAACTTGAAATTCGGGCATCTGAGCGAAGTTGATTAGGGATAAGACTGATCTTAGCGTGACGAGAGATCAATGAGTATAACGCAAAGGTCCCACCTGAAATATCATAAGTAATCAAAACAGTTGGCACTGTAAGTACAGAAAAAGTTCAAAGCAAGGCAATAATTAGAAGATCGGAATAGTTAAAAAATACCTTCACCATCATCATTTGCCCATAGAACAACAAGAACATATTTAATAAGGGGGACCAAAAGTAAGGTGTATAGCACTAGTGACAATGCTCCAATGACATCTTCTTTTTCTTGGACAGGTGATTTACTGAACATTACACTGAACGTATACAGTGGACTGGTTCCTACATCTCCGAAGACAACCCCTAGTGTCTGAAATGCAAGTAACACTCTCCTCCCGACAGTCAAGTCCTAGCAAAATAGAAACACACAAAGTGAAGTTCAGTTAACGATGGAGAGAAAAGTACAGGCTCACAAAAACAAATTTTAGATCATAAAATCATCTGTCATTCTTTATCTGCAGAACTTGCAAAAAAGAGTAGTTGCTTCAAGCAGAAAACTCCTCCTTAAGTACAAAGTATCATCAAAAAGAGACAACTCAAGCTTTGGAAACTACAGTCACTGCTCCAGCCTGTACATCCCTTGCAAGTTTCCATCCCAGGACACAACCATCAGAAAGGAAAACAGATCAAAACAACATCCCCCAGCATAATAAATTAATGAGCCCATCTCCATCACTGCATCATGGAAAAATCGCATACTAGCATTCCTGATTCCTGTTTCTAGTCCATAATCTCCAGATATCGCTAAACTAATTTAAACTTAATTTCTTATGGCACTTCCCTATCCAGAGGTCCTTTCTAGTTAGTATCCGAACTCAGGTAAGAACAGCTAAACTAGCCTATATGTTCAGGAATACACTCATTGTGCCTGTCCGTGGCTATATGACAAATGAAATGAAAAAAATACGTAAACAATGAATCACCTCGTAATCATTCCTGGGAGCACCGGGAACTTCTAGCGCTTCCACGTCGAAGGAATCAACACGCGGACCAGTACGGATCAGGCGATGCTCGGGTATCTCGTCCTCATCGGATTCGAGTCCAGTACCGTCGAATCCATCATTATCATCCTCAACACCAATCTCGGAATCATCATCGTCTTGAATAACCCAACGAGACTCGATAGAGTCCATGGATGCCAAATCTCCAAGACCAGCACCTGAGCTATCGATCTCTTCCTTTTCAGAACCTTCCAAACTGCTTTCCTCCGCCATTTTTAGAACCCTTCAATTGCAAACGAGGCTGAAAAAACCTCCCAAAGATTCGCAGGATCGATCAAACGACAAGAACCGTAGCAGTAGAGTTTCGCATCGGATCATAAAATTTCTGGAGCAAAAGAGATTTCTCGACGAGATGTCTTTCTCTGTTCCTTCACTGCCGATTCATGCCGATCGATGTTTTCAATCTCTGCTTTACCAGTTGCTGCTGAACCGGTCTGATACAAAGGTGACAACTATTGCACCGGATTCAACGAGTCTGAACCGGTTAGATTGGTTTATTATATTAGTCAACGTTTGGTCTGAAGAATGTTGCTTTTTCTACTATTATATCACGAATCTCATCTTCAATACTCTGTATTGAAAACATTCGTTTCTTAATTTCACCGCTGATTTTTGTTCATACAGAGATGGCATATTGTTCATAGTTTTATGACCAACTGTACTTTAATCTCTGCCTCTATAATCAATAAGAAAACTTATACATCCAAATATATTGATATAAAATCATGTGTTATGTATTAACGTTTCCAAACTAAAGAAAAAACCATGTCTAACAGAGAAAATTATTCCAAGACCTTTTGTTAGTTAAGATTACAGACAGACTAAAGAAACTACTCTTCCCCAGTAGCAACTTCGGAAACCAGTTCTTCATATTCCTTCGCCTCTTCGTCGTACTTGTACCTGCACGCATATTTTGTAATCAAAGAGACAAGTGTAAGTAAAGTGAGATTCGGATCCAAACCTTGAAATAATTTCTCTTGACAAAAGATGATTACAAGACAAAACACAGGTATACAGAGATTAGTATGAGTTTTTCAAACTACCCACACTCTGTGTAACTAAATTTTACCATTTTCCGGTTGTTGCAGAACAGTAAAGTCCAGTATTAGGATCATAGTAGTAACCAAGGCTGCTGCTGTAGTAGTACCTGCAAAACCATTAAAAATACTTTCAGTTAAATGAAAATGAGCTTCATTAACATATTACTTAACAAATCCTGCGAGTAACACAATACTTCAGCCAAAAAGCTGACTGATGCAGCAAGAGAGCGAGAAAGGAGTGTATAAACTAACCCTGAAGATTCGTCAAATACATAATCGGATCCATTATTTGTAGGATTCAGCTGGGTGCCGGAGATGGAGCCAGATGGTAGATCCGAGGAAGGATCAGGAACATTTTCATCATCGCCAAACATATCACAAGATTCTGTATTACCTCTCGCTTGAGCTAGTCTCTCATATCCCTCTAAGAATACCAACAGAAAGAAGAAACATGTGAAACGAATGCCAATTATTCCCTAATCTTGTGCAAAGAAAATATCATAAAGCATGGGAATATTAGATGCAGTAATAATGGAGGATAAAAAAAAGTATTAGAAGCTCTAACCTGCTTCACGTTGGAAAACTTCTTGCTCCTCATGATAAACGTCTTCAATAACATTAAAAGAAAAAAAGAAGAGGAACAAATGTTAATGTTAACATCATTTATTGTAGCAAAGCATGTCGTAGCATAAGTAATACGAGACTTAACTGTAGTCGCCGTTCTGGACAAGCTTGTCTGCATCCTCAGTAAGCTGATCAAAGATAAGCTTTGTCTCAGAAGTCATCTTCTCCTTGCGATTATTAGAGTTCCCTTTCAACCTCCTTAAAGCTCGCAGGACCTGTAACAATGAACCCGAGTCATCATACATGTTGAGATATGTATTCTCATAAATGCTTTCTTCAGCTGATATTTCTAACTTATTTAATCCGTGTTTCATGCTTTGAAGCAATCGGTTAATAAAAACTTAGACTGAATCTCACTGTTTCTCCTGGTTCGAGGACATTAGCAATTCGCCTCTTTCTGAATCCAATGTCTTCTTGAGAAAGTTCATCCACTGCTTTTTCGATTCCACTATCTTCATCCTTCTCAGTATCATTTGCAGCAGATCGCCCCATATACATTGGATTTTTTTCAATACTGTCAAGCCATGCATCCTGAAAGAAAACACATGTAAGACAAAACACAAAATATCTAGGAGCAAAACTTAACAGTGAAAGATGTGTACTTCGCACCTTGACTTCCTTTTCTCTAACATATTCTACAAAGTTCCCATCAGCATCAAAGTAACCTTCTTCTTTCTCTCTGTCCAGACTAAAAGCTTCAATCTGGATCCCATCTTCTGTGCGGTTCCCATCATTCTACAATGAAATAACCGCATTGGCATAACTTTTTTTACGAAAATAAAGCATCATTGAGGTATAGACATAGACATCATTAGCTCCCAGGAAAAGTCAACAAACAAAAAAAGGATGGTCGAAATAGTACCTCATAAGTCTCCTGAGCCTCATCAATATTGTCATTATCATTTTCATTATCTGCAAAGAGCTGAGCAGTATTCTGATTACGAATCTTGGCACGCTCCTTAGCAGCATCACGGGCTTTACGACGAGCTATAGCTTCTTCCTCTAAGAGCTGCTCAGGTTTAGACTTCTTCCCCTTTGGAAAACGTACTCGCTTCTCGCTGCCAGAAAGAATCCTCCATTAAAGATACACCAATGACCAAACTACTTGTCCATAATCCACATTATAGAGCGTATGCACACAAACTCAAGTTGTAACTGAGAAAAATATCAAAACCAATCAATTCTCCAACACAATGATATGTTCCTTAAACAAAAGGATTAATCTCCGCACTCAATTTTCTAACTCTAGCGAAATTCAAGAGATGAGAGAATCAGAGGGTAGATACAAGAGCTACTACTTTAACTTTTTCTACCCTAAAATTGATTCAACCAGAAACGAAAACAAGAGACAAGGTATCGTCATCAATAGCAGAAGAACAAAAATTGGCAATTAGGGTTTCGGAAAGGATTGTAAAACTTACGGGGGTTGCTTATCGGAGTCCTCATCTTCTAAGAAGGATCGTTTGAGGTTCTTCCTCGACGAGCTCTCTGCCATTGGAGCAACGTGCGGAGACGAGAACGACGTTTGATTTGTAGCTTTCCAGGCGGTGAATATCGGCGTCGAGGAGAAATAAGAACGAAAACATGAACTCTCGCCGATGTATACAATTGGCCTTTTTAATGGGCCGTATAATGGGCCTAAAAAAGCGCGCACATTAACATGGCGGTTGAAGAAACTCCCTACATTCTGTTACACACATAAATAACCCGGTTTACTTTTTCTCAATCTGGTTCACCTGTTACGCCGCCGTTTCACACATCCCTAATTTATGTGTGCATCTCTTAACCGGTGATCACCTTCATCCTCCTCAAGCTTATTGTTGGCCGTCACTGAACTCAACGATCACCGATCAGTCTTGGGAGTCGCAGGTCAGTTCTGATTCTTTTAGTTCTCTAAATTTTTTGTGAATTTGAAGATATTTGAATACACGTTACTAAATATTTTTCTGGGTCTCTTTTTTGTGTAGTCGGAAGTTTTTGAATTCAGTTGCAATGGAGCAGAAGCCACCAGCACGGAAGGTTTGTGATTGCTACCATCATTACCTTCTATCGTTAGTAGATAAAATATTCGCTCTGCTTAATTTGCGTTTTTGAGTTCTTATGCAGATGAGATTTGCCCCAAAAGCTCCCCCAAAACGTGTGCCAAAGCCGGAAGTTAAACCGTAAGCTACACTGATGACTGATCTGGTTAATATAAACAGACGTGTCCTTTGGTAAATTTGTCTCTGAAATTTTGAATTCTGGATGCAGTGAAGTGGTTGAGAATGATAGTAATAGTGCACAAGCAATGGAATTGCTACGCAGAGTAACAGTAAGCTTTTATCTTTTGAGTGAATTCGCGTTTCACTCTTTGTTTCTTCTCACTTTCTCAGTTTTCTTTGTTTGTCTTAGGAAAGATCATTGCGCAAGCCAAAAGGGGACAAGAAAGGTAGTATCTTTGACTTGGAAACTTGACTATTACCTTGCTCTGTTTTGCTTTATTACTAGTTGTTAAAAACATTGATTGAGTTTTTGGCATGAATTTTACAGTTCCTGCTTCTCAAGTTGCTTGGATGGGGGGAGTGGTAAATTCTTCAAGATCAAATAAGTATCTCAATGGATCAAGTATGATTTCTTGATTATGATTTCTTAGAAAACGTTGGTAGTTATAATCAGAGCCCATTTAATACATGATGTTTCTTATGCAGCTGGTGCTTATGGCTCAACCTCTACTCAGGAGATAGAGTATAAAGAACCATGGGTCAGTACAACAGTAACCTGTCCCTAAAGTTATATCTCGATGATTTTGATGCGTAATTTTAATTCTTGGATTATCTCACAGGATTATTACAGTTATTACCCGATTACACTTCCACTGAGAAGACCATACGCAGGCGATCCAGGTATGTATATTGATTGGCTTGAGAAGTAAAAGTAGACAGTTTTGTGAAAACAGATTGTTGATTACCATTAGCCTAGGTTTGAAATGTTGCTCCTTATTGCAGAGGTTCTTGACGTAGAGGAGTTTATGCAGCCTGTGGGAAATAATGAAGATCCACTTAACACAGCAGCTAATCTCGGTCTAATGGTTAGTGACATTTCAAATAAGAATTAGAGAAGCAAAAGTCACACGATGCAAACTCTAGAAACTCTGTAGTTACAAACTGTGGATTACATTTTGGCAGGAAGATAGTGGAGAACAGAAAATGTTTTTTATGAGGATACCTTCTGTTCCTTTGGCATCCGAAACAACAGAAAATCGTGAAGCAAAGCCAAATATCAAAGGCCCTGTTGAGAAGACTCTGGATTTAAAAGCCTTGCCAGAAGGTTTCATGGGCAAACTACTAGTCTACAAAAGTGGTGCTGTCAAGATGAAACTCGGTGAAGTGCTTTTTGATGTGAGTGATTTCTCGTACCCTTTTGTTTTACTTTTACGTTTTACATCCTGCCTTTTTACCGGGCATAAAACTAGGCTAATATCTAGTAGGGGTGTTAGGTTCTTGTCTTTTGTGTTTTACAGGTTTTTGGTTTTATAAGTAAAATAGAATCGAGCATGCATCAGTTTGGTATGATTTTTGGTTTCGAAAAGGTAAAACCATTATAGTCGTCGTAAAAGTCTAATTCTTGGGGTGTATAGGTAAGCCCTGGGTTGAAGAGCGAGTTTGCACAAGATGTGATGGTGGTTAACACAGAGCAGAAGAACTGTTGTCTGGTTGGAGATGTGTACAAGCATGCAGTTTTGACTCCTGATATTGATTCGATCTTGAAAGATATCGAAAATATGTGATACTTCTTACCTTTTTTTTTTTTGTTACATCAATTTTGTTTCACTCTTTCTTTTTGGATATAATACATAGTTTAGACTTTTGACATTGAGATAGAAAAAAAAAAAAAAAAAGAAAAAAAAAGAGTTTTGTTTAAACTGAAACTTCATTCCGACTAAGGGTAGGGGCACTGGGCATTTGGTTAGTTCGGGTCAAAACATTTGGTTCCTCGGTTTAGGAAAACTTATGCGAATAATACCGAACAAAATTCCGGTTCAATTTGGTTTAGCAGTCCGTTCAGACAAAAAACGAAGTTTCGGGTAATTCTGTTGTGTTTTTGGGTTAGCTAGCTATAGTATGTATATATGAGTTATTTTGGTTCAATTTGGTATATCTCAATTAATTTCGTCTCGGTTAAACATTTGAAGTTTTAACCAATCCCTCCAATACAATGAAAACTGTGACATAGAATAATTAAATTGTATGCAAACCGACTTAACTTGTTCACTATAAGTCAGTCTATAACTAATAATATTTAGGCTATGTCTTATAGTTTTTGGTGTTTAGTTTTAAGGCCTTGAATGGATTTGGTTTTTAAAATGGTTTTTGGTTTTAGATTTTAAGAAAATTAATTTTAAGGTCATTCAAGATTTTGAAAAAAGTGGATTCCCTAAAATATAAGAATCCATATTCTAAGAGTTTTTACTAATTTGTTAACAAACTAATTTTAATAGTTTTTAAGATTTCTTCTACGTAAATTTTATTTTTATTTTTATTTTATATGTAAAATCCAAAGACTAAAAATTAAAATCTATAATCTAAAAACCATTGAAAATCTCCTTAACATTCATAGCCTTAAACTTTGGTTTACGGTTTCTACCTTTTGTGTTAAAAACACTTTTAAAAATGAAAAATAGAAAAAATAAATACAGTCACATTAACAAAATGAAAACTGGTAAACATGGATGTTATATTTTCTTTGCAAATTGACATAAAACCATCAATGTCTAGATTCTTTGATTTCTAGGAAAATCAATTTTCTCATAATATTAATTGGGTATAAAGTGGATTTTTGAGAAAGAAAAAAAAAACTAAAAGCAAAATCAACAACCATTCAAGGCCTTAGTCTTCTTTACATATAAACCCAAGATAATCAAAAAGAAAATCTTGGCAGATAAAGTTATAAACTTGTTTAATACTCATTGCAACAAATCTTATATACTGTATATCTATACTATACAAAATAAAAGATGAAATAAATTTTAATAGCAAATAATGAATAAACTTAAATTAATATTAATCTTTATGCATACTTTTATAAAATTTAATATAATTAAATTTAAATTATCTATTTTATATATGCAATTATCAAGTAATATAATAATTTTCTATGATTAATAGAAGTTAATCCATGGTTTCATTATTTTACATAAAACAAACTGTATCTGACGTGTCAAGCTCTCGAGAACTCCCTACAACTATTATATATATGGTTGACAAAGTTACACCACACATTAATATGGAATATATAATCAAAAAGTAATAATTACAAAAAAAAAAAATCCTACAATTAAAGGAAAGCATGTTAAGAAGAAATTAGAGTTTTCTTTTCTACTTTCTTTTCTTATCTTTTCTGTATTTCTTTCTAACAAAGCAAATGATTTTATATTAAATAATAAAACCTCCTACTAAAGGATAAAAAATCAAATTATGTAAGCAAGATCTTATATTAAAGAACCAAAAGATTATGCGTTACAAAAGGAAACACATAAGGAGTACATAAAATAGTTACTCTATATTTAACCAAAGCCATTTCATTCATTCTACCACAATTTCACAATCTTATCGTTAGACTAAAACAGAGAATCAAACAATGGCTTTTTTCTCCGCCATGATCTCTCTTCTACTCCTTGTTCTTTCTGTTTCCTCAACTTCTATTCCTAGTGTACAATGTATATATGCCTTCCTCTTTGTTAATTTTATTCTTAAATAATTTGATTAAGATCAATTAGATTTTCTTATTTTTTCTTAGTTATAGCGTTTATTTCCAACTCCTACTGCAAATCATATTGGACAATGTATTTGTCGTTGTTTATTTTTTTTCTTAATCATTTTTCATTTTGATTTAATTTGTTCATATTTTTATGTATTTGGTTGTAGTGTCTACTCCAACACCACCAGCAAATCCTATTGCACAGTGTACATGTCTCCCTCTTTGCTTTTTTCTTAAGTTGTTTTTTCATTAAGATAATTCAGAATTTTCATTTTTTTTTCTTACATAACTATCTAACTAATAGAGTTTTTTCATATAGTGTCTACTCCAACACCACCAGCAAATCCCATTGCACAATGTATATGTCTTCCACTTTGCTTTTTCTTAAATTATTTTTTCGTTCAGATAATTCAGATTTTTGTTTAATTTTTTGCTTTCGTAAATATAACTATCTAACTAATAGAGTTTTTTTTCCTTTTATAGTGTCTACTCCAACTCCACCTGCAAATCCTATTGCACAATGTATATGTTTTTCTCTTTCTTGACTTCATTTTCATTTTTCATGGAAATAATTTAGGTTTTGGTTTAATTTCTTATGTTGTTGTATATAGTTACCTAATTAATAATTTGTTTTTTTGGGTAACAGTGTCTACTCCAACTCCACCTGCAAATCCTGTTACACAATGTACATGTCTTTCTCCTTTTTATTTTTAAACATTATTCGTTTAGATAAAATAATTTTTGGTTTAATTTATACTTTAATTATATATAATTATCTAATTAACAAAATATTTTTTATTTTATTTTGATTACAGTGTCTACTCCAACTCCACCGGCTAATCCTATTGCTCAATGTATATGTCTTTTTGGTGTTTATTTATTCTAATCACTTTTCATTAAAAATATTTTTTTGTACTAATAGAGTTGTTTTGTGTTTTTGTTTTGATTGCAGTGTCTACTCCAACTCCACCAGCAATTCCTATTGCACAATGTATATGTTTTTCTCTTTGTTAACTTCAATTTTCATTTTTATTGAGATAATTTAGATTTTGGTTTAATATCTTATGTTGTTGTACATAGTTACCTAATTAATAATTTGTTTTTTTTGGTTGCAGTGTCTACTCCAACTCCACCTGCAAATCCTATTAGGCAATGTATATATGTCTTTCTCCTTTTTATATTAATTATTTTCTAAAGAATTTAATCTTTTGTTTAATTTCTTCTTTAATCATATATAATTATATAATTAACAAAGCTTTTTTTTAATTTCATTTTGATTATAGTGTCCACTCCAACTCCACCGGCAAATCCTATTGCACAATGTATATGTTTTATATCATTTTTCATTCAGAGAAATCAAATTTTTTTAGTGTTTTACATATTTATATATTATCATCTAATTAATAGAGAATTTTTCTGTTTTTGTTTTGGTTGTAGTGTCTACTCCAACTCCACCGGCTAATCCTATTGCACAATGTATATGTATCTTTCATTATTTATTTATTCTAATAAATTTTTCATTAAAATCAATCTTTTGTTTAGTTTTTTACATATTTATATATTATCATTTAACTAATAGAGATTTTTCTGTTTTATTTTGGTTGTAGTGTCTACTCCAACTCCTCCAGCAATTCCTATTGCACGATGTGATTTGTTTTCATTTTGTTTATCTATTTCTTAATCATTTTTTCATTAAGATAAATTAGATTTTGCTTATATTTGTAGTTATATAATTATCTAATTAAGAATTTGTTTCTTGAGTTGCAGTATCTACTCCAACTCCCCCCGCAAATCCTATTGCACAATGTATATGTCTTTTTGTGTGTTTATTCTTATTCATTTTCAATTTTCATTAAGATGACGTAGATTTTGGTTTAATTTCATATATTGTTGTACATAGTTTTCTAATTAATGATTTGTTGTTCTGAGTTGCAGTGTCTACTCCAACTCCACCTGCAAATCCAATTGCACAATGTATATATCTTTCTCATTGTTGACTTTATTCTTAATCATTTTTCATTGATATAACTTTGAATTTTGTTTAGTTTCTTAAGTTGTATATAGTTACTTGGTTAATAATTTGTTTTTTTTTTGGATTGCAGTGTCTACTCCAACTCCACCTGCAAATCCTATTGCACAATGTATATATCTTTCTCTTTGTTGACTTTATTCTTAATCATTTTTCATTGATATAACTTTGAATTTTGTTTAGTTTCTTAAGTTGTATATAGTTACTTGGTTAATAATTTGTTTTTTTTTTGGATTGCAGTGTCTACTCCAACTCCACCTGCAAATCCTATTGCACAATGTATATATCTTTCTCATTGTTGACTTTATTCTTAATCATTTTTCATTGATATAACTTTGAATTTTGTTTAGTTTCTTAAGTTGTATATAGTTACTTGGTTAATAATTTGTTTTTTTTTTGGATTGCAGTGTCTACTCCAACTCCACCTGCAAATCCTATTGCACAATGTATATATCTTTCTCTTTGTTGACTTTATTTATAAGCATTTTACATTAAAATAAATAAGATCATTTTGCTTTAATTTCTTCTGAAGTCATATATATTTATCTAATTACTAAGTCTTTTTCTTGTTTTTCGTTTTAATGTAGTGTCTACTCCAACTCCACCTGCAAATCCCATTGCACAAGGTAATTTTCTTTCTGTTGTAGATTTCATCTTTATCATTTTCTTATATATCTGTTATATTCCCTTCTGGAAAGAATTTTTTTTTTGTAAAAATAACGATTTTCTTGTTTTTATACATATGATTTTTTGCTCAAAGAAAAATCTGAAATTATTAATGTTTTGAATCTTTGGCCTTCTTCTTTGAATTCGTTTTCATGTGCTTATCTCATGTAACCATTAGTACAACATAGTATAATACTAAGGATTGTTGTAACTACATGAGTAGGGCTTTGTCAAAATCTCATGTTCGTTAGTTTGATCTGATAGACCTGATTAAGACTAGCTGTGTAGTTAATTTCTTTTAGGGATTTTAAGGTGTGTGAAACTTGGTTTCGTGTTTTTGACTCATTGTCTTGTTATGTATTCGTGACATCTACAGTTCTTGCTGCGGGACAACGATCAGGACCAACCTCTGCTCCAGCTCCAAGCCCTTCTCAATCGAGCCACGGCTCTTCGTTGATCCCAATCTCTTGCTTGACATTTGTGATCAGTGGCGCATTGACCATATTGTTCTCTCATATGTAAAACCCCATCGATCGAGATCCCATTACCTGAATAATTAAGGACCTTATCGTATTTTTAGTTGTGGTGTATCCCTAATTCCCTTTAATTACCTGAATAAAGACCTTTATTCCGTATTATTATGTTTCAATGAAGACTTGGCTTTATATAATAAGATGATTTCTTTGGTGATTTTTTATTATTATTTTGAGTTGACTGGTGCTTATTTCTATATTTTGTTGCATTGGTTCACGATGAGACGTCGTTCAACGATCTAACAAAGCTCTAAATCGAGTTATGAATAACCTAACAAAGTTCTTCGGTTCGGTTTGACAGTCGTCCAGTCAAAAAGTTGGCAATAAAACCGAAATTTCGGTTAAGTCTAGTTTTTTAGGGTTAAATTTATTATTTTTGTAAAATTTGTTATATCTCGGTTCTTTTGGTTAAATTTGGATTTCCACTATCAACATTTAAAGTTTAAACCAATTCCTCCAACTTAAGCCATTGAATAATTTGTATGCAAAAATGGCAAAACTTTTTAATACTACATTAAATAAATTTAATAATTAGTCTTCTTTTTTTTTTTTTCATCCAATAATTAGTCTTCTTCATACATACAAGATTACAACAATCCCACAATAGTCAAAAACAAAATCTTGACATATTTGTTTACAAAAACCTTATCAACATTGACACAAATACACAACATACTGTTATGGAATAAAAAAACATTAAGTTTGAATATAACTCCTCCTTTAAGGAATGTTTGTTATTTTCAACCTTTTTTTTCTTCTTCTTCTTTTTTTTTTTTTTGCTGTATTCTTTCTCACTAAGCAAATTATTTTGGTACCAAAAAAAAATTCATTTCAATAATAAAAAGCTTTTATTAAAGGATATAAATCAATTAAATATGGGTAAGATCTCTACATTGAAGAATTACACACACAATTACGCGTTACACACGGAAACACGAGAAGCCTACGCATGACCTAAATATATATAAACAGAGCCATTTCACTCATTCCACCACAATTTATCTTATTGCTTCTCTCTTTCGATTCTTATCAGATCACTCAAAACAATGGCTTTCTTCTCCGCCACGATCTCTCTTCTCCTTATCCTTCTCTCTGTCTCCTCAACTTCTGTTCACGGAACCTTTGCACCGGCAGTGGAGTGCTCTGCCCTGATAGTAAACATGGCGGGATGTTTATCTTTTGTGACGATCGGGAGTACGGTGAATGAACCGACTGGTTCGTGCTGCACCGGTCTCAAGAAAATTCTCGATACGAACGCTGCATGTCTATGTGAAGGGTTGAAGAACAGTGGCGCCATGGGAATCAAACTGAACGTTACTAAAGCCTCTACTCTTCCCGTTGCCTGTAAACTTAATGCTCCTCCGGTCTCATCTTGTCAATGTGAGATTTCTCCTTTATCCTCTCTTTCTTCTTGATTTTTCCTGGATTATGTATGATCCTTCAGATAAATCAGATCTTGGTTTGATTTCTTCTGTAGTATATATAATTATCTGATTTATAGAGTTTTTATTTTATTTTGCAGTGTCTGCTCCTGCTCCTTCTCCTAATGCACAAGGTATCTGTCTTTCTCTTTTCTGATTTCATTTTTAATCAATTTTTCATTTGTTATTTTGCCATCTCTGAAGAAAAGAATTGTAAAAAAACAAGGATCTGTGAATTTTCTGATTTTGTATTTATTAATGCTATGAATCTTTGGACTTTTTTTCTTGAATCAAGATTTAGTTGACGTTATAACATTGAACTATGGGAACTATAGAAGTCAATAGCGATTATTATAAAAATCTGATGATGATTTGGATATCGATTCATGTGATTGTTTTATGTAACCATGCCATCACAAACTAAATGTAATACTTAAGCCTGTATAGATGTTATCTCCAATTCCAATGTAATGTGCCATGATCTTGTACGCTACAGGGCTATGTCAAAATCTTCTTTTCGTTAAGTTTGATCTGATAGACCTAAGACTAGTTGTGTCAAACTTGGTTTCGTGTGTTTTTGACTCTTGTCTTGTTATGTATTCGTGACAGCTCCAGTTCCTGCTGCTGGACCACGATCAGGATCAGGACCAACCTCTGCTCCAGCTCCAAGCCCTTCTCAAGGGAACCGTGGCTCTTCGGTCCCAATCTCTGGCTTGACATTTGTAATCAGTGGCGCATTGTTCTTACTGTTCTCTCATATCTAAAACCAGAGATCATCCCTTTACCTTTACATGAATTAGACCTTAGCGCATTTTTTAGTTGTGGTGTTTCCATAATTCCATTAAGACTTATCATATTTTCATGAAGACTTGGGTTTTAATGTGTGTTTTGCTTGCTAATTTTTTATTATTTGAGTTGACTGGTGGTTATTTCTATATTTTGTTTTGTTGAATCACAATGAGTCACCAAACCATCTAACAAATCTCTAAATCTAATTATGAAAAGAAAAGAATAAGTTAACAGTGGCGACAGACCAGCTCCACTGGTTAGTTTTAAAGGGTTACTTAACTAGAAAGTGGGCCAAGCATTGATGTAAATTGAAGAAATAGGGCCCATTAAAGGAAGGAACGTTGCTTCTTCAAGCAACAGAAGGATCCCTCTAGCAACGCAACGTGGCATTTCGCCATTGGTTGAAGAAAAAAAAGAGAAAGGAAAAAAATATTTCTCTCCATTTTTTTTTTTTTACTCAACAGCTCTTTCACTTTTCTCTCTCTTTCCGACAACTCTCTCATTTCTCTCTCTTTTTTAATAATAATTATATCATGCATTTAATTTTAAGTATTCTTACTAATTTCTGGAGTGGAGATGCTCTAATTCTCCATGCATGTGAATAAGACTAAGGCCATTGGGGTGTTAGTAATTAAACGGAAATGTCAAAACGTGGCTATGAAAAAAAAAAAAACAATTTCGAAGCTTCATCAAATGTAATTAAATCGATCCATGCAGAGATAAGGCAAAAAAAATGAAAACATTTGTATACACTTTTATATTGGTGTATCAAAATCACAAAAAATGGTTTGGTCTACGTTCCATTTAAAAGACTTTATTTTATGTTATGTGCTCCCTATAAATGATTGCCTACTTAAATGGTATGAAGTTTCTTATTAGTCAATGTGTAAAATCTTTACTGATTCCATTCCTTATTTAGGTATTTATTTCTAATAATATAATGATTTTGATACACCAATATAAAACAATATATGTAATAACTGTTTCAGCAATAAAAAAATTTGAACAATACTGCCAAAAAAGTTATTAAGAAAAAAACACACACATTAATGGATAGAAAGATAGATAATATACCAATTTTAGTCAGGACTTTAAACTTGTCTATAAAAATTGTAAAATACAAGATATAGGCAAAATCTGAGATTTCACGTTCACAAGAACAACCATGGAGTTCAAGCTCAACATTCCAAACACACTAGAGACTATATTCTTTCTCGTTGTTCTTCTTACGTATCAAATCGCCGAAGCCAAGATTCACCACCACACTTTCGCGGTATTGTAATAAAAACACAATTATGGTTTTGACAAATATCAAGAGAGAGAGAGAGAATGGATTTTAAAAAACACTGATTAAACCATCGATTTCTTTTTTTTTGTTTTTTTCTATACAGATAAAGTCAAAAGCGTACACTCGACTTTGTAATACCAAAAAGATTTTGACGGTGAACGGAGAATTCCCCGGACCGACGTTGAAAGCCTATCGTGGAGACAAGCTCGTAGTCAATGTCGTCAACAACGCAAATTACAATATCACCCTCCATTGGTAAACACTCTTGTTGATCACACAATTCACAAGTTGGACTCGTATTGACTAGCTAGCTAAGTGTTTTAACATTTTAGGCACGGAGCAAGACAACTCAGGAATCCATGGTCGGACGGACCAGAATATGTGACTCAATGTCCGATCCGACCGGGAGAGAGCTATGTATATAGAATTGATCTTACGGTCGAAGAAGGAACGATCTGGTGGCACGCACATAGCCAATGGGCACGTGCCACCGTCCATGGAGCGTTTATTATCTATCCCAAACGTGGCTCACCTTATCCTTTTCCTAAGCCTCACCGTGAAATCCCTCTCATTTTAGGTACACTCACACACATTATATATATCATTTTTTGTGGATATGCATGATTGCGTTACGAAGAAAAAAACTTATCTCGGATTAATGTTATGGTGTGTAACGTTACGTGACAATTGACAGGTGAATGGTGGACTAAGAAAAACATAATGGATATACCAGGAAACGCTAATAAAACCGGAGGTGAACCGGCCATCTCTGACGCATACACCATAAACGGACAACCCGGTTATCTCTACCCCTGCTCTAAACCGGGTAAGTCACTTCCTAGTTTCATCACGAAGAGGTTATCAATCAAAGTTTTCATATTTGTCTTCATTATTCCGAAACAGATACATTCACAATAACGGTGGTGCGTGGCCGTCGATACCTTCTCCGGATAATCAATGCCGTGATGGACGAAGAACTCTTCTTTGCAATAGCAAACCACACCTTAACCGTTGTTGCCAAAGACGGTCGCTACTTAAAACAGTTCAAATCTAACTACCTAATGATCACTCCGGGACAATCCATGGACGTCCTCCTCCACGCAAACCAGCGTTCCAGTCGTTACTTTGTAGCGGCTCGAGCTTACTCCTCCGCCTTTGGTGCGGGTTTTGACAAAACCACCACCACAGCCATCTTACAATACAAAGGCGTTTCTTTAAACCGAAACCAACCGGTTTTGCCCTACCTGCCTCCTTACAATCGTACCGAGGCATCTACCCGGTTCACTAGCCAATTCAGAAGTCCTCGATCCAGTAACCGTCCGGTTGATGTCCCGGTTAAAATCGACACACGTCTTCTTTACGCCATCTCCGTAAACTTGATGAACTGCTCCGACAATAACCCATGCAGCGGTCCTTTCGGGAAGAGATTCTCGTCGAGCGTCAACAACATCAGCTTCGTGAACCCATCGTTAGACATTCTCCGAGCTTATTATCGCCACATCGGAGGAGTTTTCCAGGAGGATTTCCCGAGAAATCCACCGACGGTATTTAATTACACCGGTGAGAATCTTCCGTTTCCGACGAGGTTCGGGACAAAAGTGGTGGTTCTTGATTTCAAAACGAGCGTTGAGCTGGTGTTACAGGGGACGAACGTGTTGGCTTCAGATAATCACCCGTTCCATCTCCATGGGTATAGCTTCTACGTAGTGGGTTCGGGTTTTGGGAATTTTGATAGCCGGAAAGATCCGTTGAAGTATAACCTCGTTGATCCACCGGAGGAGACTACCGTCGGTGTTCCCCGTAACGGCTGGACCGCCATCAGATTCGTAGCTAATAATCCAGGTCAGTGACTACTCCCCGTAACGGCTGGACCGCCATACTAGATGGTTAGAGCATCATTATTGATGGTTAGTTCTAAGATTTGTTAAAAGATCAACAATAATGATGGTCTTATAACATAATTGGTACGCTTATGCCGAACAAAGTTTTGAAGATTTTAATTTTCTTTTTTAAATGAAATAGCTTAGGAAAATTAAAATTATTCAGATTTATAATAGTAGTTTTTTTGTTGTTGACAATGTTTGGTTAATGTAATTAGGGGTGTGGCTGTTGCATTGCCATATAGAGAGACATGCCACATGGGGTATGAACGCAGTGTTCATAGTGAAAGATGGACCAACGAAATCATCTCGAATGGTCAAGCCTCCTCGTGATCTGCCTTCTTGTTAAATTTGGCTCCTGTCTCTATTTAATAAACACCAGTTTTGAATCTTTTGATTGGTGCGATTTGATAATCATGCAGTTTTGTAGTTTTTTTCAATCACATCAATACAATTGTATCGTTTCTTATTTAATTTGATTTTCTATGATTACACCTCTCTTCCAAGCTTACTAATTAAAGTTAATGATTATCTTTTTTTTTTTTTTTTGCCATACTATAAATTAATTTTTGAATTAGTTGGTAGTCCCATGATTTTATTTTTGAATGGAGAATAGTTTAGTTGTTAAAGCTAGCTACATTTTGACGAATTTGTTATATGGTGGTATTTAAATTCAAAATTCAAATCGGCCAATCCAGCCATCCATGTGAAAATCTCAATAAATGGAGGGAAAACGAAACGAAATTGCTACGAAAGAAGATTTGATTCAGCAGCTCTTGCGTGGTTTTACAGCGCACGTTAGATCCCATCATTCGATTTCAACATCAACATCAATAAAAAAAAAAAAAATTAAATACTACTGTCAACAAATAATTTACTTCTTCTCTCTCCTCTCTCTCTTGTGCTATAGCCTCAGACAAGGGCTGAGACGGCGGAGACGACGGCGATTGAACTTTGCTGCTTTCAACTCTACATTTTGAAGTTTCTTAAGCTTGCAACTCATAATGGGATTGCTTTCGAGAAGTTAATCACTGGGTTCTCTCTTTCTCCTCTCCCTGAGTTTTGTCTCGTTTCGGAGTAAAATTCTCCGTCATTACCGGTTTTGATTGACTTGGAGACTATGAATCATTTGGTTTGTGCTTGGACATTTTGGGGTTTGCTAGTTAGGAGAAGCTGTGTTTTGTAGCATTGTCAAGTCCCACTTCTATCGATCGTGGATTCGAATTTCGATTTTAGTATATGAGATTCGGGTTTCGAGTGAAGGTTTAGTACATAGGGTTATGTAATTGATCTTCTGTAGAGAAACTCCACGATCTACTTCTCTGTTTGGGATGATTTGAGTCTGTGAGCTAGAATCTCTTTATCTAGGCTGATCATCAGAAAATGCAGATGGCACAGTTTCTTTCACTGGTTCGAGGTGAATCAGCTGACTCTCCCCGTGAGATTACTCCCCCCAGTAACCTCATCGGAGACTCTGGTTCAAACGGGTGGCTTATCCGCTTTTTTGACTCTTCCTTCTTCTGTGAGTGGATTGCAGTCAGTTATTTGTACAAGCACCAGCATTCTGGTGTCAGGGATTACTTATGCAATAGGATGTATACGCTTCCTTTATCCGGTATTGAGAGCTATCTGTTCCAGATCTGCTACCTGATGGTGCACAAACCGAGTCCTTCTCTTGATAAGTTTGTGATAGATATCTGTGGAAAGTCACTTAAAATAGCTCTGAAAGTGCATTGGTTTTTGTTGGCTGAACTTGAGGATTCCGATGATAATGAAGGCATCGGTAAGATTCAAGAGAAGTGCCAAACTGCAGCTACTCTGATGGGTCAGTGGTCTACTCTTATGCGGCCACAGAACGAGCCTTCAACTCCTGGGAGCAAGAATCCGGTCCTTAATAAATTTCTGTCTTCGAAACACAAGTTCTTCTCATTGAATTTATCTCCTCCCACCCAGAAGTCTTTGTTATTCTCACCTTCCTCAGGGAGCAACTTGCAGGATGGTGGTAGTCAGTTATCTGAGGACGACAATAAGATTTTTAAGAGGCTAATCCCAAGTCCTAAAGTTAGAGATGCTATATTATTTAGGAAGTCAGCCGACAAAGGTGATGAGGAAAGTGAAAAGGAAGGATTCTTCAAGAGACTCATGAGGGACAGCAGAGGTGAGGACGATGAACAAGTGTCAAACTCAGAGGGGTTCTTTAAGCGACTTTTAAAGGAAAATAAATCAGAAGTGGAGGAGATACCAAACAACACCGAGGGGTTCTTCAAGAGGATTTTGAGTGGTAAAGGAGATGATGAGGAATTGACATCTAGTGCAGATGGATTCTTTAAGAGATTGTTACGAGATAAGAAAGGAGATGAAGAGGAATTGAGTGCAACCTCGGAAAGTTTCTTCAAGAAGTTATTGCGCGAGAATAAAAATGAAGACGAGGAACCAAATGCAAACTCAGAAGGGTTCTTCAAGAAACTATTCCGCGAGAGCAAGAATGAGGATGATAGAGTTTCTCACGCAGTGGATGATGAGGAAAAAGATGGGTTTCTCAAAAAACTTTTCTTTGAAAAGTTTGATGACAAAAAAATTGATAATGAGAGGAATGAGACAGATGAAATTGTGCATACTGATGATAAATCTGGTGAAGATAATGGAAGTGAGGGTTTTTTCAAAAAATTCTTTAAGGAGAAGTTTGAAGACACACAAGACACTAGCAAAGCCGATGATGGGGATGAAAACGAGGATGATGAATCTTCAGAATTCTCACTGTTCAAAAATTTGTTCCGTAAACCTCCAGAAGACATAAAAACTACTTCAGCAAATGAAAATAGCAGCAATGACGGTATAGTTGAAAGCAGTCCGGGGACAGAAAACTTTTTCCGCAAATTGTTCAGAGATCGTGACCGGTCTGTTGAAGATTCTGAACTTTTCGGTTCAAAGAAATATCTGGAGGTTTGTTCTTATGACTTGATCTTTTGTTATTCCACATATATTTCAAATTTTAGGTTTCATCTGTACTTCTTAGATCAGGTCAGATTTCTTTCTAGGATAATATGATATATCAGCTTTACATATTAGACTATTGGAAAAAGTTGTGCTTGTGTTACTTGGTAGTATAACCTCATAGAATGATTGTATATGGTGGCAAATAAGTCAAGAGCGCTGATGTTCTCAGATCATGTCAATCTTCTCTCATTTTAATGGATTTTAATGAATAGTTGGCGGAAAAAGGTAGTATGCCTGCCATTCATTATATGTGCTGGTCTGCTGGATTTGCAGGCTGCCATTAATTTTCTGATCTTTGCAGAAGTGTCCAGGTTCACCTAAACAGCGAAATGATACTCCATCTCAAAAGCCCCCACTGCCAAATTATACTGCAGCACAGTTCAGGAAAGGGGCTTACCACAAGTCTTTGGAGTTTGTACATGCATTATGTGAAACGTCGTATGATTTAGTAGATATTTTTCCCACTGAAGATCGGAAGACTGCTCTTCGTGAGGTGATCCTTTAATCCCTACCTTTCTATATTTTGATGGTTATATTGCAGATATTTTTTTTTTTTTTTTTTCTTTCTTTTTAATTAAGTTTCTATGTGTCTTTTGTTTGGTTTTAGTCCCTTGCAGAGATCAATTCCCATTTGGCTGAAGCTGAAACTACTGGAGGTATTTTATTAAATTATATCTTAGGATTTTCTTTTACAGTTGTGAACTCACATGAGAGCTAGTGCTCCAGTCCATCTGGCATTTAAACTCATCTCTTGCACTGAAGTCATTTTTGAGCGGTTACTTTTTACGCTGTTTATGTTTATTTTACTGCGGTAGATGATTCAATATCAGACATTGATAATATTTTCAATAACATTCCAGGAATTTGTTTTCCAATGGGGAGAGGGGTTTATCGTGTCATTAATATTCCTGAAGAAGAGTCTACTCTTTTGAATTCTAGGGAAAAGGTGCCTTATATGATATGCGTGGAAGTTTTGAAAGCGGAAACACCTAGGTAAATATAAAACTCAGAAGTTTGTTTAATCTACTATTTTTCTTCTAATATATTCAGAATTCACTTTCTTATTATTCTATGTTTTTCTAAAAACCCTTTCTCATTGTTCTTTCATCTTCTGAAACTTTTGTAGTGGTGCAAAAGACGCATCTAATTCCCTTAAGCTTTCTAAAGGAGGCATTCCATTGGCAAATGGGGATGCATTCTTGCAAAAACCACCTCCATGGGCTTATCCATTATCGACTGCTCAGGAGGTTTACCGTAACAGTTCAGACCGAATGTCACTTTCAACTGTTCAAGCAATTGATGAAGCAATGACTCATAAGTCTGAGGTAAAACTTGTGAGTGCAAATCTCTCGGTGGAGAAGCATAGTGGTGTGACTGGTGTTCTGAGGACTGGATTGGACAGTGATCTTGAGTGGGTTCGGGTGGTGCTTACGGCTGATCCAGGTCTTAGAATGGAAAGCATTGCCGATCCAGGTCCCCCACGTCGAAAGGAACATCGTCGTGTTCCAAGTATTGTTGCCTACGAGGAAGTAAGGGTGAGTATTTCTTGGATAAGAAACTTGTACTGTTTTAGCTCTAGTGAAATTTGACTACTGTTCCATTTCTCTTTTGGGTTATTGGAAACAGCATACTCATCGAGTAGTTTTTCTGCTTCACTTATTATGTGATTCCTAGTGTAGTACTGTACCATATAGATTATTCACCTAAAGATGCATCTAACTTTGGATGAGCAGTATCAGCTGTAAACGTACATGTTATCTGCTCAATGTCATTTTTCTTAATGAACTGCCTATGTTCACTTGTTCAGGCTGCTGCAGCAAAGGGGGAGGCACCTCCTGGTCTTCCTCTCAAAGGGGCTGGTCAGGATTCATCAGATGCACGGTCAATGGTGATTGCATGTTGATTTAAGAATAACGTTATTCCTTTAGTTGTTTTGTCTTCTAGGTGTTGAACCTTTCTTTTGTGGCTCACCAGGCCAATGGTGGAATGCTGAAAGCAGGTGATGCCTTATCTGGTGAATTTTGGGAGGGGAAGCGACTAAGAATTCGTAACGATTCAATATATGGAAGCCTACCGGGTTGGGACTTGCGTTCTGTAAGTACTGGATAAAGCAATTCTACTTATCTTTCGCTGGCGTTTCCTTATAGAGTATATTTGATATTCTTGTGTAACGATAAAGTAGATAATGGTTTTGAAAAGAACTCAAGATTTCTGGTTTTCTTGTTTTGTCAGAAACACTGTTATGTGTATCTCAAAGTTTAAATTTCATCAATAAATGAAAATACATGTAAAGTTTTCTTATGCGAATTAGGTCCTTTGTATAGCTTTTTTCTTGTGTGAAACTGCAAAATTTAGACATCAAGCAAATATTGATGCTTTGTATCTTTTGATAATTCAGTGAGGGGCTCTGCTTTTGATAAGCTTCTGCTTACAGTTTCTTTCCAGCTGCATGTAAATTTGGTTATACTTGTTGACATTGAAATTTTTTGTCTAGGAATTTGGATTGCTTATAATACTGTTATACACCATCTTAAAAAACTCAACGAAATTGTGTCATTCTTTGTTGTCCCATTTTTTTCTGCGTCTTGATGTTAACTGGCTCTAGATCTTTGTAGATCATTGTGAAGAGTGGTGATGACTGTCGGCAGGAACATCTTGCGGTGCAACTCATATCTCATTTTTTTGGTGGGTGATATTTTTCTTTAATTTACGATGTGCCTGTTAAGTTCATACAAGCTGTGTTTTTATATCATTCTCTTTCTATTTTTCTATCCTGTCATCGTATATAAGCATGTGCACACAAATTTCTGCCTTATAATGTACGTAAACAGTAACGGTCTTTCATGTGCTAGATATATTTCAGGAAGCAGGTCTCCCTCTCTGGCTACGTCCTTATGAAGTCTTGGTTACATCTTCATACACAGCCCTTATAGAAACAATTCCAGATACGGTAAATATGCTACTTTATTTGGTATCCTGCTACCAATCTTGTTTTAAAGCTCATGTTATTTGTATCACCTTCTTCTCCTGCAGGCTTCTATTCATTCTATTAAAAGTAGATACCCTAACATCACAAGCTTGCGTGATTTTTTTTATGCCAAGTTTAAAGAGAACTCTCCTAGTTTTAAGCTTGCTCAGGTAATGTACTCTTCAGGTACATTTTATGGTTTTATGATTCAAGTCCACCATCGAGTTGGTTTTTTTTTCCAGGAACTTTATTGACTTCAGTCACTAAAGCATGCTGTTGTTCAATTGAGATGTGTGTTATATAAAAAAAAAATTATTCTCTCTACAAAATTGTGCAGTGGAGGACCCAATTTCATTCTTTCAAACGGAAGCCTTTTCTGAGAAAGAGAAATATAGAGCATGATAGGTCGTAAACTATTTTTATTCCCCTTATATGCAGAAGGATTTTCATAAAGTTTACAAATATGGTTTATCATATGAAAATAGGCTGCATTAAAGTCTTCTCCATGCATCAATTGAAACTGTGTCTGTAATAGCAATTTATGTTTAGTGTCACTCTGTGTATAACTTTTCCAATTATCTTCTTTTGCAGAGAAATTTTGTTGAGAGCATGGCTGGATATTCTTTGGTCTGTTACCTTCTGCAGGTAGACTGTCTTTAATAACTACCTTTCTCAGGATACTGTATTCATATGTGTAGGCACATAAGTGCTTTGAAACAAGAACTACAAAAATCTATGAATTTGTTACTCATGATGGTGTACATAAGTTCCATGATGGTTGCTGTTAGTTGTATGCCTCATGATGTCCATTTCTAACTGTTTTTTCGCTCAGATAAAAGACCGTCATAATGGAAACCTTCTGATGGATGAAGAAGGTCACATTATACACATTGATTTTGGCTTTATGCTTTCAAATTCTCCTGGTGGCGTGAACTTCGAGAGTGCCCCATTTAAGCTCACTAGGGAACTTCTTGAGGTAAGACGCATGTTTTAATCAATATTCTTGCCTCGCCGAAGCATTGAAAATTACTTTAGCTTAACTATTTACTTCGAAACGCCTAGGTCATGGATTCTGATGCCGAGGGGGTTCCGAGTGAGTTCTTTGACTATTTCAAGGTACCCCTCCAAGTCACTTAAAGACTCTAGTTTACGCCAACTGTGTGTAGCTATTAAGTAGAACCTCCAATTGTCAACTGGTTTAGGTGCTATGCATCCAAGGATTCCTAACATGTCGAAAGCATGCAGAACGGATTATTCTTCTCGTCGAAATGTTGCAGGTATTATGATCCGAGTCAATATTTGCTTATTGATAGCCTTCTGACGAAAAGCATCTAAAAAGCGGGAGAGGTATTGTGAGTTAATAAAGGAAACAAAATCATTTCGCGGCTGAATAATTTGCCGTTTCTTGCTTCATCAGGATTCGGGTTTTCCTTGCTTCAAAGGTGGTCCACGCACCATTCAGAATCTAAGAAAAAGGTTCCATCTAAGTTTAACCGAAGAGGTACATTACATGTCTCATCTTGAATTCTACCAATTCCAGCATCGTTGATAGGATTATGCCTCCAATCACAACTGTTTCCTTTTGTCATAACCAGCAATGCGTGTCTCTAGTGCTCTCTCTAATCAGCAGCAGCTTAGATGCTTGGCGAACCCGACAATACGATTACTACCAAAGAGTGTTGAATGGAATATTGTGATGTTTTGTACAAAAGTTTGAGATATGATCAGTGAATCAACCTGATCAGAGACTAAAACAGGTATACCACTATGGACTATGGTTGTGTTGTTCTCCATGTTCCATTGCATGCGACGAACTCTTTTCACAAATATAGTATCAGAGACATTCGAGCTCCCGAGAGCTCTTGAGGAAATTAAAATTACGTACACGACAGAGAGAGAGAGAGAGAGACATTGTATGACCAAAAAACACTTTTGTACATAAGATGTAGTTTGTTGCAGAGTTTGATTTTTACTATCATCCTAATCTATAAAAGAATCATGGCAAAGCCAACAATTAATTCATCTTCTTAATAAACCTTTTAGATGAAACAATTGTTTCTTTTTCCCTTTTTAAATGTATTTGTGTTTGTGATCACTGAGAATAACCATCCAAAGTAGTTGTGAATTTTGTAATAATAATTTATATATTATTTTCACTTAAGTGACAATTCTAAGGTTCTTCTTCGTCTCACTCTCTCGTCAGTGCCTTCTTTAAAATTTGTGGATGCTCTTTTCCTTTAAACGGAAAAAAACAACTTATTGTATTCACATATTTTGTGTTTTTTTTTTTTATTACTTTTTGTAAGAATTTGAGTTAATAGTTTGGTTAAAAAACTTGAGTGAAAAGCCAGAAAAATGTAAACAGGGCTGCATCGATTAAAACAATTACAGTGTTTTAGTAGGCTTTTTGGTTGAAATGGGCCCGCCACTGTATCAGTATCAAACGCGTAAGGTTTGGAGCTGCATCCTATATAAACCCTAATTCCACAACCCCTTGACCCAGTTCCTGGCTTATCCTTCACGCCATTCTCTCGCTCGCCTCCCCCTCTTACGCCGATCGTCCTTTCCACCGTCGAGTTTTTTCTTCTCTCTCTCTCTCTGTCTCTCTCCGGGTACGATTTTACTCTCTGATTCTAGTTTTCGTCCATGTTGATTTTGTGATTCCGCTCTGATTTCCCGATCTAGTCGTCGTTGTCGTTTGCTTTTTTCAATTCCTGAAATGGGTTCCTCTGTCTCCTTTGATTCTATTCGTTTGTTTTCTGGTCTGATTTGATACTCAAGTCAATTTTTTTGGATTCATTTTTAGGGTTTTACATCGTCTAAGCTAGACCCCTGAAAAATTATGTCTTTAGGATGATTTGATACTTAAGAGTAGTCGATGAGTTGTCTCTTGATATCTACTGTGTATTTTGTTTTCTAGTTGGGGTGTGGTTCAAATCCTTTTTTTTTTTGGGTGTCTATGTCTCAATAACAGGATTTACGTACCAGATGTCTGTTGATCTCTGCAAGAAGAATCCATCTTTTCTTTGGTGTGACTGTGGTTATATGAGCAGGGGGAGGTTGTGGTGTTTTCAGATAATCCTGTTCAGGCACTGGACTTGACCTGTCTCACCTCTTTTACTTCTCTCTCTCTTTTCTTCTCTCTTCTTCCCTGCTTTTCGGCTTTTTTCTGTCTAGTTTGATAACAAACCATTCGCTTGTGTTGGTCCTGTTTACTGCGAACTTGAAGACTAAGTTTTCTCTGCAAAACTCTCACTTTACTGGTGAGGAGTTTACGGAAGATTGTGCAAAGTTTTCCCCTTTGGAATCGCCAATGGGGAAAACTCAGCTGGCTCCTGGATTTCGATTCCATCCGACTGATGTTGAACTCGTGAGATATTACTTGAAGAGGAAAATACTGGGGAAAAAGCTCATTGTCGATGCTATTGCTGAAGTTGACATTTACAAGTTTGAGCCCCCTGATTTACCTGGTATTCATTTTATTAAAACATTCTTGGTCTGTTACTGAAATATTTCATGTTTTCGGATCTCCATCTAATTTCTCTAACTTGGGAGTCTTTGTCCTTGCAGATATGTCTTTTATAAAAGGTGGGGATCTTAAGTGGCACTTCTTCTGCCCGAGGGAAAAGAAGTATGCTAGTGGGGTTAGGGCAAACCGTGCAACTGAGTGTGGTTACTGGAAGACCACAGGGAAGGAGAGGCCAGTTCTGTGCAATTCTGAAGTTGTGGGGAAGATTAAAACTCTGGTTTATCACTTTGGTAAGTCCCCTCGTGGGGAGCGGACTGATTGGGTTATGCATGAATACAGGCTTGAAGACAAGGTACTGACGCAGATGAATGTTCCTCAGGTAAGATATACTAATTAACTATGGCAATATGATTTCAACTTGAACTGTCGTTTAGGTTTCAGTACTTAATAATGATCACTTGTTATTTTCTTTGTTCTTTAGCTGCTTTGATACTGTGTTCGGGTTGATGTGTGGCTGTTGATTTCATCGAACCTATAACTCACTTATCCTACCTGCAACTTTTCCCTTCCTGCACTTATATTGTTTTCTGCTTGTTTCTTTAGTTTTATAGTTGATTATTTATCAGTTATCATCCATGTCATGTAAGCTTATATCACTCTTTCTTTACTTACCATTATGTTTTGACCTGCAGGATACTTATGTGGTGTGCGTTCTGTTTAAAAAAGATGGACCAGGACCTAGAAATGGAGCTCAATATGGAGCTCCTTTTAGGGAAGAGGACTGGAGTGATGAAGAAGAACGTACTGATGTTCCTACCACTAGCAATCCCACAATCTTTCATGAGCCTAGCAAAGAAACCAGTCTGGCTGTGACTGCCGCAGATGACTCCAATAAAGATTGTTTCGGTGGCATGATATCAGAATCGTGTGTCTCCGATTTCCTACCAACTACAACTAATACCACCAGCAAACTTCCAGATCCAAGTGATGCAACTAACACTCCTATGTCTGCTGCACCTCTGGCAGAGACCCTTCAGACCCCCAACAACAACAATGATGACTTATATGCAATGTTGGATCTATTTGATGATGACGAAGAATTCTTGGGGTTCACCAATAATGAGGTAGGTTTTTGGCATACTTTCCTTGGCTTAGTGTAATGATAACAAGCCGGTGTCACTGCCTGATCTTAAGCTAGTAAGTAGTAAGGCTGATTTGAAGGCACTAAGTAATTTAATGGCAGTGGAACGTAGTAAGTGGTAACCATTAGTAAAGCTTCCTTGATGTATTCCTCAACCTTTTTCTTCCAAATTAATTATTGCTTCTACTGTTTTGTATGTCTGTGTATCTCATAGTTTATAATTCAACAGGCAATACATGATCCCGGTGTCTCAGCTCCGGTTTGTTTTGAAGGCATTTTCAACGGATTACCAGACTTGGGCAATATGTATAACAACATGCCAAGGACGTCCTCATACGACCCAGTTGAAAACTCAGAGTTATACTTAGAGCTACAAGACCTCACTGCTCCATTACCTCTGACTGCTCCATTAAATCCTCAAACTGGGAATGACTCGAGAAGCTCCTATCTGTATAATCAAGGCCACTTTGACTTCTCTGCTGCTAGTGATGATCCTTATGGCTTTTCTGCGAACATGGGACATGGACCCGACTCTGAAAAATGATGAATCTTCTTCTGCGCTCGGTCTGCTTCACAAATCAACAGATGCACAGCAGTGAGAAGATAAGAAGCAGGACCTTTTCTTTATATTATTTCTGGAATTTTCTTGTCTTTAAATTAGTAGACCTCTCTGTCAACATTCTCTATTTCTTCCTTGGATTAAAATATTTTCAAAACATTTTTGCAACTTGTTTCTGTTTTGCTATGCCTTAATCCTTTATAGTGTCTAGCTGATAAGATCAATTGATGATAGTATATCAAAATAGTTAAAAAAAACTGTCTCTTTACCGACTACATAAAAAGCATTTACATAAGGGCCGGACCAAAACAAAAAGTGTAATATAGGGTTTGATTTTGGAAGTGAATGGGCTTTCTAGGCCTTTATCGTTGGCCTAATCTTTAAGTTTTCCCACAGCATCATCGTATCAATCTCGTTTATTTAAAGCTTTGGGTTTGAGCGATTTGATTGAAGTCTCTTCGCAAAATCTGAGCTGACTTTGAACTCAATTTCATCTTTCCCGATCTCGCTCTAACTCTAACTCAGTTTTTCGTTCGTACGTTAAGAGATATAACTTTTGATTGACGTGGATCGCACGGTTCCGGGTGGGTGATGGAGAACACAGACGTCTTCTCAGGTCTCCATAATTTTCTGAGTAAACCCTCCGCCAAAGATTTCATCAAATCAATTAAAAGGTTCTCCATGTTACATGTGTGCAACAAGTATCTTACTGATTTGTCATTCCTCTCTCTTCTTACAAAATCTCCTAACTGTTTATTATTAGCTTGATTGGTTATGAGACAATGTGCCATGATCATATTATTTATTCCTCTGGTTATCAATTGTTGGTCTCTCTCATTCATAAGATATGGTTTTTGAGTTGTGAAAGTTTTATTTTTCATGTTTGCAGTTTCATTGTTTCGATCTTGAACACAGCACCAGACCCTGACAAAGACTGTGATGCAGTTCAAGACTTCTTTTCCAAGATGGATTCTGCTTTCAGGGCTCATACACTTCGGTCTGGTTGTTCCGATGATGAGTTGGAAAATGCAGGAGATGTAAGTATTATCACATTATTCTTCCTTCCTTTTCTCTTTTGATTAATATATCATATTTTAGCTGCCTCTTAATCATATATGTTTTGTATACACAGGGCCTGGAGAAGTATGTCATGACAAAGTTATTTCCCCGGGTTTTTGCTTCAAACACCGAGGATGTTATCTCTGATGAGAAACTCTTTCACAAGATGTCATTGCTTCAACAGTTCATATCTCCTGAAAACTTGGATGTACAGCCGAATTTCCAAAACCAAACATCATGGCTCGTAAGTCCCACTCTAGCTCTCTCGATTGTGTAGCCTAGTTTCCAAATAACTGCTTCTTACTTTTGATATTTTTATCTATTTATTTGGCAGCTAGCTCAAAAAGAGCTCCAGAAGATAAACATGTACAAAGGTCCTCGTGATAAGCTTATGTGTATCCTTAGGTGCTGCAGAGTCATTAATAACTTACTGCTAAATGCTTCAATTGCTTCAAACGAGAATGCACCTGGTGCGGACCAATTCCTTCCTGTTCTTATATATGTTACCATTAAGGTATGTTGTGAAAGGGTTCAACAATTATATATATGTGTAAAACAAGGTACAAAGGTCTGAATGATTCACTGTATTCCTTTGCTCGAGAGATACAATATATAGAGAGAAGAGAATCTACAAGATTATATAAGATCCCACAATGAACGTGATCACTACTCTAAGAATATACAATCCAAGATACGGGAGAATATACACATAAGGAAATGAGAATATGTGTGAGGGATATTCTCTAACAATATGCATTATGGTTTCTGATGTCTTATGTGTATTTCTTACTCTTATCCTTTAATTGTGAAACTACATTTACTGATGATCATTATTTACTTTTCTTTTGTTTTTTTTCAGGCTAACCCTCCACAATTTCATTCAAACTTGTTGTATATACAAAGATATAGGCGTCAATCTAAACTGGTTGGTGATGCTGCCTACTTATTCACAAACATACTCTCTGCAGAGTCTTTCATCTCAAGTATTGATGCAAAATCCCTCTCAATGGACGAAGCTGACTTTGAAAATGAAATGGAGTCTGCACAAGCACGTCTTTCTGGTCTGAGAAGCCAGTCTTGTCAAACTGATCACGATGCTGCATTCACAGCTCATTGTCCTAAGAGGGAAAACACGCTTATTCACGCAAAATCGTCTGATAGTCTCTCTGCTACCACCAATGAAACACTGAGTACAAACAGTGACACACCAATGCAGAGAGCTTCGGATTTGGAAAACAAGGGCGCCACAATGCTTTCGGATGATGGAAGTGAGGCAACCAAAATCTTTCAAGAATATCCTTACATGTTTGCCAGTGTTGCTGATTTAAGGATAGGAGATGTTGAAAGTTTGCTTCATAATTACAAACAGCTCGTTATCAAATATGTTTGCCTTTCCAAAGGCTTGGGTGATGCAGCATCTTTAGCTCCATCCCTTTCACCATTCCAAGCGTCTAATAAAGACTCTGAGAATTATACAACATTGTTTTCAGACAAAAGCGTCGATGATTTGATCCGAGCTCTACAACAAGGTGAGAGAGACAATGTTCATAAGCTCTCAGATGTAAAACAAGAATCAGACTCATCTTCTAGAAACGTAATCGGATTTGGTTCTTGAATGTAATTTTCATATCATAGGATATAATAACTTCATTAATTTATAAAATTTTCCACGGTTATTCGACAAATTGAAATACCAAACGGTTTAAATCTGAGAACCGGTTAAGGGTTCATCTTCGTGAAGCGAAGCAAAAGGGTATTATTGTCATTTTCTGTTCTTTTTGTCACACCACTCAGAAGGAGACAGAGAGAGCCTTAACGGCGAAAATGGAAGGGATTGGACTGCGAAGTTGCGGAGAGGAGATTCTCCGTCTCGGATTTAGTATACGCGGTGGTATCGGCGGCAAGTTTCCGGTTCTCCGGCGAGCTATGGAGATAAAGATGAGAGACCGTAGCAAGAACAGGAAACCATTGCAGAGAGGTCGAATGCTCAGTATCGAAGCGATTCAAGCGGTTCAGGCCTTAAAGCGAGCTAATCCTCTTCTTCCTCCTTCTTCTCCCACGTATTCGTCGTCCTCAGCTCTGCTTGATCGTGTAATCGATTCCAAGTTCCGTCGGCTCTTAAAATTCGATATGGTCGCCGTTCTCAGAGAACTATTACGCCAAAACGAGTGCTCTCTAGCTCTCAAGGTTCGTCTCTCGACTCGGTCTCTCTCCATCATGTATGAGCTGTGTTCTATCTTAATTTTGAACTCGTTTTAGGTTTTTGAAGAGATTCGAAAAGAGTATTGGTACAAGCCTCAGGTTAGATTGTACTCGGATATGATCACTGTAATGGCGGATAATAGTTTGATCGAAGAGGTCAATTATATTTACTCTGCTATGAAATCGGAAAAGGTTTTAAAGGCTGACACTGAAGACTTCAATACTCTCTTGACGATACTTGTGAATCATAAGCTGTTTGATCTTGTCATGGATTGCTACGCCTTTATGCAATCTATTGGGTATGAGCCTGATAGATCATCCTTTAGGATTCTAGTCTTAGGTCTTGAATCGAATGGCGAAATGGGTTTATCGGCTATTGTTAGGCAAGATGCTCATGAGTATTACGGTGAATCACTCGAGTTTGTTGAAGAAGATGAAGAAAACTCTAGTGAGACTGGTGTGTTGATCTAAAATCTAAATGATGGAGCACAAAAGTTGAGAGAGCTAACGGTTTGATCGTATTGTATACTAATATCTTCTAAGTAGAGCAGTAAAAGGATGTGTCGATTCTTGTATCTACGGTATCATCATGTAGGCTTGTATGTTTTAACATTGGAATGTTACCACCGAGTAAGCGTTTTTGGATTGCACCAGTGAAGATACGAAACTTGTATCTGTTCCAAGTCACTCAAGTCTATGGAGACAGACAATTATAGCTACAAATCCATAACAATTGGAGTTATATGTAACAATTTGAGCATTCATAGTTGAGAAACTTGGAGTAACTCAATTTCATATTATTTTTGGAGATTATCTGTTCATACAAAATTGAATTTTGTAATTTTTTTAGGAGCATAAGTGTAATAGCGAACGACGTCGTTGCTTCTTGGTGTTCAACTTTACCTTTTTTATTCGCAGTTTTTCATTTTTTTCCGTTTCTCAAGTGGCTGAGCAAAATGGAGGCTTCACAGAGCGACGACCCCAGTCTGAACCCTGTACGCAATCGGAATCCGAATCCGGATCCGGCTCCGAACCCATTGTCGACGATCATCTCTTCAGCGCAGGTTTGGCCAACCATCGATGGTCCTTTGGGGTTAACGGAGGAAGCATCGGTGGACTACGCTCGTCGATTCTACAAGTTCGGTTTCGCTCTCTTGCCTTGGCTTTGGTTTGTCAATTGCTTCTACTTCTGGCCTGTTCTTCGTCATGCTCGAGCTTTCCCCCAAATCCGCAATTGTAAGTAATCAGATTGTTACATATATCTTTTGATCATCGTATCCCGCGAATTTGGGAATGTTAGATTGGGCTCTTTTGATTATGGCACTATATCTTCTGAAATCGTACAATCTTGCTGGTATATACTGTTTCAGTAGCGTAATGGCTATGAGTATTTTCTCTGACAGATATATGATAAGTCCATTGGAGTTTTAAGATTTTGGCCTATTCAGGTTCAAATTTTATGAAGTTTTAACATTTAGTGTGAAGATATCTAGATAGCCATTAGAGTTTATAGGAAGTTATAAAGAGAATAAGCTAATGGAAGAGTGTTCGATAATGAAGAGTATTCTAAAGTTGTCGATGTTCTATGATTATTTATACAGTGTATCCTTATTTGATCTCGGGGACACTACTCTTTGTTTGTTAAATACTTCTTTCGGCTTTGATGTGTTGTTGACCTTTGGTAAATTAAAAAGGAATTGATGATCATTCTTTTGAGTTATGTCTGCTACTTATGTTCTGATTTAAGAAGATTTTAAACTTTTTGTATCTCTTTTTTCAGATATGAAATATGTGCATTATCCTCTCTTAACACCTTTCTGTTACTTGCAGATGTTGTCCGCTCAGCAATCGGCTTCAGTGTCTTTACAGCTCTTCTATCCGCGTGGGCATTGACGTTCTCAATAGGAGGAGAACAGCTTTTCGGCCCTGTTTATGATAAGCTGGTTATGTACAACGTTGCTGATCGTCTCGGCTTGTCTGGCTTGGCTTAGCTCCCTCCGGATTTTCTTTCTATCGTTTAACGTAGTAGAAACAGGAAGATCACATTGCCTGTTCCGTGCTCCCGTCTTACTTTGCAAGCATAAGTTGTTTTAACAAAAGTTGAGATCACTGGTGTGAATGAATGAATGTAAGGCTCTTGGATATTCATCTGTCAATGAAGTAATTAGTTCTCAGTTTTTTACAGCTGTTCAAATGGTAACCGAAAAAACGTGTGTATTCTGGTGAAGCCCTTTCTTATAGTGGGCCGTTAAATAGTCTTGTGGGTTTAATTATGTCTTGTTTGGAGGAATCACGGTTGATGCGTTAGCGTTTGACAATCGCGGTTCCTCACTAAAAAAGAATCCACTTTATATGAATCATCAATTCCGTACGGAAAAACATAACTCAACAACAGCCAACACTTCAAAGTTAAAACAAGAACCTCTCTCTACACATCATCATCCTTGTTCGTGTCGCTCTTCATCCATTTTCCACCTTGCAAAAAAATCTGTCTTCAGTCAAATTGGGAAAACAAAAAAAATGACTCTGCGTTTGAGATCTTCTTCCTGGAAATCGAATTTGCTCAAAATTCTCAGACATAACCACGGCTTCGGTTCTGCTAGCCACGCGGCTCGACATCTCCGCCAAAAACCACCACATGAGCCTACGCTTCGAGTTTCACAGAATCCAATTAGTCGGTTCTGTAACACCATGTCAGAGAAACTCTCAAGTATTGGTGAGCACGAAGACGCCAACACTCAGGTGCATGCAAATATTACCAGCTCCCCAGTTACTCTTTTTTTCTTTTTCTTTTTCTTATCACTTTAGTCAATTTCTTTTGAGTGAAAGTTCAGCTGCTGGTCACTGTTTAATCACATCAGTATAAAATCTACTATGCAAATTAGTTTCAGGGTCCACTAAAAAGTTCACTAAAACCAAGTGTTAATAGCTCAATTGGTAAAGATCTCTGGCAGAAGCTTAGAGGTCGCCGGTTCGAGTAGCGCTTGGGACGAAACCATATAACATGCTTTGGTTTCGGAACTGAGGGGATGTATGGGCTTTGACCCAGAACCTCTTTGATTATTAAAAAAAAAAAAAAAAGTTTCACTAAAAACTGATTTGATGTTATGAATCAGAACACATCAATCATCACTGATAGATGTCAGAAATTTTTATTCCTTTCTCTTTTCCTTCTTATTCTCCATTTAACATTCTGAATAACCAATAATTTATGTTTGGATGGGACCTTCAATGATCAGGTCATGGATTTTCCTGGAGGAAAGGTAGCTTTCACACCTGAGATTCAATTCATATCAGAATCCAGTAAAGAGCGTGTACCTTGTTACCGTGTTCTTGATGACAATGGCCAACTAATCACCAACAGCCAGTTTGTTCAGGTTGACATAAAGCATCAATTTTCTCCCTTTTTACTGAATTCTGAAATTTTCCAAAGTAAAGAGTTGTTTTTGTTCTTCTGCGTCTTCTAGGTAAGTGAGGAAGTTGCGGTGAAGATATATAGCAATATGGTAACTCTTCAGATAATGGATAACATCTTTTACGAAGCTCAAAGACAAGGCAGACTTTCCTTTTACGCTACTGCCATCGGTGAAGAAGCCATTAATATTGCATCAGCCGCAGCTCTCTCTCCTGAAGATGTTATCTTTCCTCAGGTTTTTTTAAATCAATTCATCTCTTATGATAAATGCTCTCTCATATGTACATTTTTTTGCTACAGTGTCCTGCATTGACCGTATTTATATACTGTTGTTAGATTAATATGAAAACTTTAGTGAGTTCATGTAATTATAAGGAAGATTGATAGATTAGGCTGTCTCTTTTGTTGTACCTTGCAGTACAGAGAGCCTGGTGTGCTACTGTGGCGTGGTTTCACGCTTCAAGAATTTGCAAACCAGTGTTTTGGGAACAAATCTGATTATGGAAAAGGCAGGCAGATGCCAGTCCACTATGGCTCTAACAAGCTCAATTATTTTACTGTTTCAGCCACTATTGCGTATAGCCTCAGATCCTCTTCTTCTCAATAGTTTATTTTCTCGTAATTTCTCTTAGCTTATGGTACATTTTATCTCCAGTACGCAGATACCAAACGCGGTTGGTGCTGCTTATTCCTTAAAGATGGACAGGAAGGATGCATGTGCTGTCACATATTTTGGCGATGGTGGCACAAGTGAGGTGAATAATAAGGGCATTGAGCTGGCGTATTGCAATGGATTTGTGAATTTAGTATCTTTGCTTGCATTGTTCTACACCCTTTCATATTCCATGCATCACTAATTCACTATGATTACTGAAACTGAAAACTCTGTGGTGGCTAAATTGAAATGATGTTTTTGCTAGGGAGACTTCCATGCTGCTATGAATTTTGCAGCAGTTATGGAAGCTCCTGTTTTATTTATTTGCCGGAACAATGGATGGGCGATCAGTACTCCCACCTCAGATCAGTTCCGAAGTAACTCCTTTTCTTTTTTCCTTTGGATTATTTACTTTCATTTTTTCTTTTCTTTCGTAATGTCTTTTGGATTTGCCAATACTTTTGCTTGCATACGCTTTGGCCAACAGGTGATGGTATAGTGGTCAAAGGCCGTGCTTATGGTATTCGAAGTATACGTGTGGATGGAAATGACGCGCTTGCTATGTACAGTGCAGTGCACTCTGCTCGTGAAATGGCAATCAAAGAACATAGGCCAATCTTGATTGAGGTAACTTTGATGTGATTTTGTTGTAGATATTAAATGCAACATCAAAACACAATATAAGTTTCAAGTCCTTTTTTTTTTATGCTGTTAGGCCTTAACATACCGCGTAGGACACCATTCAACATCAGATGATTCCACTAGGTACCGATCTGCAGATGAGATAGAGTGGTGGAACAAAGCTAGAAACCCACTGTCTAGGTTTAGGACATGGATTGAAAGTAATGGCTGGTGGAGTGATGAAGAGGAATCGGATCTGAGAAGCAGAGTCAAGAAAGAGGTAACTAAAATTAACAAACTTGGATCTTGACCATTGTTGTATAAGAAGCGTATATGGTTTATGTATATAAGCTGTGAAATTGGATTCTTTTTGTTCCGTACAAACAGATGTTAGAAGCGCTCAGGGTTGCAGAGAAGACTGAGAAACCGAATCTTAAGGACATGTTTTCAGATGTCTACGATGTTCCTCCTTCTAACCTCAGGGAACAGGAGCGTCTGGTGAGGCAGACCATCAAAAGTCACCCACAAGATTATCCATCAGATGTTCCTCTTTAGGCAGACTCTAATTGACTGCTTTGTGTAGTAAAATGTAAGCCGTTATCAACATTGTGTATTGAAATATTTTACTGAAATCAAGACCATTATTCAAAAGCATACAACATCTTTGATAGAGCACAAACTTCTTCAGTATCTGACAGTACACGACACCCGATGTGATTATACACCAGATACCCATTTCAGACAGTACATATATTACAGTTTCATTTTTAGTTTTGTCTCAGAGAGAAGTATCTCCTCTTTCATGGATTCTCTGATGGCCTTCAAGAGCCGTGGCATGAGCTTCTTAGTGCTGACCACGATCCCTGTTTTGTGTTCAAGATGATTTCCTCTCGAGAAGTCAAGAGGATTCCCATCAGCATCGCAAACTACACCTCCAGCTTCTGCACGAGGTTATTTCTCAAGGTTTCGTTTTCCATAACAGGTGCCAGAAAGAAATTTTTGTATCTGATGGGAATTAAATCTATATCCTTTCTATATTCCACAGCAGCAAGACTAGGTAAACTTCAAATTGCAGCACATCTACTGTGCAGAGAGGTTGTGTCTTGCTTTGTAATAGACTTTGCTGTGTGATATGCTTTAGAGTAAAAGTTATTATGCAGTGCATACCTGTGGTGATGATTGCACCAGCAGCGTGGTTCCATATGGTCTCACGGTACCCTTTGAGAGTGAAACGCAAGTATATCTCTGCATCTCCTCGAGCTAGAGCTGCGTACTTCACTTGACTATGGATTCTTAGAGGTGGAGCTCTGATCCCTAGTTTCTGCTTACCGTAAGAGAGCAAGTCTTAGCAACAAACAAAGAATAATATATCTGATAGGTCAAGCTCTAAGTATAAGCAAAAGATGTTATACATTGGCAATGGAGCTATGGATGGGGATTGGTTTATGAGATGATTCGACAAAGGTAGCTTCTTCAGGATTCTCAATGTTGCTCACTTGCACCTATTAACATGTTTCTTCACTCTGATTTAAGGATACAAAAAGAGAGAGCAACTCTAACAGACATTGAAACGCTGATGATACCTTCTCTGGAGGATGAGAGTCGCCTTCAAGCGATTGCATGTAAGCACCTTCTCCCGCTGTAGCAAAGAAAAGGCATCCAACTTTATCTGAAGAAGCAGACTTGTGATTCTCAAGTTTAGGGCAAGCCAGGACACCGAGTACTACTTTGCCTTCCACAAGCAAAGCCAATGCCACAGCGTAATCCTCTCCGTTTACAAACCTGTTAAGCAGAATCTGCATGGTTTGAGCAAAAAAGATAAGATTTTTATGTAATGAGTTTCAAGACTTTATCACCCTCTGGTTCCATCGACAGGATCAAGAATCCAATGGCGGCCATTAGCCCCGCCTTGTGACCTCCCGTGGTCTATTGCTTTCCTTACATCTTCCATTGAAAGAGAAGAGGTGGCGTAGGAATCATCAGAAGCTAGAGCACTGTTCACAAGCTTAGTGATGCTTTCTAGAAATTCCTTGGCGCCACTCTTTTGTAAATCTTCTGCATTCTGCAAAAGATGTGTAACAGAGAAAGATTTAGTTTTTTGGGTGTGACTTAACTGTTTGTTAGAGAGTGTTTATAAAATCAAGTACCTCTTCAGCAACTAAGTATAGTGGTTCAGGGTGAAGTTCTCTCTTTAATACATGACTGATCACAGCTTGAGATCCTGCATTTATCACACAGGTTTGGTCAATAAGGACTGGTTTGAATGGACCAGGTTGACCTGTTTTGTCATGCAAAATAAAAAAACAATAGAAAACAGAATTGTGGGATTGATTGACCATAATCAGCAGCTGTAACTGGACTTTTATCAGATTTTTTCCGGACGTCTGATTGCAACAGAGACTTCTGCACTTCCTGATAAAGTTCCAAAACTGGTGTTAATGAGTTAAGCTTTGTCTGTGAATTAGTATGTAATAGACAGACATATGTGGTTACTAACCTGGCTGAGACGAACAGCAAGAGAGACGGCTTTCTTAGCCGCAGCAAGCTCCTTCTCGTAAGTCATCAGGTCATCTGTTCATAAATACAAGAGACTTAAAAAATGAAGAAGAAGAAGAGGATCGAAGATGACTTTATAAAATATTCGGTCATGTGTCCATATATTATATACAGGCCTATACAATTTAAGTATTGTAGTGATTGTTAACATATAACCAAGTTTCGTGGAAGTTTCAACATATATTCGTAAGAAGACGACACATATGTAATTATATTAATCGAGACCTCTATGCGAATATCTGGTAAATATATACGCATATGTATAGCTGTAAGAACTGTTGTTTGATACGTGCAGGTCCAGAATATATCAAAACCGAATAGATAGTTTTGGAATCGAATTAACACGCTACCAATCATCAAAACTCAAATACTAAATATAGCAATGTAAAAAAAAAAAAAGAGTGGCTCTAACAACAAAAATTAACAGTTCTACTATTTCTGTTTTACTTTTAGAAGTTTGCTTTAAGTTGTTGCAACTTACAACTTCTTAAGCTCTTCAAGAACTCACACTAAATAGAAAACATGAAACGAACTTTTTTTTGGTTAGTTGAAAACAAACTCGATCACTCAGATATATAAACTCCATCCATAATACACAAATCATCAGAAACAACACATCTTGTAATCATAAATCTCAACCTTTCCATACAGATATTCTTCTTGATTCACCATGGTTAGGTTCTTGAACATCACGTTGATTCAACTCTTTATCATTTTGTTTGTCGCGAATGTCTTGGAGGCCACGAAACTGAATGTGATGGACAACTGCTGGCGACCAAACCCGCATTGGCGCAGAACCCGTAACCAGCTTGCGCGGTGTTCAGTCGGATTTGCCGGGAAAATGACGGGAAATATCGGTAAAGGGGTCACACAATACAAAGTAACCGACCCTTCTGATGATCCTCTGAAACCAAAACCTGGAACCCTAAGATACGCAGCAACACTTGTCAAAGGTAAAAAATGGATCACATTCAAGAGAAACATGAAGATCAAGCTTCATAAACCGCTTCTAATCAGCAGCTTCACGACACTCGATGGCCGAGGTGTTAGTGTTCACATCTCCGGTCCCGCTTGTCTCATAGTCTACAAAGCCACCGATGTGATCATTCATGGACTTAAGATCCATGATTGTAAAGCTCATCCCCCAAGCTCAGTGATGGGACCAGACTCAAAGATCATTCAACTTGGGCAAGTGGATGGCGATGCCATCAGGCTGGTCACGGCTAAGAAAGTATGGATCGACCACAACACGCTCTATGATTGTGAAGACGGTCTTCTAGACGTCACACGAGGGTCTACTGACGTCACAGTGTCGAACAATTGGTTTAGGAACCAGGACAAGGTCATGCTTCTTGGCCATGATGATGGCTATGTAAGAGACCAAGACATGAGAGTCACTGTTGTGTTTAACCACTTTGGTCCTAATTGCAACCAGAGAATGCCAAGGTACAAAAATGAAATATGCAGAGCTAACAGCCAGACTGACTAATTAATTTTTCATATATTGTTACTTTCATTTCTGATTTTGATGGAGCTATGTGAAATATGCAGAGTGAGACATGGATATGCTCATGTTGCCAATAACTATTACCAAGGATGGACTCAGTATGCAATTGGAGGAAGCATGAGCCCTCGTGTGAAGAGTGAATCAAACTATTTCGTCGCACCAAAGTCTGGAAACAAAGAGGTGCGTTTCAAGTCATAATCGCAAACGCAAAAAAAAAAAAAAACACAAAAGTAAACACATTGATTCTTATATCCCATCTAACATGTGAATTTGTACTTTTTTTTTTGTAGATAACTTGGAAGAAACATAGCCAAGGAGATCAAATGCAATGGAAATTCTACTCAGTGAATGATTACTTCGAGAACGGAGCTTGTTTCGGCCTACACAAAGGTGCTGGAAAAGCACGCCCTAATTACGGCCCAGATCAAAGGTTCACAGTCGCAAAAGCTAAAACCGTTAAAGAACTCACAAGTTCAGCTGGAGCCTTGCACTGCACCAGAAACTCCGTCTGTTAGAGCAACTACGCTTAACATGACTTTTTAGCGTTTCAACATTTCTGCGTTTTCATTCAGTTACATCAAAATGTATATGTTTTTTGTTATGAATGATATATACTATAATCCCAATAAATAATTGTAAGACTAAGCAAAAAGAATTAAACCCTGTCTGCTAGAACAACAGTGCATAAAATGACTTCTTAGCGGTTCAACATTTCAATGTTTTCTCTTCTTCTTCATTCATGTACATGAATTTTATGTGGATAACCAACAAAAGTATTCTGACAAAACAGATTAACCCGGGGAATATTGATTCGGTTGGAAGAAACTAACCTTGTCAAAAGTTTAACAGAGACAATGGTTTCGATTCTAAACTACTGATTAAGACGTTTTCTTGTCAGAAATTGAAGATGACTTTTCCACTGATTGAGCAGATTTAGAAGCTGTTACTGCTGATTGTTCATCTTCAACAAGTTTCCGAAGTTTTGTCTGAAGACCACGAACTCGATCCTCGGTTCTCCTAAGCTTCCTCCATCTATAAGCTGTCCAAAGGAAAAGACCGCCATAGACAACAGTATAAGAACCCCAAACATATGGATAAGCTTCAGCGTGATCTTTGAGTTTCTTGTATTGTTCTTCAATTGCTCCTACAAAACCAGGAGCCACTTGGTTTGGTTGGTTCTCCTGACCTTCTATTCCGCTCTGCTCTGTTGTCGCCATCTCAAATCACAAATCAGCTTCTGACTAAATCTGAAGCAGAACAAAGAAACAGAAAGGAAAGATATAAAGCAAGAAGACGAGCTTTGATCATGCAGAAGAATGAATGTTGAGTAGAACTTATATATTGAAGAAAGGAAATGAATGATAAAGGCTAACTAACTACGAAATTGAATCAACAAAACGGCTAATTAGCAAGAACAGTTCACGTCAAAGGATTATTACTTAAAAATTGATACTTTCGGTTTTGAACTCTCAAAGCATAAACAATGAAATGTTTCAAACTGTAGAAACTATAATGAGCTCATCAAGCGAAACAAACTATGATCATATTAAAAAATCTAAACGATTCATAGGGAATTGGGAAATTGCATGAATGTTCATATCTATTTTTACTTCTGACACCTAAGAACGTAAGGCACTGCGAAATTGGATCTACAATTTCTAAAGCATTGAGGAAATTACAACCAAAAGAAGGACGAAATCTTAAAACTTTGCACAAACCCTCGAACCAGATTGGAGAGCGAGATCTATTAAATGAAACGCAACAGAATTGAAATCAACCATCTCTGGACATTTTTACAAACACTTCGTATGCATCTAGGAGATGTAATGGCTACAAAACCCAGAAATCACAGGCACAGACAAATCACAAAAATGAAAATTCCTTTCTTTCATCTTCTTCAAAAGTGTAAACAAACCAGTGGATCTTATTTACTCTAAGAATAACAAAGACGAAACGAAACAGGTACCTGAAGTTAGACAAAGTCGTCTAAGAAGTAACAAGGATGGAATGGAGCTCAGAGCGCCATTGCTCTTAAACCCTATAAAGCTTTGCAAAACCCAGATCGAGAGATTTGATTAGATTGGATACTGTTTATCAACTATGTGTACTCTTAACCGTATCGGTTAATTTGTTTTTGGTGTATGATGTAACTTAATCAGATACCGATTTCATCTGCATCAGTTTAATACGGTTTGGTTTTGAAATTTTAATAACCAAATAAGTTCCTATTTTGACATTTTCCTATTTACAATTATCTTTCATTTAATTTTGTTTTCTTCCACTCAGAAAATAAGAAAATTCTATACAAACCGAAAGGTAATTTGATCCCACCGAGTGTAAAAGTCATTTATATGTTCAGGTCAAAGACTTTGAAATCGGTTCAGAAACAACGAAATTCATTCATGAGATCAACCATTTCACTGAGGGAGACTCCATGAACTTGGTGCTTTACAAGCTGCAGGGGTAAGAAGAAGAGAATTCACAAGGAGCTTCAAGAGCCCAAAAGAAAGAGTTTCCAAAGAATGATTGTATAATCCATGGCTATTTAGTAGTCGATCAGATTCTTCACTTCTAAGTCAAGCTTCCAGAGGTTCTTCAAGAACTGCAACAACAGAAAGCATGTCTGAGTTTAAGGTTCTTTGTATCAAACAATTGTTACTTACAGATAAACAATACAAAAACCTTTTCTTTTCGTTGGTGTGCTTTCTGCATTGGAAGCGACAGGTGCTTTTGTCGGCACATCAGGGAGATCCAATTTCTCAGGTTCTTCAGGCACGAGCTCTGTCGTAGGCACTTCAGGCATATCTTCAACAATGAGCTTTATACAAACAACAAACATTCAAACATTATAATTTGACTCTATTCAAGAAGTAACAAAGTAAATGGTACTCGAAATATCAATAGGCACAGTATATGGTCATAATGCAGGAAAGTTTTGTATCTGAGAAACAAGAGAACCCATCATACCTGACTTTCTAGGTTGTCGAATTCTGCTAAGATCTCTTCTTCATCTTCTGCTGATAGTTTCTCACCTAATATGGCACTCAGTTCCTAAAAATCCAAGTGTTTAATAGTTAGATAAAGCAAAAAAAATACTCACGACCATGAAAGAAACAAACAGGGAGAATCTCGGCTAAAGTGACACATGATTGTAATAATTATGTGAACCCCATAAACAAAACGGAAAATTTAGGTTCACTATTAACTCACATCCTGATAAGCCTTGGCCTCGGCAGTGTCATCCATTAGTTTTTGAACATCATCAAGATTGACCTCGCTTTGAATCGCCTTAATTGCACTATTACCTTGCTTCAGGCTCTCAAAGACTGCTTTCTGCTTGCTTGTAAGTTCAATATCTGCCAGCTGAGACATAAAGACAGTTTCAGAATACGTTATTTCAGATTTTTTTCACACGACAAAATCAGCTATCAAAGACTGAAACTTTTGTTTAATATAGATAGTATAGCAGTAGCACCAAGGTTATGCAATGGAAACAGTAAAATGCTATGAAGGGTCAAGTAAGTTTTACTTGTTGTTCGACATTGATGACCCACTGATCTACTTGCTTCAACAACTCTTCCTGTGTCCGCTTCTTCTTCAGTGCTAACAAAGCCCTATCTTTTCGCTTCTCACGGATTAAGTCTCTCGCAGCTTGCTTTTCGGCTTCAATAACTTTCTCAAGCTAACAAAGGGTTTTAAAGAGAAACAAGGTAAAGCTTAAAGATCATAAGAAAGGGCACAGCGTTTGCATTCCATTTCTCAGCTATCGAACTCACTATCTAGCAATCGAAACTATCATTTGGATCACAAGACGGATTCTAAAGGCAACTTCTTCATCAACCCATTTGACAAGAAAATTCAAAATCTGGAAAAACCAAAATCTATGTGACACCTTAAGTTGTTTCATACACATCGTATACGCCAATAGCTGGAATTCAGTAACCTTTACCCTCCATGACCTATGGTGAATTAATCTACACATTCAACCTTAGATTCCAGAAACAGACCAAATTCGAGCAAGATTAAGACCTAGAAATGCGAAAATCGCAGGCGAAGGAATCAAAAACCTGTTGCTGATATTGACCAAGCTTGCGCCTTTGGGTTTTAAGAGAGAGAATCGCTCGATCAACATCCGTTATCTTTGGTTTCTTCACGAACAAATTCCCCATCGAACCACTTTATCCAAATCCAACCAAAACAGATATATTCAGAAGTAAGAGAGATTTGTCAAGGGCTTCGCGAGTTCAAACCAAGTCCAAATCTTTTTGCTTTTCCCTTTCTCCGCTGCAAAACCGCAAAACTAAAAAATCCCGCACGTTTTTAAGATTGGCCGCGCGTTTTCTCAAACTCGCGTTAATTAAAAAAAAAAAAAAAAGATTCGGACCGCTTTTAATTAAAACGCGAGTTTGAGAAAACAGTTGTCACAGTTCTAATTTCAATCACACGCGCGTGATCGGTGAACGCATTAAAATAAATACGCGAGAAGAGAGGGGACACGGCGTTTCATTTTCTTTCAAACCCTCTCTAGTCGCTCCTCTCAAGTCGATTTCGCAGTAGAAGAGTGCTTTCGCTTTCTCCGAGAAACCCGTTGCAGCGTCACGAACAGGTTTCTTCTCATGTCTATGTAATTATGTTGTTTTGACTAGTACGAGATTACTCTTGTCTGAATAGAGCGTTTTGGGTCTTTATACAGTTGGAGAAAATGTCTTCGAGAGGAAAAAGAAAGGACGAGGATGTCAGAGCATCAGATGACGAATCTGAAACCCACGCGTCGGCTAAAAAAATCGCAAAGCCAGCAGACTCCTCCGACGAGTCTGACGATATCGTCGTTTGCAACGTTAGTCTACTCTCTCTCTCTCTCAGACTCTCACTATGTCTTTCAATAGCTTTTCGTTATTACTCTAGTAGCAGTGAGCTTAGGGGGTTTTGATAAAGTTTTAATTTTGTTAATGGGTTTTGCTCAATTTAAGGTTTTAGTCAAATTAGGGTTTATGATGGTTTGTTTGGGTGTAAATCCAGATATCTAAGAATAGGAGAGTCTCTGTGAGGAATTGGAATGGGAAGATTTGGATTGACATTCGTGAGTTTTATGTCAAGGACGGAAAGACTTTGCCTGGCAAGAAAGGTGAAACTTTTTTTTGTAAATTTAAACTATCTTCTTGCTCTTATAATTCACCACTGCTAGTAATGTAATGTGTTTCCTCATCTCTTAGTTTTTATCATTCGTTACTGTTTTGCTTTGTTAAGTTTCTGCAACTAGTTAGGATTTTTTAGTTGCAGTTCTTAAGGGCCTTATAACAGGCGATTTTGCTGATTGAGACTGTTTTATGTGTTTGTAAGGATGAGCGGAGATGGTGCAGAGTGTTTTCTTTTCAATAATAGTTTGTTGTTTTGTTTGGTTCTAGTGTTTACATAAAAACATTTTGATAATGATTTGCAATATCTTATGTTTTCAACTATATTAGTTTGCTTTCTTTGCATAATTATGTTGACAAAGGTTATCTCTCTATGTATGTTATACGTTGCAGGTATCTCTTTAAGTGTGGATCAGGTATTCACATCTCTCTCTCTCTCCCATTGTTTATGTCTCCTAGAAGAGTTTCTGTTTTCTTGTTATTTGCTTATTGCACAACTTTTTCTTAATGCAGTGGAACACTCTTCGGAACCACGCAGAGGATATCGAGAAGGCCCTCTCTGACCTTTCTTAGGTTTTAAAAATTGTATAATTGGTTGTACTTCTAGTAGAAGATGGCTCAGTTGTTATGGTTGTTTTGTAGAATAACACCATGTTCTCCAAGTGTAAGCTGCTTCAAATTAGTCAGTGTATCGAATCTATCTCTTTTGGTTCAAACAAGCTTTGGTTGCCATTAAGAAATGATTGCTCTTTTAAATGCTGTTGAATTTACAACTTAACTACGTTATAGGAATAATTGTTAACAAGATAAGGTATACTGTTACATTGTTACATAGCTCTTGCCAAAGTTCCCTTGATTGATCAAGACATTGTCTTAGAGAACAAGTTGATGTATCGAATTTATCACTTTTGGTTTAAGAAATATTTGATTGGCATTGAGAATGATTACTCTTTATTTGCTGTTGAATTTACAACTTGAGATAAGTTGCTTGAATATAAAGTATTCATTTGATAAATTATAAACAATATAGGTCTAAATGTTACATAGCTCTTGCAATATCTGCTCACTTGAATCTGGACATTGCCCTAGAGAGCTGGGACACTGAGAGATCCCACGTCAAGAACTCTGTGCAATATCTGACCAAACAGATCATAAAATGACAGATTATTGGGGATGATGATAACGAATTACAGATTTTTAAGGCATTTTCAAGGCTGAAGGAAAGGGAAGAGATTGATGTTATGTTCTTACCTCTCCAACCCTAGCATTGATTTTCAATGGAACAAGGTCATCAGCTCTTGTTTCTCCTATATTTACAATTGCAGTCATGGCACCAGCCTCATGAGCAGCTCTACAAAAGATATATAGAAAGTTTGTTAGTGACATGCAAACCCAAAACTCGATGAGTTTATTCTCTCGCATTACCTGACAAGGCGAAAAGCAGACATTGTCATTAACGATGAACCCAAGACGAGAAATGCATCGCTCTGCTTTGCAACTTCCATTGCCTGAGTAGCTCTTTCCTTCGGGATGTTGTCTCCAAAGAAAATTACCTTCAATAAAACCAAAGCATAATAAGAAACATAACCAAACTCTTTGTCTCTATCTCATAACGTTGATCTTACATCGGGCTTTAGGACCCCTTGGCACTTTTCGCATACTGGTATATGAAAACCCTCTTCCCAAAACTTTTCGTCAATCTCAATATCTCCATCAGGCCTTTGTTTCATGCCAAAACTCTTCTCAGATCCTGGATCTCCATGATCAATACTATCTATCGCTTCAGCCCACTACAGTAGAAACAACAACGTTCTGACTTTGCTAGATAATACATTATTAATTCAGTTGATTCGGGTTATGGTATACACTGGCCTTAGGATTGATAGCTTTTAGCTGATCCTGAAACAAGTCTCGGGGAAAAGAGAAGCCGCAATCTAAGCACATAACAGTATATACTGTGCCATGTAATTCAAGTGGATCGCTCCCAGCACGATGATGCAGCCTAAAAACTTAGAGCCGAGAGTCAACATTCTTCACATCCAACAGAGATCCCACAAAAGAAGGCAGGGATTAATATACCTGTCAACGTTTTGTGTGATCATAAAATTTATTCTTCCAGCTTTTTCTAGTGATGCTAAAGCAGTATGAGCTGGTCCTGGTTGTGCTGCAGTGAACCGCCTCCATCCGGCGTAACTTCTTGCCCAATACCGCCTACGAGCTCGGCTTGATCGAGTGAATTCCTGTGAAGCAGGTGGTAGACAATAGATTTAATACAATAATTAGATCACCCAAAGTTTGCATTAAGCCTCCTAAAAAAAATGATTTCATCGATCTTGCCTTCAGATCACCTGATGGGTAATTGGTTTGAAACCAGAACTATATGCTCCATTGGGACTGCACCAAACCATCACTCATCCAAATTATTACAAAATGGAACCAGATGTAAGGAAATGACATGGAAATCAAAAATCTTCGTCAAACTGAGACCATCTGAACGAGAATGCAGGCCATTTTCAAACCTTCTATAATCCGGAATTCCACATTCTGTGCTAATCCCAGCTCCGGTCAAGATAGTGAGTCTCGAACTGCAGGAGAAGAGGAAAGCTATAAAGATTAACAGATCATATATGGCCACTTCTTAAAAAGATGGCTAAGGAATATGAACCTTTGCTCAAAAAGTCGATACAACTTCTGGATATCTTCCATATGGGGAGGATCAGCATCTGGAACTATCTTTTTATCCCTCAGAAAGCTAGGAGGTGCTTTTGATTCATTTCCCAAAGAACCACCCGGGATCGAAACGAGACATGTTGTTCTCACAAAGCGTCTGCATCCTTTAAACAACAAAACCAAATTTCCCCTAGATTGCAGTGGTTGGTACATACTAGGCAACGGACACAAATCTGAAAATGCACATAAAACCTTTGCAACATTAACATAATTGCATAACTAAAGAAATGAATCGAACTAGCTTTAAGGCCACAAAGATCAGGAAGAACATCTTCATATATATTTACTCATACTTGCCTGTAGCAACCCCTCCAAACACTCTTCTCATGCTCACCAAAGCCTACATAAAAAAAAATGTAAAATGCAACCACTTTTACTACATAAGGATGAAAATTCCAGGGAAATGTGTATCCAATACATCCCCAAATTCAATAAAGAAGATCTAGCAACACAATGAGATTTAAGAAAAAAACAAAATTAAGCCACCAATCATATAGTTTCACTTTCACCGACAAGTAAATTCTATAAGAGGAACAACAATTTCACACAAAAACCAAAAGATGTTTCGTGAGGCAATACACATATAATTAAACAAATTTCTCAATATAGTAATATCTCCGCATTAGATACCTTTGAGAGGTCGTTAATGGCGGATGAAACGAGAGATTTCTTCAGTTTTTTAAAAAAAATATCAATTTTGCTTTAATTTCTATAGAAATTTTCAGGAAAAAAAAAGTAAGAGGACGAGGTGGCTAAAATCGGACGTCTGAAACTCATTCTGGCTGAGTAAGTAGCCACGTTACGCATTCATCCACCGTTAAATTTCTTTCACTTAACTAAACGGCGTCGTTGAAGGAAATAAAGTAGAAACCTAATAGCTTCTTGCTAGCCACCGTTCTCTCTTCCGTCTCCGACGATTTCTTAGCATCTCCGACGTGAGTCTTACTCCATTTTGCCGATTGTTCTTAGCGAAACTGTTTGGAGGGTCTCGATTTCGTTAGTGGAGTATTTAGATCCTGTACTTTACTGCTCTTTATGATTTCAAATATTTGAGGATGTTGCTTTTTTCTGATATCATTCGATTCTTTTCTACTTGACACTGTTTTTTTCTTATTGTGATTCTGCTACAGGAATGGTGATGTGTTGATGGAAGTTTCTTCAGAATTGATTTCACAATCTCGGGTAAGTCACAAACTCCAGCAATGTTGAATTGAAACGCTTCCTTACTAGGAAATGCTTTTGCTTTGATAAAATAAGTTAGGATTCAGGATTCAACTGAATCATTATGACTGGGTGATCTGAACTATTCATGATTACAGAGCTGAAGATTCTTGACTTGGAACAAAGATGCCTCACAGAACAAGGCCATTGAAGGGACTCTTGCTTTTTACTGGAATAAACTTTCTCTTGGTGCAGACCATTACTCCTGTCTATGACTTCGTCTGCTTCTTGCCTTACTGGGAGAGAAGGGTATGTTGTAGATTTTAACTCCAAAGACTATGAATAAATCGCTTCTGTTTTTCGTTATGTTCCAGTGTCTCCTAGTGTGTAGATTAACTTGGAGACAGTGATCTCTTTCTGTTTTCGTTATGTTTCTGTCTCTCCCAAGTTTGTAGATTAACTCATCTAGTTTATGATCATATACTTTGATAGAGGGCATTTTAGCTTATATTTCTTTAAGGGCTCGAATCTCTTTTATGGATATATTTGTCAATCTGAAAACGCAAGTCTCTGAGAGCTGATGTTCAGTTCACATATAGTGTGTTCATATGCTGTTATTAGATATTTTGACTCGAGAAAACTGTTCTGTGGATAATTGGGTAGCTATATTAGCTCTTTTTATCCCTCAGATTTTAGATACAAACTAGTTATATCACTAAATACTGAGACTGTTCGCTAATTATTCAGATGATGGAGTCTGTTTCTCATAAAAAGGTCATACAAGTTTCTTGGTGAAGCTAGCTATCTTGACACAGTAGGTTATTTGCATAGATAGCATGACATATGCTCTGAGTTTTACAACAAATTGGATCATGTTGCATTATCATGCGCTCAATTACTCTACTGTTATTTTCTCTGGTTTTTCTCCCATCTTCTGGCGTCTCATGTCATTACTGACTAACATTAGTTTTGTTTGTTTCTCTGTTGTTACATTGAATCTCTACAGAGAGAGCGAATCCGGCAGGAGCGTGAAGCGGCGGCTGCATCTTTACATAACACAAACTCAACACAGAAAACTACTCAAGCATCTGTTGGATGATGAACTCTCGACATTCCTCTCAATCTCTTAATCAGAATTCCTTTGTAAGAAACTATTTACCCTCTGATTACTGAATAAATGAGAAGACGAAGGAGGCATATTACATATCTTCTCTGAGCTTAGATCTATTAGTAGCACATCTTGAAAGTTTCTGAGCTGTTTCAAAACATGTGCTTTAATCGCAGATACTTTCAAAGATTCTGATCATTGACATGATTCAAGAACCCTACATGTTTGTGATAAGTGAGATAGGCTATTAGATAATGGAACAACATTATATGATATTCTTGAAATATGCTCTTTTTTTGGGTGGACAGCTCAATTATACTTATTTGAGGAGATTCTCTTTTATGCTAAACCATCCAAATTGCTCCTTTTTAATTAAATCATTGAAATGTCAGTGTCTCACTTTGTTTTAAATTCCATTTTACCATCACCATGTTTCTCAACACCTAACTCATTCATAATAATCAATTGAACGGAAACAACCAACACTAAGTACAAACTAATTTGATATTGAAATTACAAACACACGAATTTATATAATTTATAGCATACTTTAAAATTTTATTACAACGATAAAACCATACGAAATAAAAGCATACAATATACACATTTTTCAAGTTTTCTTTTGAATTGCTAGATATACAATAAATTTTACACACCAACTTTCTTGTTGTTCATCATGGACCATGATCATCAATATGTAGACTTGAAGGGCTTGTAGACCTTAAGATCAAGCATCACTCCGGCTATTGATCCAACTCCGGCGACCACCGAGATCACAAGACAAGCAGCACTAAGCATCTGTAAACACACCCATCTCGTGCTCCATTTCTCAACCTTCCTCTGCTTTATATACATCTCCACCGGAAAATAAACCGTCAAGGGCCAAAACCCTAACGCCCCTAAGATCCCAACCACATCGTTGAAAAACGGCATTAGCATCGATATCACGGTGGTTGAAACGACAAAGCCACACCGGTAAACTACCCTGAAAACGTTTGCTTTGTATGGAGACTTAAGTCCTGGGATTCTGATTTCAAATTCCTTGGTGAGGAAGTCATTGTCTGGATATCTCTCTGCGGCTGACTTTTCAATAAAGGCAAAGATGGGCTGAGCAAACACTTGGTAAGCTCCTACAAGGTGGACGACAATGGCGGCATTGGCTATGTCAAGGAGCCAAAACGGGTTGTAGAATCCGAATCCCGTGAGGAGGTTTCCAGGTGCTGCATCTCCAAAGGCGGCATAACCCATTGAGCCACATAGCATGTAGAACATAGTCGTGACAGCGATGCTGATTTTTGTAGCTTTCTTCATCGTTTTTGATTCTGCCGGTGGAGATCTTACGGTATCCTAGATAACCAAAACAAAAATAATCGATCAGCTGAATCTTTTGTGCAAAGAAAAGGATTCTGTTTTTTATACCTAAAAGATGAATCTTTTGTGCAAAGATAGACTTTTTATGTTATTTACCTGAATCTCGATTAGGACAACAGAGTATGAGTAGGCAAAAGCAATGTCTCCAAGTGCTTGAAAGGTTCTCCATATCTTTTGTGTTTGAGTCACTGTTCCGATGCTTATTCCAGTGAGACTCCCTTTGAAAACTCCATTTGCTGAGACAATACACATCAAGATTTAGCATTTTTTTAGATATTTCCGTAAAGATGATGGGAGTGTTTTGTACTTAATAATCACCTGCAACTTGAACGATTCCAAGAGCTAGACCAATGGCAGAGTAAGTGAAGGACATAACAGCTGCAACGATGGAGATCCACCAAATCTGGTCGAAGTCAGGAACCTGAGAGAGCAAGATCTCTGTCACACCAAATACGATCATGTAAGAATTGCTCGACATGTGACATGGGTCTTTTCCTCCACTCTTGTGGAAACAGTTCGATCTCTTGATCGCCCTACATGATCCATCCGAGTATGCAAATGTTAATATCCTTTTTCTTAGTTCCCTTATTTTTATTTTGTTGTAAAGAATGTTTGGAATAGGAAACAAAGAAACCAACTCACATCATGCTTATAGATGCTGCTATTGTGTATCCGACTGCGATACCAAAGAGGTTCAAGTATTGAATGAGCCCACAAATCTTGAACTTGAACCCACCTACAAGTAAACAGAGCATTTCAATACTCAAAACAAAAACAAAGTAAAAAAAGAGAGAGCGGAACAGAGTGAGCAAAACAGAGCATTCAAAAAATCCAATATTGATGGGTTCATTCACTAATATTGGTACCTAGGATTGATCGAACGGCGTCCATGTAAGTGTAGTTTCTCTTGCCAGACACTGCATCGCCGGTTCTGTAGCAATCGCTAAGAAGTGTCGAGGAGTAAAGAGTAACGAAAGAGAACAATAGCATCACCGCAGGTCCAGCGATCCATCCGAGCTGTGCGATAGCCCATGCTAATGACAAAACGCCGGATCCAATCACCGCTGTTATTATATGAGCGCTCGCGGTCCAAACAGTCCCTGCAATAAAAATACGTTTCGGTTTTGCGTTTTAGCGTTTTAGTGTTTTACGTTTATAAAGAAAAATAAAATGAACGTGTGACATTTATATTTGGTTTGTTTAAATCCTAACCGGTTCTTTTGAGGCGACCATCATCGTCGAAGCATTTAAAAGCTGGTTGTGTAGGTACGACATCGTTGCTGGCCACGTCGAAGACTTGGTGGCCGTGATGGTGTTGGTGACGGTGGTGATTGGCGGCAGCGGTTTCACCCATCTGTTAATTCAGTAACAAACCAAAATTAGCTATTTGGAACGTGGGAGAGTGAATCAAAACAACGTTTAGTGCAAGTTTTATTCAATTCGAATAATTTGAACCGGTATATTCCAAACCGAATATATATATATATATATATATATATATATATATATATATTACTACGAGGACTTTATTTAAGGTGGTTAAGAAGAAGAAGATAATCATTTGTGGGATATTAAAAAGGAGAAAATCAAATTTAGAACTCTTAGTTGAGCTTAAAAAATTGTTGAATGTTTTACAATTTCCTATGCAAATCTAGATATAGATGATATGGTAGAAATTTTGTTAACATTGTAAATAGTATAGTTTTATGTAAGTGTGAGAGAGTATTTGATTGAAGTATGACTTCATTTGAATGGGAAACTAGTAAAGATATTGAAAACTCGTTTTCGAATTGTAATGTTAAAATATAAGTAAAAATAATAGAGAGAAAGGTATAGTAATATACAGTACCTCCTCTTATTAATTGATGACCTTAAGAGAAGAAGTAAGACTATATATATTATTACAAAGCTATATATATGAACCAAAAACACAAAGAAGAGAAAAATAGAACTAAGGAGATGGGTGATGGATAGGTTTAGTTGCTGCTGCATTTTGATTTGTGTTTGCTCACCTTCTTATATAAGCCTTGGAAAGTGTGGAATATAAATTAATTAACTAAAAATTATATATGAAATGTTTTTGTGTATGACAAATTATTTCAAATTTGACAATATTTTGTTTGTTAGGTATATTTTTCGTCTTCTTTTGTTCTCGACCATCATTAGTGAGAGATGAATATAATAAAATAAGAAAGAATCGAATGCTTGTTTCTCCTCCGTACCTTTTGGGTTCTCTACTCAATCACTCACACTATTTATATTCATAATGAAAACAAAGTTGTGAAAACTCATTATTATGTACAAATATTTTTATAAATGTATAATCTAACGAAGGATATACGTACCAAGTGCTCAAATATTATATGATTAGAGAGAATTTATGCTGCCTAAGTGCTTAAATATATTATATATTAGAATGTTCATCATGGTGTTCCTCCATATAACGTGGAGTTTATTTCCAAAGGCCACGCGTAGGCGTAGTGTTTTGTTCGAAAGTGAAACGAAAAAGTTAGAAAAATGAATTATGAAAACTTTAGTAGTTTCGAGAATGATATTTGTAGACATGTACCTAAATATGAATACGACGAAAAACAAATATTAGGCTATGCATGGAAACGTCTTGAGAAATTTAAAGTATGGAATGTTTTCTTTTACGTCGTGTGGTTCAAAGTTTAGACATCAAAGTCTTAAGAGTTCTGACTATGAATTTGGATTTGATGTTTTGCACCAAAATTCATAATGGCTTTTTTTGACGTATTTGAGTAAGTCATATCCACCACTCGAACTTAATTAGTAGGTTAGTAGGTAGTCTGTGATCGATCGATCCCTTTCTTCTTTATGTTGTTCATATTTTACGAGGGTCATACTCATAGGACTTGTGCACAAGAGTAGACTTCAAGTATCAGTAATCACGAGAACCGGTATTTACGGAACACATCCTCTACAACTACACAAGTTGTAACGCGTGATGGTAAGTATGTACAATTTACCAAATTTCAACTTTAAACAAAGTGAAAAGCGCGACATTATTTATAAATAGATTTATAGAGATTGAGCAAGTGTACCAACACCGTCCAAAGGATGAAGAAAAAAAAAGTGACAACAGTATCGTAGTGATTGGTATGCATGACTATATTGACAAGAGAATCGAATTTTTTTATCGAGTGCTCCTATCCACCATTATATATCTTTATTATTATTTTAATGTAAATAAGAGAATCTTTGAAAATCATTCTCATTTAAAGAAGTTATTATGCATTCCAAGATTCTATCTTCATATACAATCCATACTATTTCCCTTTGCACCTATATGATTCGTCAAATTAAATGTCTATTTTTGTTGATAAATATACTAGCTATTTGCATTATTAAATTTATAAAAATTGGTAGTCGATGTTTGAATTTATACCTTGATGAAACATTTTGTGCAGCCTAATTATTGTAAAAGCTACAACGAAACAAGGATCATCTAAACTGGAATGATAAAACAATATTAAAGCTAAATACGATCAGAGTAGGATATTATCAAACTTGGATAGTGGATCAAGTAAAAAAGAGAAGTTACGACCCGTTTTACATGAATCACGAAACTAAGGCCCAATAATTCTAAGCTTTATAGTGAATGAGAGAGAAGGACAAGTTGGGCCGCCAAGTTGGGTAACGATTGATGGAGACAGACAGAGTGTGACAAATGGAGATTTTTTGACTTTCTTTTATTTTGGTTACATATCTTTCTTAAGTGCCCAATTGGGTGCAAACAAATTTAAACATATTTCTAACGTTTGATACTTGACATTTGCAATACAAATGTTTCCACCACAAACGTTAGTCGAATGCTTCGGGAATGCAAGTCTTATCTCAATTGTTATGTTCTCGACAACGAATTAATTAACCACCATGCATGAATCATGTTCGTTATCAGATGGAACAGAGTAAAAGTAACTGAAGGAGAATCAAGACTAGAGACAGACATGAGTCTTAACCAGTTCAAATCAAGACACAACGTTACGTCTCAACTTTGACAGCACATAGCAATCTACTATAAATTCTAAAAGAGTTTCATCACGCTGCACAAGGAGTCTTTATATAGAGATCAATATATAATTATATATCCGGCAGATTTGATCTGATCTCATTCTTACTACTTATCAACTCAGATTATCAATCTCGCGGTTACAACTTGAGCCAACCAAATGAAATTCAATATTACTCAAAACGTTCCAATTAAAAAAATGCTTTTTCACGGGTTGCAAACGTATGCTATATATACTTTTGTCATACATAAACACACACATCACACATGTACATGGAGAGGGAGAGATGTATAAATCCAAATCATTGTAGTATAAATAAGACAAGTAGTCATATGAATAGTAGAGGACATATATACTATGTGATACTAATTGTTGTTGACGATAGGTTTCTAAGCTCCGACAATGAGGTCCCAACTTGTCTCCTCCTTATCCAACTTCTCAAGCATATTCGAATATAAATTTCTATATACGACAAAACAAAATCCATCACAACAAAAATATACTAGTATATATAGTTTAAGGTCAAGTTCGGCAGCTATAACATCAAGTTCCACGAAGCTTCCTTCTTTTTTTGAATTCACACACATCGACTTAACAACAAAACACAAGTGCAAAAATCTATTTATTTATATAAAAGTTTGCTCTCTCTCTCTCTCTCTTTTTTTTGTGCACAATAATAAATTAAGATCAAGTCCAGATGCAGTTGATCTGGATTTCATACTAGTCATGCATTAGGTCTTATCTTTTCTTGATTTTATTTTCTATATTAAATATTAGTGGGCTTATCTTTTTCTAGTTATAGACTTGGCTGTTAACATCCATAATGACAATAAACGAGATTTTGATTTTCGTTCTTTTGACCTAAAATATATAAAACTTGATTTTGTATTTAAACAAAATTTGGATCTCTAATATACCACACAAAAAAAAAACTCACAAAATTTGTATATATCTTATATCTCTCATTGGCTTTTAAAACCAAATCAAACTCCATATTGGTGTTCCTAATTATAAATGGGTTTAAATGATGTGTATGAAATGATACGACTTATACTATAACTTAACATTCTTCTTAGATCAACAAAGAAATATCCTTAGTTGACAAAAAGCAAAAGGTCATACGTTTGACCAAAAATAAAAATAAAATGTATCGCCTAATTATTAGTTAAAAGGAAGGTTTAATGGGTAAAAGGGAAAGACCATAGATTATAATAAAACATTACTTAATTTAATTATGTTGAACCGATCATACTGTATATATAAAGTGTACAATAGTCGTATAGACTTATAGTAATCATCATATATGATAGAAAACGTAAGTGATGATCATAAAACGGGGAACAAGCCCACGTCATTTCTCTCATAACACACCTACTTCAGCTTTCTATTTCCAGATTTTTCATGTAATATAATAAATAGAAGAGGATGGATGGATCCATGTGTATTATTTTTTTTAAAAAACAATCACGAATCAAAGCTTATTGAATTTTTAATTGATTAGCCTGTAATGAAAACGGCTCTCAGTTCGTACCTTAATCAAAGATTAAACAAACTAGTTGCTAAAATGGTTCTCGTAAACACTTTTTTTTGTTTAATAATAAATAACCGGAAAACTCAAACAAATAATATTAGTCCTTAGAAATCTTTTATTTTTCAAATAGAGTAAGAAAAGAGAAAAAAAAAACAATTCCGGCGACTGCGATTGGCGATTGCAACGTTTAAAATGACATCATCCGTTGTGACGCAAACTTTTGTCAAAGAGGGAACTAATCTGGTGCGGAGAAACTCACCGAAACTATCAAAATGACACGAGTCACAAACTTCAACCCCAAGAAATGCTGACTTATCTTCATTTCAGTTTCATAAAAAAAAAAAAAAAGTACAAGGCTGCTCTCTCAGCTAAAATAAAAATAAAATGAAAAAGAAGAAGAAACATAGTAGTGGTAAGTAAAAGGAACAAAAAGAGATAAGATAGAGTGAGAAGCAGGCGATTAAGGTTTGACACATCAAATATACAAAGGGTCGGTCAAATATCTACCAAGTGACGAAAGCAGTGACACCAGCACAAGCGTTTCTCAAGTCGACCATCCACTCACACTGCGCCACGTACATATCCCAGCTGGCTGCGGTCAGCGTTGAAAAGAAAACGCTCCGTTTTGCCGCACGTGCCTTTTATTACCCCCCATTCGTGTCATCTTTCCCTTTTTCCCATTTTTTAAAATTTCATTAATTAAAATTTCGGCGAATTTCGTCCTTATAAAACCTTCATCCCCTCACTCACATAATCCTCGATTACACATCTTCAAGCTGACGACGACGACGACGACTAAGAGACAAGCAAGAAAACAACAACAACAAAACTCAGATACATCAGCTGGAAATTGAATTTTTTCTTTTCGAAGAGTAATCTAACAGAGATAATGAAGTCAGAGCTTAACTTGCCGGCTGGGTTCCGATTCCATCCGACCGACGAAGAACTTGTCAAATTCTACTTGTGCCGCAAATGCGCCTCCGAGCAGATCTCTGCTCCTGTTATCGCTGAGATTGATCTCTACAAGTTCAATCCTTGGGACCTTCCTGGTACTTACATACATCTAATCTATCTATGTCCTTCTTTACCATTTCTTATATAATCAAATTCGAGAGAATCATTTCTTAATTAAGTTTTTTTTTTCTTTTCAGATATGTCTCTGTACGGTGAGAAAGAGTGGTACTTCTTCTCGCCTAGAGATCGGAAATACCCAAACGGTTCCCGTCCTAACCGGGCTGCAGGTACCGGTTATTGGAAAGCTACCGGAGCTGATAAACCCATCGGTAAACCCAATACGTTGGGTATTAAGAAAGCGCTCGTCTTCTACGCCGGCAAAGCTCCTAAAGGGATTAAGACCAACTGGATTATGCACGAGTATCGTCTCGCTAATGTCGATAGATCAGCTTCTGTTCACAAAAAGAACAACCTACGAGTATGTTTTCTTCTTTCTTAGATTCTTCTTTTTTTTTTCTTTTTCTGAAGGATAATTTAGATTTGGTATTAACTTTCATTTTTTTTTTCTATTACACAGCTTGATGATTGGGTTTTATGTCGAATCTACAATAAGAAAGGAACCATGGAGAAGTATTTCCCCGCGGATGAGAAGCCGAGGACCACGGCAATGGCTGAACAGTCATCATCGCCTTTTGATACATCCGACTCGACTTATCCGACATTGCAAGAGGATTATTCCAGCAGCTCGGGTGGTGGTCACGGTCGCGTTGTGTCACCAGATGTTCGCGAGGTTCAGAGCGAGCCTAAATGGGGAGAGCTTGAGGATGCTTTGGAAGCTTTTGATTCTTCCTTGTTTGGTGGTTCCATGGAGTTGTTGCAGCCTGACGCTTTTGTTCCCCAGTACTTGTTTCAGCCTGATTACTTCACTCCCTTCCAGGATCCACCTGAGCAGAAACCATTCTTGAATTGGAGTTTTACTCCACAGGGATAAAACCAGAGGAGACTATAATTTGTTTGCCTGTATATGCCAGAGAGAAGAGTCTCATCTCAACTCATCCCTGGTACTTGGCAGTTAAAAAAAGATTGTAGAATGTTAATAGGTGTTAGCATCCATGTCTCATTAGTAGGCAAATTCTTGTTATTTCATGAAAAAACTTTATATAAAAATATTCAGATTCTTCAAGGTACAGCTCTTATGTAGATACTGATATAAAGATATATAAGCCTAACCTTTACAACAATTCTTGCATTCCAAAAGTTTTTTTGTTTTTTGTAAGTTTCATTTTCTTAAGCGAGTCGATTTCCTCACTGCTGGTGTTGCTATGTCTCGGAGTCTTTTCATTCTCGTTTTCTTGACCTGTGGTTTCTTTTGTGAACAATTATATCTTTCCTTCTGTTCAAGCTGTTTGGAGGTTTTTCCAGATCCATTGATCTCACAAGGAGTTTTTTTCATCTTGGGATCCTCTCTGCAAAATCCTTTGCTTATTCCTACGGTTTCACCTCCTGGAGATTTAGCATATGGAACCATGGTTTCATCACTGGAATCGATGAGCTCAGATAGCTGGCTTTGTATCTTTTGGGCAACTTTCCACAGTTCTTTGCAGCTTTCCTGTGGATTAAGAAATTGCGACAACAGAACGGACTCAGAACTGGTTTTTCATCAGCTAAAAACACAACAGTGACATGAAGTAACAGGGATTTTCGACCTCACCATTGATAGAGGCAACCAAGAAACATCATTAATTTCTGAAACAGCCTTGTTCAGCTGGTCTTTCTCTCTGCACTGTTTCAGCATTTTCCTATTTTTCCAACCCCAAAAAGAGAAACATGAAAATAAAGCTAAATCAAAGATGAGTAGAAAAACAGGTAAAGAGGGATCAGAGCTTACTCTAGGGCAATGATATTGTCGCATGCTTCGGTTTGGCACTCCCGAAGTTTTTTATATGCTCCACTCTTCACTGCAACACATGCTTCTTTCATCGTGTTATATGTCCTACAGAGTTTTGCTTCTTCACCCGACTCTTCTATCAACACATTGTTTTGCTCAGATAGAACAGCTACTTCATATAATTCACTTTCTTCACAGTTTGCTTCAATCCTACCTTCAGTCTCGCTATTTTCAAGAGCCACTTCTGGTTCTCCAACAACTCCCTGTTTCCTAGGAGTTTCAACAGTCGAATTCCTTAAACCTGATTTGACTCCATTATCTTCTGTGTGCCTTACTTCAATGACGTTAATGGCACAACATGCTTTACGTTTGAGGCTGGTTGGGGACTCAGTCAAACTCTGTTCTTCCAATAAATCAACCTTAGGATCCCCAGATTTCAAAATTTCAACACAATCTTCCTCGCTTTGGAGAGTCATAACCTCATTCGCGGCAAGCTGATCATTAGTTCTCACAGTTATCACAGCGCTCGTTTTTTGAGCATCAGTGGAGGCAACAGTATTCTTCTCTTCCGGAAGAGAGTAACAGAAGGTGTTGCAGTCATAAAGTATCTCTTTTTTCTCCACAAGCTTAGCTAAATGATGAATGAGCAAACTCGTGTGAGCAAATGGTAAGTTCTTGTACTTGGACTTAATAAACTCAGATATCGCTTCTTCACAGGAGCCACCTTCTGTATTCAAATCCATGATAGCAACAAATATCATCTGAAACAAATTTATAGTCATAAGAACACAGCAGAGACAAGTATGTGTGTATTTATTGCACATAACAGATGACATAATTTCATACATACAGCGGAATAAGTGGGATGATCAGGAGTACGGGATAAACAAAGATCCAAGAATTTCTGGTCGAAGAGTTTAGTCTCAGGAAGGGAAAAGCCTCTTGAATTCGCCAAATTCACCATAAAAGCTCTCAGATTCTCAGCTTTTCTTTCATGTGCCTGTCCCTCAACCAAAAAACAGATTCATAGTTAACATTCAAATACAATGCATAAAACTATGGAATCGAGCAAATCTATATATAGCTTATGAACAACTCAACCACTACATAATCGTACAAATTTTAAAACGAGATTAGAATAACAAACAGATCCATAAATTACCAGCAGAAGAAACCCAAATCACAGTAATAGAACGTAGTGTGAGTAAGAGATCAGTAGTTTAAAACCCAATTTGACAAAACATATATCACAAACACGTTGATAGATGCTGACAAACTAAAATTTGTTTTGTTGTTGTTTCAAACTATACAAAATTACATAGCAAAAGAAAAATAAGAAGCAGAGTTACACACCGTAGACAGTAACGTAGCAGAAGCCGCCATGGGAGAAGAATCGAAGCTCTGTTGTGTACGCAGAGTCGGCGCTTAAACCCTGAAGGCGAGTGAGTAAGGAAAAACTTGCCATTAATGTTGATGGACAATTTATATCAAATAAAACCAAAGTAGACCGAATTAAACCGATCTCGATCCAAATCAGGTATTTTATTTGATTTAAACCGATCGGTTATGTTTGGTTTTTAGGAAAGCAACACTCCTAAAGAGGAATAAAAACAGCCAGCCTAACGAAGAAGACGAAAGCGTAAAGAGGGATCAGAAAACCAGAACAATGCTTCCATTAAAGCTTGCTCGATCTCTTCTCCTCCACGAGACTCTCAATCTCAGTCATAATTCCGGTGATACAGGCGACGGAGACGGTGAGGAAGACGCAGAAACCAGCATCCGGCAAATCCTAAGCAGCTCATACAAGCAATCAAAAACCCGATCGAGATCCGAGAAGAAACAGAACAACACGAGAAATTCGAAAACCCCATTGCTCTACTTCGTTCCAACACGAGAATTGATCGCAGACACCTACCGATTAGCCACAGTCGCAAGAGATCTGGGTATGGATTTGTACCCAACACCATCGCTCTCTCACATCATCTTCTCATTCCCGCCGCGGGAATCGAAATCGCCGTCGCCTTTCTCTTCTTCTTCTCATCCTTCGACGTGGTCCTCGTCGGCTTCGTTGTCATCGTCTCTGTCGTGGTCACTTCCAGACGACGCCGTAATGCTCTCATTCCCATCTCTCTCCGCCTCATCACTCTCGCACCTCCGATCCTTCGTCTCCCTCTCCAACGGCCTCTTCAAACTCGTCTTCTCCGCCGGCGCCGTGGAAACGTCTTCCTCTGCCTCTGCCTCGTCATCCGGAACAGTTAGCAATTGGGATTGCTGCTCCGTTTCTCTCTTCTCAAGGATCGCTAACAAACGAATCGGATCGATGGAGAGTTTCTCGAATGAATTGGCCTCAAAAGGATGGTCAATTTACAAGACGAAAGAGAATCCGTCGCCGCCGGAGTCGACAAGCAGCTCGGTGTATCTGTTTAGGAAAGTGTATACGGGTCGGATCATGAACCGAGAAGGGAACGGGTCGTGTAGAGTAAGAGAGCTGAGACTTCCTCAATTGGATTTCAGGAACGCTCCTCTACGGATTCTGCAGTATTTAATGTTGATGACTGATGACATCTTCTTCCTTGCGTAAATTTTGTGTTTTTGTCTTTTGTTTCTTCAATGTAATGTAACAATCTCTCATTGACAAAGATTTAGGCTTGTAAATTTTACATCAAACTTAAAAAAATCCACAGAGTTTCTAGTCGTTATTACGCTTTCACTCTCCTACTCTCTTTTTCTCCGATCTTTTAACATATTCAGCCTAAAACATTAATGTTTATATTTTTAAAACTTATTTTGGATTTATAACAATTACCACAATAATACTGTTTTTGACTCTTCTTGTACGTATTACGGCACAAATACTACACAGCCTTTAACCTATTTTCTTTGGCAATATCCCTTAAATCATTAATATATTGCTTTCTTGCCACTCCCCATATCATCACTCATTGAGACTCTCTTCTCTTAAGGGTCTTTTCCTTTGGGTGACTCAGAGGGCAGTGTTACAGTAGTCGGTGGCGGCATGTGACCTGGTAACAATATGGGCAAGATCATATGATTAGGCTCTTTTAAAAACTTAAAACGTTGAACATTGATGAGTCAGTAACACCCCAGTAATTTGGCTACGAATTTCGGTTCAGAAATTTACTTGATGGTGGACTTGCAGGAAATTTATTGGCAAATCCAGAATCCGAATCCCTAGCAGTAACTAGGAAACCAAAAACAAGGGTTTAGCATTATGTAAGTGTTGCTATATATAATATCCATGTGTAGAATGAATGAATATAACAGAAACTTTTCATATAACGTATATTACAGATTTATAAAACCAATTGAACACACAGTTTAAAATTATGCGTTGAGATGTTTAAATACTGACGTGGGTGATGTTTGGCCTCGGCGATACCAGCTTGCGAAGAAAGACATAGAAGCAAAGATAGAAGAAGAACAATTACATATGATTTCTCTTTAGCCATTTGTAAGTACTTGATCGTCTTTGTTGCATTGCATGAAATGGTATTTATAGATACAGGAATAGAATGGAGCATCGGACTCAACTCACCCAACTATATTCCAATTTAACGCGCCTTTGCCTTATACTGTTATACACTGACTAACGACCTATTATTAGCCATTCTTTCTTTCGCTATCCAACAAATGCTCAAGACTCTGAAGTCCATTTCTTGTTTTTAGATAAAGGCTCTAATAGCTCCAAACACAAATAATTGTGCTGTAAGTTAACTTACTCTTCAAAGTAGAACACAGTATTTTTACTGTTTCTTTCTTCTGTTAAACTTACTTTGAAAACTACAAATGCTAACACAATCACTCACAAAAATAAGTAGAGACAATCATGAATACTTGTGAGTTGTGACTGAGAGTGTAAAGACTAAAGAGTGCCATCAAAAGTCAGGCCTAAGAGTAAGAGTACCATAACCAGAAAACAACACTAAAGGGTTGCAATATAACATAGTTGTGTAATGGATTTTTTTCTTCTATAATAACATATTCATTCAGTTTCCTTTCTTCTTCTTTTTTTTTCCTTTTTCTTGTCATTTTGATAAGAGTAATTAATTGTACATTTTGCGTCTTGAAAGAGAATAACGTAAATGATATTGACAGAGACCAAAAAAGAGTAGTAAGTAACACGAGGATAAGGATGACAAAGAGAGTTTATCATGTGGAGGAGTGAGAAGCGTGTGAACGTGAAGCCCAAATGCCAAACACAAGAAACCAGAACACGAACAAGATTGCCCAGTAACGTGCTGGTCCGTACCTGATTCTTGTCAGCACAACCTGTTTTGTTATTCCAATTTTTTTCAGTTACATTTTTCTAATTCACTACAGATTCCAAGGAACAAAGGAAAATGAAACTTTCACTTACGAATCTGAAGAAGATGACTACTGTTAAAGCACAGAGACCACCGAGAAGTATGTGCAGCCCGCTCTTTGCAGTTCTCTGTGCAAAGGTTTAAGAAAACCATCTTATCAGACTTTAACGTTCTAAACACAGAGGATTATATGGGACAATCAAAGTGTGATCAATTTACATAGATACCTTTCCAACACGAGGAGCAATGAGCCAAGCCAAAGTAACTGTGAGTAATCCTGTAGCGAGTAGTATCCCGGTACCTTCAACCGCCCATTTAGTTGCACGGCTTTCCATAGGCAAGATATCAAAGTTTACTGTACCCAAAGGTTGTTCAGATGTAAGCTGAGAAGAGGCCGCCCCTGCAGAAGCGGAATTACTACTATTGTTGTTGTTGTTTGAATAATGCGGGCCAAACCATAACGAAATCTCACTAAGCCGTTGCCTTCGAATGGCTGCAACTGCATCAGGGTCAATCCCTGAAGAACTCATGTTGTTGTTAACCGCCAAAGGATTCGGATCTCCATCTGCTGTTCTTTCCCTAAGTGCTGCGTAATCTTTCAAAGAGATAACCACTTTGTTGAAATCAACTGTTCTTATATTCTCAGCGGTTTTTCCACATATCTCACAAACAGTTGATCCGTGGTTGACGAACCATTTTAATGCACAAGCATAGTGTACCAAAGCGAGATCGTTTTTGCAAGAACATCCAAGTTCTAGCAACTTATCTCGATGCTGCCAAGCACCCATTTCTATATCGTCGTTTGAGCAAACAAAAACTTCTCCATCGGGACTTACCAGTTCAATGAATCCACTAGATTTGACAACCGAGCTTTTCTGATCAACGGTTTCTTCACCCGCATTGCTTTTACGAGGATCTGAAACTGGAGGAGTAATACCCAAAAACCCTAAAGCGGCATCTCCCCTTCTATCAGATTCTGCACATTGGCATACACGGCAAGTTGGTAAACCAGTGTCTTTGTCTGAACTGTAACGTGGTGCCTCATGTTCTTCGTTCTTGATAGGTGGAGAACCGTGATCACTGACTCCACAATCGGTGGTCTCCAACTGATTCTCTTTACCCATCAAATCCAAAAGCAACCAAAAACTTGATACCTCTTTACAGCACAACTAAAACCATCTCTCCAAGACCAAGTTCCTTTATAGCCACCTCCTTGTAAACAATTCTACTCCACAGACATCCTTTCGACAACTAAAGGAACAAGTTTTTCCCATCTAAAAAAAGACCTTCACAGCATCTCTATACGACAAGACCCAAAGCTCCTGCAGCTGAAACACACACAAAACCGCCAGTTTTAAATTTCGAAACAGGTATTGAGATTATACAACAAAGTGAAAACATAAAGACATGAACACAAAGGAGAATCAAGAAGCAAAAACACAAACAAAAAATGGAATCAAGCTTAAAGAAGTATCAATGAGCTTTTTCTGAACCAGAACAAGAAGAGAAGAAATGTCTAACAAGACGCGAAAAAGACGTAGCAACTATAATATATATGAATAAGATCAAACGAACCTATCAGATCATGAGAAGAAGCACTACTAAAAAAGCATTTCAAGACAGCACAAAGAAAAGATGTCTGCAAACCAAAAAGATTAATTTTTATTAGTAGATTGTAACGGAAAAGATATCAATAATGCATAAGAAGAAGACATAATTAAAAAAAAAAAAAAAAAAAAGCTTCAAACAAGGATTCCACCAAACTCCCACTGATGAATAAATAAAAATTAAAGATTTTTAAAACTTCATAAAAATCGTCACTTTCATAAAAGGGCAGCTCATCTCCTTCATCCATGAGTTACACACACAGTCTATGATAAAACTCAAAGCACCAAAACTTAAAAAACATATATTGATCTAAACTTTACAGAATCACAGAACAGAGCAAAAGAGGAGGGTAATAATAAAAAGAAAGATGTGCAATTGCAAGTAGCAAGATCAAGCACATGCTTTCGATTTTTGTAAGAAACGAAACGAATCAATTGATAATAAAGAAGTACCTCCGGAGAATCTGGGTAGAGAGATGGAATGATGATACACAAAATAGAAAGAAACCCAAATGCGTATCTCTCTATCGATCTCGGCGGCCTAAAAGTAAGGGAAATTGGGAATTAGGTATTGGGATTTATCAAAGGAAGAGAAAAATCTCATCCTTGTCTGTAGAGGGGAGCTTCCGTTTCAGATTTTTGTTTTTTCCTTTTTTTTTTTTTGTTCTTTCTTCTTTTTCCACTCTTTTCTTTTTGCTCCCTTGTCTTTTAATTTTTATTTTGTGTGTAATAGATCTTTAGATGTAAAAAGTGATAGTTTCTTCTCTTCTTTTGCCACTAACACCAACCACTCGTATTCTGAAAAGTGTTGATTGTTCTTTTTCTTGTGTTGTTTTTTTTCGTTTTTGGTTGGATACATAAAAAAAAATAAAGTAAATAAACAGGCTTTCCTCCAGGAAAACAAAACTGTTGGGATTCCCACTAAAAAGAAGATTAAAAAAGCAAGCGCAGTTTTGCTATTGGAATCTGATCATTCAAATTCACCCATACTATACATGAATAAGATCAAACGAACCTATCACCTTTTGCAAATAAAATCTAGAATTTGACATCGCAAGTACTCAAATCAGTAGTGAGGTTTCTGTTGGTTGACTAGAGTCTTTGGACTGATGATGAATGGTCAACAATCAATTTTTGCCATATTAACAACGGATAATCATGTGATACACTCACTACTTGACTTACCGCGCTATTTTCACCTGTTTTTTAACCGCAATCGCAAGTTTACAACGCTAGTCTCCAACCGCTTATTTTTGGCAGTAGGAGCGTTTTCTTCTTTTCTAGTCGTCACTCGTCACATTTTGTACAAATTGCGGAGAGCGTGGAACCCAAAACATCCATAAAAAAACGAGAAGCCTCAAATCACTTCCATCTCCGGCACACCTTCCGGCAATATTAATTGTCATCAATGGCCCTTCTCTCCTCCGTCTCTTCTCTCCTACCCTTCTCTTGTACGTTCTTCTTCTCCTCAATTCATCTTGCTTATATTTCTCTCCTTGATTCTTATCTGTGTTCTACTCCTAATCGTCGTAACCATCTCCGAATTGGGTTTTTCCGGTCAATTTGAAAAATTTAGATCCAAGAGTGTAGCTTTTTGAAAGCTTGATTAGTGAGTGTCAAAGATGGTTCGATTTAATATCTGTTTGTATCCAAAATTTATTGAGAAGAAAGATCTTCTTACGATTCCTTTGCTTACTTGAGTTCCAAATTATACTGCTTTCTCTTGTCTAAAGATGAAAATTGAAACTTTTGTTGTTGTTTCGTAATGTGTTTCAGATGGGGCAAATAGACTAACTAGTAAAGCCTCTTTCGCTTCGATAACTTCTGGATTCAATCTCTCTTCTCGTTGGAACTCAACCAGAAACGTCCCTAGGTTGCATCTTTCGAGGGCAGTGACAAACAGCAGTGGCAACACAGAGGTTTCTGAGAATGAAGCAGCTCCTAGGACTTACACTTGGTCTGATAACAAGGTTCTTACCTCTCTAGAACGATGTATTGAAATTTCTATGTTTCACCTGCTGATTCCACAACTTAATGCATGTTAAAGCTCTCTCTTTACAGAGGCCAAGGGTGTGCATCTTAGGTGGCGGGTTTGGAGGATTGTACACAGCTCTGAGATTAGAATCGCTTGTGTGGCCTGATGACAAAAAACCCCAGGTGATGTTTATGCTAGTTCAAGCAATCTGTTGCATAATACTTATGTTTTGAATACATTGTAATGTTCTTATGTTTATCAGGTGGTTTTGGTTGACCAATCCGAACGTTTTGTGTTCAAGCCGATGTTGTATGAACTTCTCTCTGGAGGTAAAGTTAGTTTCTTTATGCTTGACTTATCTTTGATACCTTTTTTTTGGTGTGATGATTTAGTGTCCAGCTCCTTTGATCTGCAGAAGTTGATGTGTGGGAGATTGCTCCTCGTTTCTCGGATTTGCTTACAAACACGGGGATCCAATTTCTCCGAGATAGAGTAAAAACATTGCTTCCTTGTGACCATTTAGGAGTGAATGGGTCTGAAAGTTTCGTTACTGGAGGAACCGTCTTGCTTGAAAGTGGTTTTAAAATTGAATATGATTGGTACTGTTTTACACAATCCCCATAAATTTAATGCAATCTGTCTATTCTCTCTTGTCTACAAACTCTTATTGTGTGTGCAATAAAACCATGCACTTAACACGGATATTTGGACTCATTATCTTTCTTTTCTACAGCCAGGTTGGTTCTTGCTCTTGGCGCTGAATCTAAACTCGATGTTGTTCCCGGCGCAATGGAGTTGGCTTTCCCATTCTACACTCTTGAAGATGCTATTGTAAGAGTTAGGAGTGCCCTCAGTTTGGATTTTTTGGTTTATGAAATATAGAAACTGATTTGGCCGGGTTGATAAGGTTTTTGCTTTGGTTGAGATTGGTTAAACCGAATTGTACGCTATTTTTCTTGTTTTACTAACTCGTGACTGCCACTATGTTACTGCAGAAGCTTAACGAAAAGCTGAATAAATTGGAGAGGAAGAATTTTAAAGATGGCTCTGCCATAAAAGTTGCTGTTGTTGGCTGCGGTTATGCAGGAGTAGAGTTGGCGGCTACCATATCTGAGAGACTGCAAGATCGTGGAATAGTGCAGTCCATTAACGTATCAAAGAATATACTAACATCAGCCCCTGATGGGAACAGGGAGGCGGCCATGAAGGTACTTTCGTTGCAATTGCATCCTCCTTTTGATTGGACAGCGTAAAAGATGCTAATAGTATCCTTTTGGATTGTGGTTAGGTCCTTATGTCGCGAAAAGTCCAATTACTCTTGGGCTATCTTGTTCAATCCATAAAGAGAGCAAGCGACTCAGAAGAAGATGAAGGATATCTGTTAGAGCTTAAGCCCGCAGAAAGAGGCTTAGAGAGTCAAATTATTGAAGCAGATATAGTGTTATGGACAGTCGGTGCTAAGCCTTTGCTTACCAAACTTGAACCCTCGGGTCCCAATGTGCTTCCTCTGAATGCTAGAGGACAAGCAGAAACAGACGAGACCCTCCGTGTTAAAGGACATCCACGGATTTTTGCATTAGGTGATTCTTCTTCTCTAAGAGACTCTAATGGAACGCTTCTTCCTACAACAGCTCAGGTGAGAACAAAAAAAAACTATAAACACTCCACAATTTGATCACATTCATGCTTCAGAAACTGAATCAAGAGTGACACGGGAAACTAAAATTTTCAGGTTGCTTTTCAAGAAGCAGACTTTACTGGCTGGAATATATGGGCAGCCATAAATAACCGACCATTATTACCATTCAGGTAAAACTAATAGACTTTTTTACTGGTCTGTGTACTGAAAACAGAACTTTAAGCTCTGTTTAATCTTTTGTTTCAGGTTTCAGAACCTAGGTGAGATGATGACTCTTGGAAGGTATGATGCTGCTATTTCGCCAAGTTTCATTGAAGGGCTTACACTTGATGGTCCAATTGGTCACGCAGCAAGAAAAGTGGCGTATCTGATTAGACTACCAACTGATGAACACCGGTTAAAGGTCGGAATCAGTTGGTTTGCTAAATCTGCTGTTGATTCCATTGCTTTACTTCAGAGCAACCTGACCAAGGTTTTGTCTGGTTCATGATCTCTCTTTTTTTTTAGTTTTGCTCTGGATATTATATCGTTGTTGTATGAAAGAAAAATTTGCCACTTTGTGTGCTTTGTTGGAAAATCATTTGTATAAAATAAAACTGACTCTGTGTGAGACACAAACAGGTCATATCAATGCCAATGAGAAAGTTGGAAACAAAAGATTTTGTCGTTGATCGTGTTGACTAAACTCTTAAGCAAATACATATGAGCCACATGGGCTTTCAATCTTACGACCTAATTATTATATAGGCTCACATTTGAGCCCAGTCTGATCAAGTTCTAAGACTTTGGGCCTAACACAAACATCCTTATATTTAAATTTTTTTTATTTGTTCAACTTTCAACGGGACTTTGATACTCGCGTTCTCATTTTTCATCTTCAATTTTTCAATGGGACTTTTAAAATACATACTCCTTCATGAACATTGTGATAATTTGCAAACCTACGTTTTTTTTTACCACATCGAATTTCTTATCAGTAGAGTACATAATGATAATGTATAAAACGAATTCGTTCATACTCGAAGATAACTCAAGATTTTCAAACATATATTATTCGACATGTATATGTTTTGCCCATTAGTCCAATTTATATTTTTCAAGCTTTGGACATATATTTTGTTCATCCAAAGCAACTTTAATTTGGACATGTGAATACACTATGTTAACGTGCTCGCATCTAGAAGTCCACCACTTTCGTAATCCAACTATACTATCAAAATAATTAGTCAACAAATTGCTTATATAAGTAGTTTGACACACTTGTTAGAAATAAGTTTCTAACCATGTCATGTAACAATCCAATGCTATAGCCTAGTGATAAACATTGTGAACAAGTTTTTATTTGTTTTTTTTACCATATATCATTTTTGTACATATATTGTTTGTCATCCAAATCAATTTCATTTTTGACATATGAATATACTATGTTATTGTGCTCGCATCGAGAAATCCATCACTCACATAATCCAATAATTATGTAAAAAAAATGTTTACAAAAGTAGTCTGACACATTTGTCAGAAATAAGTTCCAACCATGTCCATTGTCAGAAATAAGTTATAACCATGTCCAATCCACGTGGAGTGGACATGGGTGTAACGGTCCAATGTTATAGTCTGATGATAAACGTTATGAGAAAGTCTTCATTTGTTTTTGACCACATATCAATTTTTCATACATATAGAAAGTAATCCAATCTATTAGTACTTACAGATTACTATGTGACACCCGTCGATCGGAGAAAGATAGTTTGACTAAATTAAATTTCCTTTAGATTTTTATAGAGAAAACTTTAAATCATTGCTTGTTTTGAATGAGTAAAAACAAGTTCTTTCATAAATGTGAAACAGAAAATTAATGATAAATTCACATAGTACCTAAATTTGCTAAAAATAATGTATTTGTTTCTATAGATTTTTATGAGGTAACTTTTCCAATTTTGTATATAAATACCCCTTGCTAGCTTGTAGTCTCATATACTCACACAAGTGTTTCTCTCTGTTCAACAGTCTTCCTTATCCTCCATCTCTTTGGGTTGAGTGTTCTTCCTTGATCCCCAAGCTACCATACACCTTACCCTTCCAGTTCAATCCGCAGGTAAGTAACTACAAAACCGCCTCCATCGATCAACAAAATTTCTCCGTAGTATAGTAAAGTCTTTAATTTCTTTATATTTCTCTGCAGCCATGGAAGCCGGTGGTCAGAGATACTCTGTTCTTGTGAAAAGCGAAGTTCGTGAGCAGATGGTGAAGGAAATCGATCAGATCTCGGAGGTCTTCTCGGTGTCAAAGTCGGATGCAACCGTAATCCTAACCCGTCTCCGATGGAACTCGTTTAAGGCCTCAGATCGTCTTGGTGACAACAAGGAGAAGTTTCTGGCGGAGTTAGGGCTGGTTCGTGTTGTCGATTCCAACTCTTCTTCTGCAGATCGTGAGAAGGCGACCCTTTCCGATGGTACCAATGGAGATTACTTTGTCTCCACACCCTTTTGCTCACACAAGTTTTCAAAGACTTGCTGGAGTGAATATCTCACCGATGCTCTGGAGAAGAACAAGGAGGAGGGAGGACTCATCATCTCTTGCCTGAACCAAGACTGTGTCGCCCCCGTTGGACCTGATACCATCGGAAAACTCAGTGAGCCAGTGAAGGATATGTACGAGGGATATCTTATGAAATCCTTCGTGGAGGGCCATAAGGCAACGATCAAATGGTGTCCTGAATCGGGTTGTCAATACGCCATAGTGCTTCAGGAGGATACTGAAGTTGATTTCGGTGTGGTCTGTTTGTGTGGCCACACCTTCTGTTGGACATGCGGGCTTGAGTCACACCGCCCGGTGACCTGCAAGAAAGCATCAATTTGGTGCAAGTACCTGTTGGATCATTCAAGGAGCGTTGCTTGGATCAATAGCAACACCAACCCGTGTCCCAACTGCAGCAGTCCTGTGCAGCAGAATGGTGATCCTGCTTACAGGCTAATCGAATGTATCTGCGAGTATGGGTTTTTTTCCTCTCTATATTGACAAACATGTTGCAAAGCTTAGATCTTTAAACTAAATATGATGTTTTCCTTACTGTTATGCATGATGTATCAGGCATAAGTTCTGTTGGGTCTGCTTACGCACGGAGGAAGAGCATAACGGGATGTGGAATTGTGCTCCAGTCGCTGATCCAGTGGCGAATTCTTCTCCGAGTGAACTCACTCAGATTCTCCACCTGCAACTCTGGGAGGCAGACCAGAAAGCATTGGAGGAAGCTAAATCCAAACGGAAAGACCTTGAGGAAAACATCATTCCGAAAATAGTGGAGATATGCGGACTAAGCGAGCAGGACCTTAAGACAGTAAGAGAAGCAGGGATGCTAATTGTTCAGTGCATCCAGGTACTGAAATGGAGTCGTGTGTTTGACTACTTCATAAACGAGTACGAAAGCACGAAGAAGCAGTACCTGAAACACCTACGAGATCAAGCGAGCGCAATGCTTCGGATGCACGGATGGAATCTTGGTAAGGTTTTAGAGGAATCCCTCGTAAGAAGAAATGTATATTGCTCAAAGCACATGTTGGAAACCAGTACAACAACCACTGGTAATCACTTTGATGGATTCGTCAAGGAGCTGGAAGATGGAATGCCACAAGTGAAGACTGAAGCATATGAGGATGGACCTGGACCGAGCATTCACTGGCTCTGCCGTAGGTGCACGTTCGAGAACAGCTATGTTGATAAACATTGCAAGATGTGCGCTTTCCCGCTGGTCTCTCCTGCGCCTCCTCCTCCTCCTGAAGACCTTGGAAAAATGGAGTGAGAGCGAATGATGAGTAAAAGACATGTCTCATCAAAGTGATTGGTGCTGGTTTCGTTCTATGTCGTAGCTTCTCTTGTGTTGATTTGGGTTTAAGAGTCTCCTTTGTTTGTCCCCCGTGTGTTGGATCATCATCCATCATATTGGTTTAAGAGTCTTGTTGCATTTGTCTTTTCAAGTCTTTTGTTTTTTTCTTTTTGTCGCTGTCTAAAGTTTCAAGTCATATTGTTTGTTTTGAGTCTATGTTTGTGTTTCCTTGTTATAATAATTTTTGTAACATGAAAATGCAAATATACAAAGAAACAATATTGTCGTTTAAATCATGTCTTGTGTCTTGAATAAAAATAAAAAAAAATCTATGGGAGAACACAAAAGTGATTTTTCAACCATACATCTGTTATTAGGATAAAATAAATAAAAATATCAAGTGGCTGAGAAAATGTAACGGTAAAATATAAAACAACACTCTGCAGCAGAATCTTCTTCACCCACGAACACTGACTGAGACTGACTCATTTCGTCGAACACCTTTCTCTAATGTCAGTGAGCAAACTTCCACATGTCTCCCATGGCGGCGTTCACACTACCGATTTCCTCAATTTCACCAACGAACCGGTGGTTTTGAGTGTATTGGTCCCGTTTCCTTCTCGGATTCGAGTATCCTCTTCCATTTCCACCCCCGGGGTCGTTAAGTGCCACGGAACGAGACATAGCGCCGGTGGAAGAGGTGACAACGGGTTGAGGAGAGAGAGCGGATTAGGTTTCGACGAGAGAGGAGAGAGGATAGTGCGGTGTGAGGTTGATGTGATCTCGTGGAGGGAGAGGAGGATAAGAGGCGAAATCTGGGTCGATTCTGATTCTCAATCCGTTTGGAATGTTCTTACCGATTACGAGCGCCTTGCTGATTTCATCCCCAATCTCGTTTGTAGGTACTTTACTCTGTAATTCCCCACTTTTTTTGTGTGTGTGTCTGTTATATCTACATAATTCTTCTGGGTAATCCAATTTTTGTAGTCTAGTTGTGCTTAGAATGCTTTCTAGTGACTTTAATTCAGGGAAATGCTGAATCTTAAGGATTGGTTATCTCTCTTTGTTGAGTAACGATATATGCTCTTTTGTGTCTTCAAAGTTCAGACAGTTTGCTTTGCTATAGATATTGTTGTGCTTTGTCTCTTGCTGCTGAGAGAAGTTTAGCAGATGTATGTGTATGGCTGTTGAATTGTTGACGCTAACATGGCCTTGATGGTGGTTGTTTCAACTTCTAGTGGGAGAATTCCTTGTCCACATCCAGGGCGTATATGGCTGGAGCAACGAGGCCTACAAAGAGCATTGTATTGGCATATTGAGGCTCGTGTTGTACTCGATCTTCATGAGTCTCTCGATTCTGTGAGCACTCTTAAGCCTTTATTTTTGTCTCCTGATTAGTAATTTGGAATGATTTGTAAAACCTGCAAACTCTGCTACATTCTGTGATCTTTTTTAAAATGCATATTTCAGCACTTTGAAAAGAATCAAGAGGTTGACTTTACCCTGTATGATCTGTAGTCATGATTAAATATGAATTACCTGCTCCCTACTTTCTCTAGATCCTTATTTATTAACTCTTATAAGTTCAAGATAAAGTAATCATAGTACGGTTTACTTCCTACAAATCAAAAGTCCATGGTCCTCTTTTAACCTGCTTTGCACTCCTTGCATCGGTAATATTTCTCAGGATTAGTTAAATATCTATGATGAGCTCTTAGATTACCTTGGTTCTCATTCCATACATGTCTATTAATGTTGTTGTCTCACAACTGTTTTTCCTTTTACGATTGTTCTAGCCAAATGGCCGGGAGCTTCACTTCTCTATGGTAGATGGCGATTTCAAAAAGTTTGAGGGAAAGTGGTGTGTGAAATCTGGTATCAGGTACACTCAGTAACCCCGTAACAAGTTTGTGTGCACATCCTAAAATCATTTATAATCAGGTCTGATACGTATCAGAGAAGGTGTTTCTGGAAACTAACAAACTTTTATGCATTTATAACCATGGACAATTTCTGAACCATCTATGTTCCAACTTCCAAATATATTTTTTTTTCTTTTCTCCAGGTCCATAGGAACTGTCTTGTCTTACGAAGTAAACGTAATTCCGAGATTTAACTTCCCTGCCATTTTCTTAGAGAGGATAATCAGATCAGATCTTCCTGTAAATCTCCGAGCTGTAGCTCGCCAAGCTGAGAAATTTTATAAAGGCTGCAGAAAGCCGTCAATAATAGAAGATTTGTTAGGTAGAACATTTTCACAGCTGGCCCCTTCTCATGATATTGAGTTTGAAAGTCTTGCTACTGAGAGATCTATTGCCTCCAGTGTTGGATCATTATCTCATTTGAACGAATTGAACAATAATTGGGGTGTTTATGGAAAAGTTTGCAAGCTTGATAAACCTTGCACCGTGGACGAAGTTCATCTTCGTAGATTTGATGGTCTATTGGTAAGTAGTTGGTTTCAAAACTTATTAATTATTATGCATATTAAGAAAATGTTTCCCATCTTTTGTGGTTATTAATCCAGTGGTTTATTTCTTACATGAAGGAAAATGGAGGTGTTCACCGTTGCGCTGTTGCTAGTATAACAGTTAAAGCTCCTGTTTGTGAAGTTTGGAAAGTTCTAACTTCTTATGAGAGTCTTCCAGAGTAAGTAATTTTCAACCTTACTTCTGTGGCAGTCTTCTTTAGATATTGGTTGTGTTGGCTTATATATCTCTTGTTTATCTGCATTTTATTGTTTATGAATCCATCAGGATAGTTCCAAATTTGGCAATCAGCAAGATTTTGTCACGTGAAAACAATAAAGTTCGAATACTTCAGGTATGAGCATTCTCATACACTGTAACCTTTTAATCAAATTTGGAAAGGCTCTGCATATAGTCCCGTCTTGAAGATCAAAGTTCTGACGCTGGCCAAACCAAGGTTTTAATCTTGGTGTCAATAAATTCTATAACTAATCCGAATTCTGTTGCAGGAAGGGTGCAAAGGCCTGCTCTACATGGTGCTTCATGCGAGAGCTGTTCTCGATTTGCATGAGATTCGTGAGCAGGAAATCAGATTTGAGCAGGTGGAAGGAGACTTTGACTCGCTTGAGGGGAAATGGATTTTTGAACAACTAGGAAGTCACCACACACTACTCAAGTATACCGTGGAGTCCAAAGTGCGAAAAGATACATTTCTTTCTGAAGCAATCATGGAAGAGGTTTGATTAAGAATTAGACATATTATCTTCAGTATCATCTTATTTTTTCTTATTGTAACCATGATGTTTCTCTCTGACATTTTCAGGTTATATATGAAGATCTTCCATCAAATTTATGTGCCATTCGAGATTACATCGAGAAAAGAGGAGATAAAACGTCAGAGTCATGTAAACTGGAGACATGTCAAGTTTCAGAGGAAACATGTTCCTCATCTCGTGCCACATCAGTTGAGACAGTTTACAATAGTGATGATGGTACGGATCAAACTAAGCAGAGACGGAGGATTCCCGGTCTGCAAAGAGACATTGAAGTCTTGAAATCAGAGATTCTCAAGTTCATATCAGAACATGGACAAGAAGGATTCATGCCAATGAGAAAGCAGCTTCGGTTACACGGAAGAGTTGACATTGAAAAAGCAATTACAAAAATGGGTGGATTCAGGAGAGTAGCTTTGATGATGAATCTTTCACTTGCTTATAAACACCGTAAACCGAAAGGATACTGGGACAATCTTGAAAACTTGCAGGAAGAGGTAAATATTTCTCGTCATGTTCTCAATTTAAACGATTGCAGTGGTGTTTATAAGAGCTTTTCCATCTGCACGTGTTTTCAGATAGGAAGATTTCAACAGAGTTGGGGAATGGATCCATCATTTATGCCGAGTAGGAAATCGTTTGAACGCGCAGGTACAAACCGAAAACTCAATATACACTTTGTGTGGATTCCTCGATAGTCAGATTGGTCTTTTGTTGCAGGTCGGTATGACATTGCGCGGGCGCTCGAGAAATGGGGAGGACTACATGAAGTGTCCCGTCTTTTAGCGTTGAACGTGAGACATCCAAACAGACAGCTAAATTCTCGTAAAGACAATGGTAACACGATACAGAAAACAGAATCTGTTGATACCGATTCAAACTCGACGGTTAGTAAGAAACATAAGCCTTATGTCTCTCAAGACACAGAGAAATGGTTGTATAATCTTAAAGATCTTGATATCAACTGGGTTCAATAAAACCTTAGCGTACAGTTCATTGCCTGTGTAGTCTTATAACTCAGCAAAGAAGAACATATATTTATGTAAATTGCAACATCTGATTGATATCCGTGTATTAATATAAACTCTAGCTAGTTTTCACTTTTCAGTCCTTATGTTTCATTTTTTTAGTTAATTAGATGGGATTTAAAAAAGCGAGAGAGCACAGAACAGTGTAAGGAGGATAATAGAAAGAAACAAAGAAGTGAAAGCAAGTCAATGAAATTTGATAGTGATGGTTTTAAGAAAGAAAAAAGTCATGTCATTGTCTTCAATGTGAAATGAAATTACACGTAATTAGAAACAAACTTCTTTCTAGGTCGTAAGGTTAATTACAGAAACCAAGTTGCAGCAGAGGTCGTGAGTCGTGACTGAAGAGAGAGAGAGGGTCAGGAGTTTGGATGTGAATTGTGATGTGAAACGGAAGAAATTCAAAAATTAGAGTAGAAAAAAAACAGTAGAAAACATAAAAAATGCATGCATAAATCTAGAAATGATGACATTGAAGTTTGTTTTCTACTGTGTTTTACGTTTTATTGAAACACTCATTCGAATTTATAAAAAAGCTCTATGTGTTGAGATAACAGGAAGGAAACATATAGATAAACAACATTTTTACACGACTTCAAGGGAAATGATGATTAAACTGTAGCTTTCTACAAATAGTCAAACAAAACCTACAAAATATTTCACAAGAACTATCAAAGAAAGAAGTTAGATAGAATATAAAGGAGATCGAAGTAAGAATGTGATATGTGGGTTGGGGGGAATGAAGCCTGGTCCGAGAATCATTTAGGTTCGCTTCATTCGTTAAAATGAAATTGATCATCTTCATGACCTCGAGCCAGCCAACATTCCTCTCAACCCTAAACCAAAGGAGGAGGAGAAACTTTATAGATGTAAAAGTAAACAGAAGAAGGAAGAAGATGACGAAGCTAAATAAAGGGTATGTGAGAGACGAATCTCTTTATATATAT